GAATGTGAAGATAGTAATATTGACAAAGGAAAACTGAAACCCAAAGAAACAATTGAATGTTATGAGATGACACACTCCACAAATTATACCAGGATTTCTAGGAATGTTCTTGGAATGAATATCCAAGACTCAAGCAGACTGCGTGTATGACAATATACTAAAAAAAAAAAAAAAAAAAAAAAAAAATCACCGTCTTCAGTGTCACATGATCCTTCAGAAATCATTCTAAAATGCTGATTTGGTGCTCAGGAGACAATTTATCACTTTAAACATATTATCAGTTGAAAGCAGATGTGCTGCTTATTGTGTAAACCAATTTAGCTACCCCAAAGTTATTTTAAAAGATAATTCAAATTTTACAATGAAATATTGTTTAAAATGTTTTAGAAAAGGCCAGTTTTAATTAACATTAACTTTTAACTGTGCCACTTGTTATTACAGTTACATTCTACAATTGGTAAAGTACCATTAGATTGAGTCAACAAAATGGTTGTAACATGGTCAATGGCATTTGTGCATATAAACACACATAATACTGTTAATGTGTGTCCATAACCCCATTACTAAGTTCTCATGAACATGTTGGTAAAACAAAAGTCTGTCTATAGACATGTGCAAGTAAAATAAACTTAGGATGGTCTCATGCACATCACTTGCTATAATTGTTCACCCCCATCTGGACACTGAAGGAATCGCGTCTTTATAAATGAAGGCTGATGTAAGCAGCCGGGACAAAACACATCAAGAAAGGTAGGCTACCATTTTAAAAGGAAAGTTAAAGAAAAGTAAGTGACAGCATACAGTGCTTTTAAAAATGAATGCCTCCTATGCATAGTTGCACATCAAAACAGACTTATGTGATAAATAAGTATTAATTCTGGTTTTATAACTGTTTTCCGTCCAAATTAAAGCAGTACAGTATGCTATCCAATGAAAGACAGTTCAACAAATTAAACAAATAGACTAATAAAGTACATTTACTCAATGTAGGTTTTTCTCTAGTTAATATTACAGAACAACATTGTATGCAGGCTTCAAATTGAATCATTAAAAACTTCAATGAATAAATGTGCATGAATGCCTAATTACTGCATCGGTAAAAAATATATATATAATAATACAAAACAGCCTATTAACAACTTAATACACTGAGTATAAGACATTAGTGCCACAACTTAAGCTTGCAAGAGCGTATCATCAAGTTCTCTACTACCGGTACTGTAAGCCAGTAACCCCAAAAAATCATCCATCATCTTTTACTTTAAAGTGATTAAGGTGCAAATAAAAGCGCGCGCCTTTATATGAAGCACCTGCGCTCGTGAGCGGTACTGCAGTGACAGATGAGAGAACGTTTCACTCACCTTTAATGAACATGAACAATAATTCCTGGCAAATAGGGTCTGCTTGTCATCAAACACAGAGCACTGAGAAGACATATGCTCCACACAAGCATTCGAGCTCCATCCTCACGCCGCTGTGCAAATGAGTGAAAGTAAAGTACAGCGCGTTCATCTCGCGCGCCGGTCCCTCCCCTTCACGCGCTACAGAGGAATCTTTCAGCGGTTACGCGGACTTCAAGGGGAGGTTCTACAGGTAAACACTCTCGATTGTGCCCCTTCTCCTTAATTAAAATGTGCAATATATACACACAGGCATGTGAAAAAGATAGGACACCCTTTAAAATGTGATGGGTTTACGTGTCAAATCATCTGGTCGCTAGGTCTTAACATTAGGTAAATACAACCTCAGATGAACAACAACAAATTACACCATGTCATTATTTATTTAACAAAAATAAAGCCATAATGGAAAAGCCATGGGTGACAAACTAAGTAGGCCTAGCTACACCCTATGATTCAGTAGCTTGTAGAGCCACTTTCAGCAGCAATAAGTTGAAGGAATCGTTTTCTGTATGACAGTATCAGTCTCTCGCATCGTTCTGAGTTCTGGATTTTGACTGGGCAAGTGCAACACCTTGATTCTTTTCTTTCAGCCATTATTTGCTGGTGTCCTTGGGATCCTCGTCCTGTTGCATGACCCAATTTCGGACAAGCTTATAGCTGACAGACAGATGGCCTCACATTTGACGCTAGAATACTTTGGTATCCAGAGGAGTTAATGGTCGACTCAAAGATTGCAAGGTGCCCAGATTCTGTGGCTGCAAAACAAGCCAAAAATGACCAACCCTTCACCAGAGTGATGGACAGCTGCTATGAGGTGTTTGTGCTGATAGGTTATGTTTAGTTTTAGGCTAACTTGACGCTGTGCATTATAGTCAAACATCTCCTCTTTGGTCTTGTCTGTCCAAATGACATTGTTCCAGAAATCTTGAGGTTTGTTCAGATCCAACTTTGAATGAATTTGCTGGGACATCCACTCCTGGGAAGATTGGCAACTGTCTTGAATGCTTTTCTTGAACTTATGAATAATCATCCTTACCAGATTGATGGCAGCAATAATTGCTTCTCTAAGATCCTTGCTAAAGTCTTTCCTCCTTGGCATTCTGTTAACACATACGTGAATGCTCCAGACCAGCAAACTGCCAAAACATCTGATTTTATAGAAGTGATCACACTTGCTGATGATCAGGTCAAAGACATTTGATTAGCAGCACCTGACTGTTACTTTCCATCTTAATGGGCTATATGCACGCATAACTTCCGCGTTTGACGCAAGGATGCTCTTGCGTTTCCGGTTGGGGAGATTTAAAGCGGAGGAAAACCGAGGAAAACGGGATTATGGCAGAGTCTTCAAAATGTACTGTCCTCTCGTCTTTAAAACGAAACTTTAATACGTTTAGATGTAATTTTATATATGGTTATGTTTATTTAATATAATAAACAAAGAAGCATAAACAAAATGAGGGGTGTCTGTTTTTTGTGACTAACGTTTCTTTAGTAGGCCTATAGCAATAGAGTATAACCAATATAAATTCTCGGTATAGCATTGGACTCTACGATCGGCGGAAGTAATCCAGCATCCTTAGACCTTCACCGGAAATACCGCCGTGCACAGAGGCCATTCCCATGGAAACAGAAAGCTTGTAGCCTACTTAGTTTGTCACCCATGGCTTTTCCATTTTGGCCTAGTTTTTGATAAATAAATAATGACAATGTAATATATCATGTGTCGTTGTGTATGTATATTTACCTAATTTTAAGACCTGCCAAGGACCAGACGATTTTTTTTTTTTATTATATTCTGATAAATAAAACCATAGAATTCAATAGCGTGCCCTTTCTTTTTCACATGACTGTATATACTGTACACACACACACACATATTTACATTATGATAAAATGTCGCATAAAATGTAGCATAACACCACTCTGCCAAAGAGTGTGGGCTGATCTTAACTGGTTCCTGCTGTCAGGCGACTGGTTTTATAGGGGTTTGGGGAACTTTCAAACTGTGAGACCGTCTAAAAGACCAGCAAGCCACCCTACGCTGCTTTAGGCAAATCATATTATAAAACATTTATGACCTACTTTATGAGCAATAATTCATGTCACTTCAAAAATTCACAATTGTTATCCAACCAAAACCATACTTTATGCCAGTAGTAGGCCTACCTGGAGTCAAAATGATCTTCAACCTCAAATATTCGATCATCTGCAGATGGTAACTTTGCAGGCAGCGACATCTAGCGTTCGCTTTAGGGAAATAAAGTTTTACTAAATAAAGCCTGTCATCTCTCTCGTGCGAAGAAATTTACAAAAACAATTATATATTTGGGCTACATTTAGATACTGAGGTCTGAAACAGCTACAAACATGCAAGATAGCATAAATCTATGTGCAGATGAAGATGAAGTGAACTCAATGTGAAACCGCTGCACGTGACTGAACCAAAGAACCACATACACCGTGTTGTTCAAGTATAAATTCCTGGTTTGTAAAGTCTAAACAGGCATGTTTCCGAACAGGCCACATATAAAAACAGGAGTCAGATATTTGGACCCAGGAGCTATTTAATGCTTAACTGGAATGGAAGGATGTTTACAAAAAAAACAGTGCTGTAAAATGTTCCATGTGACCATTTGTAGAAACAATGCTGGTATTCAAACTTTTTGCATTTTAAAAATCATAAAGCCCTTAGCTATATTCAAAACTAACCTGATGATCTATCCATATCTTAAGAAGTTTTAGTAAGAAAGCTGGCTATTTTCAATGCATCAACAAAATATGTGGTTTTAAAATATACACTTATGCTTAATTAACACAGAAAGCAGCAGTCAGTTGTACAGCACAGGAGGGTGGAAGCGTAAGGCAGATTAGTGTCTCGGAAAACTTGCAGTCCGTTCATCTCCGCGGGCATTTAAACAAACATATTTGGGCCTTTCACGCACATACCTCCGAATAAAGACATCTGTTTGGAATCAGATTTAAAGCACTTCCTTGCTTAGCGTGCTTACAAAAACACAAGCTGGGCTTACATGGAACAAGATAAAGCACAAAAGAAAAATATACAACATTTCTAGTTCCACACAATACAAAAATGACAGATTATTTCAATAAAAAAATCTATGACTGTACACCCCTGACATCCCTTGCACAGCGAAACATGATAATCACAGGGCCATAAAAACATCGTCTTGCTGTCACCACATTCATCTCAACATCTTAACAGTAAAACTGACTTAAGGACATTTGTGTATACAGTGCAATATTTACCTGTCCCACAAGTGTAAAAAAAAAAAAAAAAAGGAATATTTCATGATTATTTTTTTTAGCCTCGTATCCAATATTATATCCATATTCCTGTCATAAAACAGGTAATTATAAATCATTCATTTCAACATGATCGAACCCTGATTTTTCTCCAAAATATATTTTTTCAGGACATATAACTATAAAAACCTCAGGAATACCTCAGGAGTACTTATTTTAGGAATACAGTGCATCTTTTTGTACTTGTTAACTCATAAGATAAGACTACAATGGCGCAGAAAACACACTTCCATTAGGGCCGAAAACTTCATTTGTATACTTTTGTATACTTTTTTTTTTTTGTGTAAAAATTGTAATGACAAAATAGAAGCGATTCCCAAACCGAGAAACCGCTAGATATGAATGATTTCTACTTCAACCGTGAAATTAAGACTCGTGTAAAAAAAATAAAAACAGCTAAGGCACAGTATAAAACTGGTCCAACATGCCAGTTAGTAACTGACTGAAATGGAATTATTAAGAAATTTTTTGCTTTGGGTAAAAAAACCATTTCTCATGTATAAAAAAAATTGTTTGTCAAAAGGGAAAAAAAGCTTTTGAACACAACAGCAGTTTGCTGGTGAAAACACTAGCAAGCCTCATTCAGTTCCATTAGAATTAAGTTTCTCAATCTCTGGTCTTGCTGTGTGGTCTGCTGGTTGGTTGTTTCCCTTTCGGCAAGGAATACCGCGAGTTTTCAAAAAGTAGCCAAAGTCAGCAAAGAAGGCCACCGTGGCCATGAAGCCAAATACCTGTAATACAGGAAAGACAGGTCAATGTTAGCAAGTCAGTATGTTGTCATATCAAATAAAGCACAGATGTAGCAGCCTCATACCACAGTGCCCTGCTCCAGGCTTGTCTGACCATTGTCTGCCGCAAACACAACGCTGGCAATGAGGAACAGGAATGCCATAGCTGTTGTGTATCCAAAATCCTATGGGGAAATTAAAAGAAGTTTAAATTGGAGAAAAACTGTAAATTAGAATACTTGATTCTGCGGAAGATGCGGTCAAATATTTTTGTGTAAAACATAATAAGCTCTAAACTAAAATGTAATTTTGTTTATGATTTTTTTATTTTTGTAATATAAAATAATAATAACATTATCATCATCAACATTATAATATGTTATCATAATTAATAATAAAAAGTTGATATTATTATTATCATTCATAATAATGATAAGAAGTTGATATTATTATTGTTATAATTAATAATAATAATATCAACATAATACAAATAAGGTTATATTATTATTAACAATATGTTGATATCATTAATAATAATGTTGATATTATTATTAACACTATGTTGATATTATTATTGTTATTATTATCATCATTAATAATAATATCAACATTAATAAATACGTTGATATTATTAACAATATTTTAATATTATTATTATCATAATAATAATACTAATAATATTAACAACATTATTATTATTGTTGTTAACGATAATGTTCTGATGAATATTTCTATAACATTTCTTATAAGTTAATATTTTATTATTATTATTATTAACAACAATATGTTGATATTTAAATAATAATAATCATAATTTGATATAATTAACAATAAGTTGATATTTTTATTACTATTATTATTGTTGTTGACGATAATGTTCTGATGATTATTTTTACATTTCTTATAATCAATAAGTTATTATTAATAATATTTTATTATTAATAATATGTTGATATTTAAATAATAATAATATTAAGATAGTATTGTTGCTATGCTATTATTAATAACAACAACAGTATCATCATTATTATTATTAATATCAACATATTGCAAGTAATAATAATAATAATAGTAGATTTAAAAGCTTGTTTTTGTGTTTTGGACTTACCAGAGTAGGCCAGCTGTTAATTCCGACTCTCTGGTGCAACGTTGTAGCCAGGAGGATGAGGAGCAACAGTGTGAAGAGGAAGGCTGTGCAACTGACGAATTCAAAGAAGTAGAGCGGTCCACAGTGTGAACAGTTGGACACGACCTCCTCCATCACAAACGCCACGAACGAAAGGAGCTGAGGGGACAGAAATTAAAGCCAATTGCATTAATTAACCACCAGCTTTCAGTATTGGCTGATTCAGTTTAAATACCTCTATCCTGTAATACAAGACAATATGAAAGATTTGTTTGGATTTTCCTCAGTGACAAAATATTGCATTTAATCTGCAGGAAGCTGCTTTATTAGGGCACATGCATCCTGCAGGTCACAATTTGAAACTGAAAGAAACAAGTGTGCTGTAAATACAGCAGTTACAGGGGATTCCCATTACCAGGGACACTCACTCTGGGAAAACACACACACACCCAAGCAAACTTTATTTAATTGTGTTTCCTTTTCACTAATATCACATGCATGAAAGACTTGTGATATCATCATGCTGAACTCATTCTGTTTAAGTCACATGGAAAACTATTAATGATCTTCCAGTCCAAAGATGAAGTATTCGCAGTTACATCAATTCCAGGAGACTTTTCACTCCACTTCCCTTTAGAAAACTGAAACAGGCACAAAATGACACTGTAAATGACGCAGCCAAGCTATGAGGTGACTCAAATAATTATGAGAAGTCCCTCAAAATAACCCTGGCTATTGTTTGTTCTGATGAATATTTCTAAATCATTTCTGCTAGTCTTGGCAAGGAAATAATTTATTTTAAGTCATTAATAGAATGCATATATGCTTGAAGTTTTAACACAGTTTGAGAACATAAATCACTATGATGAGGGAGAAACAGCATGGAAAATAATAATGGTTACAGTAATAAATAATAAAACAGTTGATGTTTGCCTGTCATTCACCTGGTAAAAAGTGAACAGATTCAGAGCAAAAACAACAACTGTATAACAAGTACTGAGGAGGAACAGGAAATCATAAGTGTTCTCGTTTATACAAATTACAGTTTAATCAGAAGCAACGTCAAAATGACAAAGCCAGAATAGCTCACATGTCTGACTCATAACGCTTTGAGCCCTGACTGCTAGGAAGGAACAGGGCAAGTCCACAATACACAAATGCTTTTGTCGCTTAAGAAACAGAACCTTATCGCTACCACACAGAATCCATTCGAAATCCTCCATCCAAATAACCGGATAAACCATAATTGCTGTTCAACAGAATAAAGACACTGCCCGCTCACCGCCCCCAAAAAACCATGAGGCTTATTTTAGACGTTTATGAGTGAAATTACCTCAAATGTAACAAAGCACGCTAAATTAAAATGGTTAAATCTGATTTCAGTCTGAAGTCTGAATGTAAAAACGCTGAAAGCTTTGCTACAGGAGCTCCTGTATAAAATACATGGAAATGATTTCATTAAAGTGCTAAAACCTCCAAAGCATCACATCTCTTCACAGTACAGTACAGTAAGTTGATCGCGGTCAGATGTCGGTTCTCTGCTGAACACATTGTGGGTAGATTGATTTCACTCGACACAACTGGGTGTGCCTGCATAAAAAAAAGCTGTCTGGCGAACTTAAAGGCACACTGTGGAACTTTTCAACCTTTATAATATATTACCAAAACCCATTGAGATGGTACATCGACTTACAATAGGTTGAATGACACGTCTGCCGAAGCCTGAAGGTGTCTGTATCGCTTTTACTAGCACTATGTAACTTCGGGTTTCGGGTAGGAACCAGAGCACAAAAAGAACTACAAAATTCGACCGCTTTACGGCATACGTCACTTCCCCCACCACCCCAACTTCCTCAAATCCTAACGTGAGAGCTCAACTCGCGTTTGATTGCCGGCGTCTGTATGTTGTCGTCATGACTGAATCAACAGCTACTCGGAAGAAAGCAAAGATTTTGTCAGAGGAGACCAAAAAAAGAAAAAGGGAGAGTTTAAAATAAACATCGGCATAAAAGTGTATATATAATGTAATATTTACTGCGAATTCGTGTAACAAAACTGATATAAGTCACAACATACTGCCGTATACAAATGTAAATGTTTTTTTTTTTTTCAGCTCATATATGTTTGTATTTGTGTAAAAGGAAAAACAAACTGAAGACTACAAATAACGGAAATATGTAGTGAGTTATATCAGTTTTGTTACACGATTTCCCGACTACTCGATTTCATCTCCAACCCATTGCAAAGAGATCCTGAAGACGTTAATTGTTTGCTTCAGGTGTGTTTGATTAGGGTTGGAGATGAACTGTGCAGGACAGACGATCGGCAGGAGCAGGATTGGGCAACCCTTGTCAATGCGACTTACCTAAACAGACATTGTTTTCTGCGTATGCTACTTTTATTCAATTTGTTTTCTTTATAGGATTTATATTATTAATCTTATATTTATATTATTATTTTGGTCAGTAGTGAATCGATTAACTTTCTCCAACATACAAATCAAATGCCGTCTGCACACACATGAAAACACGGGAGGTTGACCGGTTGACTGTTGACTTTTGCGACAATGCTGCGGCGCTTGTGGCCTCTAGGGGCACTAGACGTGAAAATTACAGGTCGAGCGCACCCTAGTGGCCAAAAATTCCACAGTGTGCCTTTAAGAAACACAAAAAAAAACTTAAGTTCAAAAATACACAGAATATCAAGTGTTACCAATGGGAATTCTTTGACTATTTAAAACAAAGTCAGACACAGTTATTTTCGTACCATTGAGATGTTATTGTAGTTTGTATTAATATTTTCAATTAGTTATTATATTTTATATATACGTTTTAGTAATTTTGTTGTGTTTTTGTCATTTTTTAAGTTTTCAAATACCGGTAAGTACATTGTGTTCACTTATTTTTATGTGAGGTTCAAGTTTAGTTAAAGGGATAGTTCACCCCAAAATGCTAATTCTGTCATTAATTACTCGCCCTCATGTTGTTTCAAACCCGTAAGACTATTGTTCATCTTCGGCACACAAATGAAGATATTTTTAAAGAAATCTGAGAGCTTTCGGTCCCTCCATTGGCAGCCTATACAACTATTACTTTGACTCGTCAAACTGTTGATTAAGAGATTGTAAAACTAATCCATATGAATTGAGGGGTTCCAAATTTTTGGAATAGACTCGATCGCTTTATATAATGAACAGATTGAATTTCGGCTTTTATTCACATTTCACGCACATATTCATCAACGCACATATCAGGTGTGGTAAACGTAAGCTCAAGCTTGCTAGACGTGCGAGAACCAATGAGGTTCATTCTCGTGTTACGCATCACGTTTGTTTTTGCACGTCAAGCAGGTTCGGTTTATGTTCACAGATCAATGTTTATATGTGAATAAAAGCCTAAATTCAGTCAGTTCAGCATATAAAGCGATCATGTCCCTTTAGACAATTTGGACCCAACCGCTCGAATTTTAGTTTTACGAACTTGTTATGAAATTTTTAAAGCATCAAAGTAGTAGTTGCGTATCTGTCTATGGAGGTACAGAAATCTCACGGATTTCATTTAAAATATCATTTGTGTTCTGTAGATGAACGAAAGTTTTACGGATTTGGAACGACATGAGGGTGAGTAAATGACAAAAAAAATATTTTCAGGTGAACTATCCCTTTAACAATTTTTTTTTTTTTTTTTGGCTTTAGATTTAGCTTCAGGTAATAACCAAGAACAGAGCAGCTGCCAACATCCAGTGGCTTTATATAGTACTTAAAGGTGCAGTAAGCGTTTTCTGAGAAGCCCTGTTGAAAGTGAATCGGACCAGCACCAAAACACACTTGTAGCCAATCAGCAGTAAGGGGCGTGTCCACTCATTAGGGGGAGGTGCCTGTGTTGCATAGCATGTTTGTGAATTTGGGGCGAAGCTATAAAGATGGGGGTGTGCTTGTTTTGGTGATTTCAAATATCAACCGCGTTCCTCGGAAATCGCTTATTGCACCTTTAAAAGAAACATTTTGGTTTGTAGATAATAGTTTGGTAAAGTGGTTTGGATGTAGATGAGGGAAGACACTCTCCTTACTAGGGCCTCTTAGAACCAGCTTCAGCTTTGCAACTGATCTAGATGAGGTTGCACATGGGAAGTACCAGGTGTTTCAGGACAAAATTAGAAGTAAGGAATTTCAAACATCAAGGCATAAAAAAATTATAGTCTTAATCTCAAGATATATTATGTTTCTTAGGACTCAAAACTCAGAAAGAAGAAACTAAGTATTGTTTACAATTTTAACTGTTTATGATTAAATTCTAAGTCATTAAGTTTTTGTTCCGTGTCATTAGATCAATGTGTGTCACGAGGAGAACACTATGTACATCCAGTACAAAAAACTCCAGTAGCATTTCCCTGAATACACTACAGGAGAAACACTTGATAAAATCTAATTTCCTAAAAAACATGAGACCAAGCACTGGACTGTAGGAGTATTTACTCATAAGGATATTGACCTTTACGTGGTAATTATTGGCTAAATTTAATGTGTTCTGATGTGTTCTTCCCTGTACTTTAAAGGTTTTGGCTTTTAGTAAACTTTTTGACTCGCCACAACATACTGTGAAAGTTGAGTCTGTAATTGAATTTAGCATCTGCTCTCTAATTGCATTTGCAGGCATTTCTTACACCTGATATCACTTAGCATGTCAGATGTAAGCAGGCAATGCCCTTTGGTCTTTTTTTTAGATGTGCGAATTCAAACACTTAAATAAAGTGACAACCAATGAGTGACACTGAAAATTATAAAACTGATATAGGTTCAACGGCTAATGCTAAAAGCTAAAGATTAGGTAGGCTATACAGTGGACTGGATTCTGTATTTTTCAGACCACATTCAAAGTCTAATATTAAACCACAAAATAAATTAAAAGTATTTCATTTAATTTTAAAACAAAGAAACTGAATGAACAAAAAATGAATAAGAGACATTTTAGATTCTGGGTTACTTATAAAATCAGAAAATTTACCAAATTGAATTCCTTCATTCATTTGAAGCACGTAAACATTTGGGACATTTTCATATCCAATAACATGGAGCATCAGATTTTGCATAAATCTGTCAAGTCAAGTCCATGCCAGTATTTGGGATTAAAAAGGGAAGGTATGTCTAATGCTTATTGTGTGCAAGGAAAGCAACGTAAACACTGCAGAGGTTAAATAAGAATGACGTTGAAGAACCTTTATACAAAATAAACCAGGACCTCGCCTTACATGAGTCAACTGCATCTCTATCCAAAGCACAAGCAATATCTGCTAAATAGCCACTCGAACAGCCAGCACCTTTTCCTGAGTAAACCAAGATGCATGCAGCATGATCTGCTCTGTGATAAATTACACAAGCCAGTTTGACACATATGGAAGATACCAAGGAAATGGAGGGAATCTCTAACTTACAATAGCCAACACCAACAGTCTCAAACTCCCAAGTTTTGTACAAAAAGCCCCATGATCAACAGCCAAGCGGCATATGACTGCAATTCTGAAATGCCCAAGCTTGTTTAGAAAATAAGCTTAGCATTATTAAATGCAGACAAAAAGTTGCCACAGCCAAGTTAGGACATTTGCATTATCAAGGATGTGTGAGACATGGCAGTGGATTCATTTAAGAATGGTTCAGTCACATGTAACAGTATCCACAATATTCTAATTAACACTTTAAAACAACAGCAGTCATTTCAACCCCACCTTTTACATATGTTAACGTACTGCCAGCATTGCTGTTTGCTATTATACACTTTCAGCGAAACTTACACAATGAAGTTCCAATAATGCCACCTTAACTTGAATTGTGTTTTAACTGTCATTACACCAGACTAACCACTTAGACACTATGACCTCTAATTCAAACCATGTCCCATTGTTTACTTTCTGTTTGAAGGGTTATATACAATACCGGTCAAAAGTTTGGAAACATTAAGATTTTTTATGTTTTTGAAAGAAGTCTCGTAAGCTCACCAAGGCTGTATTTATTTGATCAAAAATACAGTAAAAACTGTAATATTACACTTTAAAATAGCTGTTTTCTGTTTTAATATCATTTAAAATGCTATTTATTTCTGTGATGTCAAAGCTGAATTTTCAGCATCATTACTCCAGTCTTTAATGTCACATGATCCTTCAGAAATCATAGTAAAATGCTGATTTTGTGCTCAATTAATATCAATTATGCTCAATTTGGTGCTCAATTATTAATAATGCTTCTGATTTTCATCAATGTTGAAAACCACTTTTGCAAGTTTAATATTTTTGTGGAAACTGTGATACATTTTTGTCTGGATTCTTTGATGAATAGAAAGGTACAGAACAGCATTTATTTGAAATAATATCTTTTTTGATCAATTTAATGCACCCTTGCTGAATAAAATAATAATATTTTTTTAATAATTACTTACTCGTCTCCAACCCTTTAAACGTCCGTGTATCGTGGTTTCCACAAAAATATACTTATATATATATTAAGCAGCACAACTGTTTTCAAACTTGATGATAATAATGAATGTTTCTTGAGCAGCAAATCAGCATATTAGAATAATCTGACACTGAAGACTGGAGTAATGATGCTGAATATTCAGCTTTACCGTCACATAAATAAATGTATAGATTTTAAAACATTAAAACAGTAAGCAGTCATTTTTAATTGTATATTTTACAATATTACTGTTTTACTGTATTTTTGATCAAATAAATAAAGCCTTGGTGAGCAGAAGAGACTTCTTTCAGAAACAAAAAATTCTTAATGTTTCCAAACTTTTGACTGGTAGCCTACATAATTAATTACGTATTTAAAGGCATATCATATTTAGAGATCACAGACTACATATGGTCACATTTGTTTTCAGACCAACGTGCTGCTTACCACTTCAATCACTTTGATCACAAATCGAATTTTATCCAGATTCTCTGATGGCACGATTAACCATTTTCTGGTTTTGGGCAGCTGCTCTGTTGTGGTGGTGGCGTTGTACACCGTGTCTGTAGTGGCCATACTGTATATACTGTAGTTAAATCTGAAAACGAGAAGTAGATTAAACAGTTTAGCGGTGTAACCTGTGCGTATATAGAAATTAGGAAAGGTGAACATAGAGTATATGATACTGCAAAGGAAACAAAGTAACGACACATCGACAGCTGCTGTTTTCCTTGAAAAAAGCGAAAGTAAACTAGTCAAAGTCAAGTCTAACTAAGCTAACAGAATTGATCAAAACGATCGATATTAAACAAACTACAGGATGAAATGCAACCGATTATGTGTGATAACAATATTGAGAAATGTTTAAGGGTATAATAGGCCTACCTGTTTGTTTGATCGGACGGTTGTTTTAATGTGTTCTGTTTATGCCGTTCACGCGTCCTTTGTGTAGCCAACTTGTGTCTCACTTCCGCACTGCCTCAGTTTTCTTCAACGAGGATGGACTTCCTACGGAGTTTGCCAAAAAACCCGACTGAACACAGAAGGGTGTTTTAATGATTTTTCTTTCTGCTATTTATGCGTCCGTGGGTTTGTAACAGATTTCAACTCTATTTTTGTTACATAAACATCGCCTGAAACGTTTTTGCCATGCCTTCATTTATTTGCTTTGAATGCATTTAATGAATATTTTACCGCATCCCAGACTTTAATTCTTAAACTTTGAAAATGAATGATACAATTTTTAATATTAGGCTACATTTAAAACTATGATGATCTGAACAAAGAGCAAAACAATATTTTGGCTATTTTGCGAAAATTATTATAAAAAATTGTTTAAAGAGTATTTTAAAGAGACACTCCCTGAGTTGTGGCCACACATGTAGCCTAATAGTTTTGTAGCCTAAATGTATAAAAATTATACATTTCAACTAAATACAAAATATTTTTTTAAATCAAACTCAACACTGAAATTGAATAATTCTTCTGTGAAAGCTTATAGAACTGCTTGTTTAAGTGAATGTTAGAATATATTCTTATATCTTATATATTCTTGCATGGTTAAATGGCGAATGGCCTCAGACCTCAGTGTCCTGCCTTAATGCTTCACTGTGTTTGCTGCAAACATCAGAACTGAGGGATACCCCTATCTGGTGTGCATTTCCTCTCTTGTGGCATTCTGAAAACAGAAACGGTCAGATGTGGCTGCTTTCTTCCAAGAAGGAAGAGGGGCTAACTGAGCATGTGTAAAATCAATATCATATGTAAAATCAATATAAATAAACATCAGCTCATTCCTGAGTGGAGAAATATGTTGCAACTGCCCCCACTCTGCCCAAACTGTGAAAATATGATTCCATTATTTGTATTGAGAATGCATAAAATGACAGCTATGCTAAAGACAAAGATTCTGACATTTTATTCCAAAAACTATAAAATGATGATGATGACCTGTTCTCAAACCTCTCTGTTTTAAATGACTTAATAAAAAAATTTGGATGGGTACTTGGAAGATGATGTAGATAGAGATTTTGTGAATGCAATACATTATTTAAAAAAAAACTAAAATGAGAAAACTGTTGTTTTAATTCCTGTCTTTGAGCTGTTTATATACTGTGGATCTTTATGAATCGATCAGTTTTCTCTCCCCTTTAATGAATTTGATTATATACCTATGTCTCAACCTTTCTGTGCAATGAAATAAACTTGTGTAAAGACCTGTGAACTGACAAGAGCCTAAAGCCTCCCACATTTCATATTCAAGTCTATTTTACAAAATAGTCTAGATAAACAGTCCAAATATCAATGGACTTTATGGTTAGCTATGCTCAGGCCTGAATATCCAAGTAAACTTGGCATAGATACACATAAACTACACTTGGCCAGAATCTAACAACAAGAACTCTGAGAATATAGTTGATCATGTGAGAAAAGGCAGATTCAAGTGTTCTCTTCTCGTGTATTCTGTGCCACCACATACACACACACACACACACCTGAAAGTACTGTTTTAGTCAAAAATAAAAACCCATGGCAATGATTAGTCTTATCATGTTTGATTGTATCTTGTATTTGTTTCTATGCAACAACAACAAAAAATCCTTTATTTCCCCTGTCCTTTGACTTCTCTTATTCATAAGACTTATTGAATCATTTGGTGTATGTACTGTCATTTTAAAAGTTAACTCTGATTAGGCATGCATACAGACTGTTTCATTATTCTGCGATGAAGTTTGCCCACTAGGGTCATGTGTTAAAGGGATAGTTCACCCAAAAATTACTCAACCTTCATGGCGTTCCAAACCTGTAAGACTTTCGTTAATCTTCGGAACAAAAATGAAGATCTTTTTGATGAAATCTGAGAGCTTTCTGTCCTTCATTGGCAGCTACTCAACTGACACAACTGAACTTCAAAAAGTTCATAAAGAGATCGTAAAAGTAATCTTTATGAATTGAGCCGTTTAGTCCAACATTTTCTGAAGAGACACATATTTATATGATGAACAGATTGAATTTAGGCTTTTATTCACATATAAACATTCATCACCTCACACACATCAGTTGTGGTAAACAGAAGCTCCGGCATGTTAGCTTGACATGCGAGAACCAATGAGGTTCATTCTTGTGTTGCGCATCACGTCTGAGCTTCTGCAAGAACCAATGAGGTTTGTTCTTACATGTCAAGCAAGTTCAGTTGAGCTTTATGTTCTCTGATCAATGTTTATATGTGAATAAAAGCCTATAAATTAAATCTGTTTATCATTTAAAGCGATCGAATCTCTTCAGAAAATTTGGACTAAACCACTCAATTCATATGGATTAGTTTCACGATCTCTTTATGAACTTTTTGAAGCTTTAAAGTTTTATTTGCGTAGTGTTGTGAGAGTCATCTCTTTCTTGCAAATGAAGCTCAGGAGGCAGAGATCCAGAAGTCGTAATAAAACTATATTGAAGAAAGCAACAAAGCCGAGATGCCTGCAGGACATCTAAATTTGTCTCTGGCCAAGGTGCCATTCATATACATTTTTCTTATCTGTTATTTGGCAACCAAATGACTACATTTTCATGTAAATTTTCCTCCTATTTCCAACAATGAATTTCCTCTTCTCTCGCCTTTCTCTCTAATTGTGGAATCCTGCCAAATGATGGTCAGTCCTTTCTCAGAGGCAAGATGTAACATTTTCCAAGGACAATCAACTCTTTCTCTGAGGCAAGAAGCCTCCAAGTGACATATGTATTTCTGACTTTACAAAAACTGCTCAGTGGGCCACAAGACATTCTCAGACGCATTTGACCATTGTGATAATTATTTCTGTAAATATTTCATCAGTAGCTGTCTACAGAGGGTCCGAAAGCTCTCAGATTTCATTAAAAAGATCTTCAGTTGTGTTCCGAAGATGAACGAAAGTCTTCAGATTTGGAACGACATTAATTGGTAAGAAATTAATGCAAAGAATTTTCATTTTTGGGTGAACTATCCCTTGTTTCACAAACTGCTGTCTGACAGTCAATAAGCAGGATAGACTCTGAAAGTAATTGGGTATTCCGAGTTAACTGAAATATGTTTCTAAATAAATCCTGCTAAACTTTTGCACTCAATAAAGAGTGATTCTGGTTACTAGGTCAGTGTTGCAAAGTCTTTGATCTGAATAGTACAACTTAATTTCAAATTCAGATTTTATTTATTTATAGTACATTCTTATGCAATAAATTAATTTATGACCACATACCTGCACATACTGCTGAAATATGAAGGCGTCTAAGACCTGCAGCGCCACCTCCAGAGGTCAGTGTTTTACCAGGTGGGTGAAAGCCACATTTAAAATCATAGTTTCACTGGAGACTTGTTAAAGTTACTCCGAGTTTTGTGGCATTTAAAAATGGTTTGAACATTTGAATCCTTAAAGCAACTGAAAAACTAAATGCTTTAAAACTCTCTAAATTACTTGCAATACGATGTTATGTTTTCACTTTAATTTAAAGTGTTAGTAGCTAATGTTGAGTGTTGTTGTAATTTGTTTTTGTTTTTAAATGTGTCTATATGGATTTATTGATTTTAATTTTATTTAGTTTCAGTTATTTTAGTAGGCCTCCTTTACGTTTAACTACGTGAAAATGAGACATGTTGCATCGGCAACTAGCTGATAGGCCTATATTATTTACAGTTTTATATTTTATTTTAATTTCGGTTAACGTTTATTTTATTTCAAGTAACGGAAATGTTTTTGGTTTTAGTATTACACTGTTAGACATTTCAAGGGGTTTTTACAGTAACTTACCGGCAAGAGTTACTGTCATTAAGATTAACAGTAACAACCGTATTTCAGTTTTACAGTAACTACGTGGTATTGTAATTGTGTAATACAGTGCATTACGGTAAAAACCAAGCTAATCAGTACTCTACTGTAATTATTTGTATTTGTACTTTTTATTAGATTTCATAATTTTGATATATAATTATAATTAAAGTAAATACTGCTGACATACAAATCAATTAGACAAAATACCTTTTTTTTTCTTTTTTTTTACATTTCATATCACAAAATAAACAGTCTGCCAATGCTGGAAATGTGTTACATTTTTACACATTATGGGTGAGTTTAGGGACAACGTTTGTTGTGTTAATTTTAACTCATTCATTGTGTTAATGATTTTTAAAAAGAAAATATGTCAGAAAGGTTAGCACAAACATGTATGAACGTGTTAAATTAACACATTGTCCTTCACTGCACACATTGTTAAAAAACATACATAAAATCCTAAACAAAACGTTAGCATTTGACTAAATAATAGAGTCATCACTTATTTCCAAAAATGTGTTGGATTCATGTACACTGGTGGCCAAAAGAAGTATTTAAGTAGCCTATTTAAGTGTCTTCGTTTTTTTTTAAAGAAGTCTTTGATGCTCAAGAAACATTTCTTATTATTATCAATATCTGACTGTCTTCTAGGCTTCTCCATCTTTTCCACAGTATACTGTAGGAGTAAAAGTCGTCATCAAAATAATCTTTAAAAAGCCAACACAATGTTTTTGTCCACCTTTGCAAACAAATTAACTTCTCCAAAGATTGGTTCCTGTTCAGAACTTGTACACAGGGCCGGCTCTGTAAATCTGGGGGCCCTAAGCAGAAAAATTGTGGGGCCCTGCCTTGCAGTAAATAATGGAGTATTGCCACTGCAAACCGGCAACAATCTAATCCCAATCTAACAAATCTTCAATAAAGTTGTTGCATATAGGCTACAGGTGTTGCTGCCGCTGTTATAGCGTTGTAGACCCGCGGTGTAAGGCAAAAATTAGGAAATAAAAAGCACGCATGGTGCCAGAGAGGCCGTTACGTCAAATACAGTGGATTACAGCAAATTTAAAAAATACAGTAAGTCTATGTATGTGTCACTGTTATTCTATATAGATATTTTACAGTCTATGATATAGATGTGTAGTTTGACGTCACAGAAAATTCCCATGATGCAATGGGAATCACAGTTATTTACTCTAAGGAGAAATAGCAGTATAATACTCATAATACTGGGTGATTTAAAGTAAATAACTAGAAAACTAGAAGTCAGTGTAGTTAACGCTAACAACCTTGCACTGAAGACTGCAACAGACCACAAGAGGGCAGACGACATTCATTAACACATAGACTGTAAAAAAAAAAAAAGAAGAACACCCACATAGGTGTACGTTGGGTTTTCGTGTTTTATGCGACTTTCCATGGTAGACATAATGATTTTTATACTGTAGAAACCGTATATTCTAGCTATTCCTAAACCCACCGATCAGAAAACATTCTACACTTTTAGATTTTCAAAAAAAAATCACTTAGTATGAATGATTGATAAGCTGTTTTTCTCATGGAGACCAAAAAAACCAACACCTACCCCTAAACCTAACCATCACAGAAACATGTGCAAAACACTCAATTTAAATAATCACTTGTTTCGGCCAATATATAAGCCTTTGTTTTGGCCAATATATAAGCCTTTGTAACTATAGAGGACCAGTTAAATGTCCTCACTATTGGTTGTCATATTTCACAAGTGAGGATATTTATTGAGACTTTCCATAATGGCGACTTTATGGAGACTTTACACACACACACACACACACACACGACACACACACACGTGAGAATCCACAAAGTGCTTTTTAAGGTCTTGTATTTAATTCCAGGTAGGCTATAGCTAAGTGTCTCTAGGTTATGTTCTGAGGAACATCAAGATCAGCATGTTTCCAACATCAGACCACATTTTGTGGGTCATTCAGGGTTTGTGCTTGCTTAACTCTTTCACTTCTGTAAAGTATAACCCACCACTGTGAGAAATTCATACACCCAAACCATTTCCCACCCCCTTTTTTCTGTTTGTTTGGGCATTTCAATGTGAGTGTGAGTATAATAGGTTACCAAAGTAATAAGTTGCTTTACTTTAGCCAATGGGAGAGCTTCTTTCACTGGGCTTACAGTACTCTAGTCTAAACAGAACCTTAAGGGGGAGTTGATATGGGCATGATTCATGTTTCCAAATTAGCTGGAATACTAAAATGGAATGTGGGCAGCTCTGTCCATTTCACTCCTTCCCTACCCTCCCTACATCCATAAATATAGCATAATTATTCCCTATGGAATTCATTTCCCTCATAGTTTCCCTTCCCCATTACAGCAGACTTACAACAACAATCTAGCATGTCATTATATTTTCTTCTTTCTCTTTTCGAGGGATTTCCCTGATTGTGGTCAGGATTTTCCTGTATCTCTTGCCCAGCAGCAACACCCACTTACTGTAACCATGAGTAGTGAGCATGATATAAGTCACTTCTGCTGGATGTCTTAAACATTTAAATAGGTAGCATGTCTAATAAGCCATATCATTTTGCTATGTTAAAGTCACACTGACTAAACTCTAACAAACACTTGGCCAGAAAACACATGCCAAAACCAAAAGAAAAAAAGTAATAAAGAAAAAAAAACGTATGACCATTGTGACATTATTTTGTATAATCAAGTATAAACACTTTACAATTCAATTTAGTTTTTTAACTCATGTTAATGAGAATTGGGGAGATTTGCTTGTTATAAAAATGTAACAATGCAAAAACTTTTTTTTTTAAATACCTTAATTTTATGCTAAATAATATTTATTTTGATTCTGAATTCAAATGTGACATGTTCCTGGCTGTTCATGAGTGTTATTACCATGCAACAAATGCAAATTATATTCTATCTATTGTATTACCACCTGTTTTGAGCCCCAAATTCTGGTTTTGAATCAGAGAGGAAGCAACACACAACACTAGAAGACGTTTTACCTTTTATCACACAGTGGACAAAACAAAGGGACTCGCATTTAGAAAGCCAGAAATACATTCTTCAAACTTTACAGTTGTGTTGCATATAATAATATCATGAGATACTGTGAAAAGTAAATATACACTTTAACTCTTGTGATAATAATAATAAAACAGTGGGCCAGCATCCATCCTTTATGAACACCTCACTTCAGCCTAAATATTCTTTGATCGGAGTCACTGAATCAAATCTGCATCACATGAAATACTGTCAAATAAATAATGTAAACATTCTACTGCAGAAATGGCCCCTTTTAGTTTCAGACATCGTTGATAAATATAAAACTCCATTCTTAAAATAATCCATTACTACTGGTGAAAAAGTTGATCCCAGCTGCTGCGCATGCCGAGATAAAAGAGACAGTTAAGTTCATTGAGGCACTGAAATTTTGATGAAGAAATCTACTCTTGAAGCACACAGCATCTTCCAAAACGTTTAAAAATGTCCCTTCCAGGTCCTCAAAGCACTCATCATCCATCTAGAACAAATTGAGAATTTTTCCTGCTACTTCCAGTTTCTTCAATTTCTTCCTTCTGGTTACACTGCAGCACCTTCAAGAGAGTATTAGCAGGAGATTATGCAATCAAATTCAATTAAACTGTGTTCACAGATTTCATATTTCACAAATTACATTATTACACAAAACAGGGTAGGACTCACCAGTTGGTTGAGAGCCACATGTGACCTTATAAGAAGTCCATATGCTGATTGCAATAAGAAAAGTAGCCATAAAGCCAAACACCTGTGTTTATGTAAAAACAGGGATTAGTAACATATTAAAATGCACCTATTATGATATGTTAAAGGTTCCTAGTTTTGTTTTGCAGCTCTCCTACAATAGGTTCACATGCATCCAAGGTCAAAAACACCTCTTTTCTCACAGTGTCTCAAACGGTATCCGTTATATAAAGGATCCAGTCTCTCTAAACCCTCCTTTCTTGAAGCCTACTCTGCTCTGATTGGTCAGATGGCCCAGTCTGCTGTGATTGGTGCAATAGCCCAGTTAAACTAAATCTATTAATAAAATGAAAATGAAAATGTAATAAAGTGTTGATTGCGGCCTTAAATTTAGATCTGCTCGTGTTGCATCATACTTTTTTCACGTTTTTACAGCGTTGCGCACTATAACCAATCACACACGACTCTGTTGAACTTATGAATGCAATGGCCAATCAGAGGCGTTAAGATTAGTCATCGCTGAAACACCGGAGTTTTGTTCAGTGCGTGAACAGAAAACTGAATTCTGCACTCTCGCGGATACTCTCATCATAAACCGATGAACATGAGCAGATTTGGTGAATGTGCTCTTGAGAGCGTCGAAACTAATATAAATAGGTTTTTCTATTTACAACGTATTTTTGCAGCGTTGAGCAATGTAGCCAATCACAAGCATATCTGATGATTTCTTGAAAGCAATTGCAAGTGAGATGTGTTTAGAGTGTTTGTCAAGTGCTGAGATCTACACACTCAAATCCTCTCGATATAAATTTAGCGTCGTCCACTTGTGATAAAAACGATCTTAATACCAGGTGTAAACAGGGCCAAAATGTAATATAAAAAAAGCATAACCGAGGCACTTTAACAATATTTTACAATTATGAATTACCAAACATAAAACGTAATTTTTGATGCCTAAAAGAGCTTTATGAGAATTGCACATGCACTGCCCAGGCGGTAACAGGACATGATGCAACATTGCAGATACGTATTTCCTGCTTCCTCTTCCCTACACAAGAAGTCTTTGAGCATTTCCTTGGCCAATCAGCTGCATGTACTGTACATACTGCAAGCACTCACAGATCCAGCGATTAAAGATGAGATCCCATAACTATTCACAGCTACAACTATAGAGGCGATAAAGACCAGGATTCCTCCTACAGCATAATGTAAAAACTCCTGTGAAAGCAATTAAGAGTTCATTAGAGTAGCATATAACAAGTTCGCAGATACGTAAGTGAAATGTGAACTGTGCCGACTTGCCGTCAATGTCCAGTTGATGCATGTGATTTTGCTTTGAAGTCGAAACAAATACATGAGGAAGAAGAAGAAGAAGACGACGAGAAACCATGCAGTGACCACCTCAAAGTAGCGAAAGGCAGAGTGTGCGTAGAGCCGCTCACAGTGCACACAGAGGAAAGCAATCAGGAGGATCACCTGATCAAAACCAAATCAGATGTAGACAATTTAATTTAAAAATCCCTTGTCTTTCACAGACAAACACTAATACAATTACCTATGGTGATGATACACAGGGCAACTTTTTGAGCAATGTTGCCGCCAACGGGCAACCAGATGAGACGCAGGGCCCACGACCGACCTAAATTATCCAGATAGAAATGTATTGCCCATTTTCAATGGGAAAGTGCCCAAGCAGCAATCGCTCGGCAAGATTGCCCAGCAACATTGCTCAAAAAGTTGCCCTGTGTATCATCACCTTTAGACACAAACCACAGAACGAGGTAGCAATGCTTTTGCTTGGTGACACCTGGGATTAACTTAAATAACAAGGTTTCAACAAGATAATACAACTCAGAAAATAAAACAAGTCCTTGGACCAAAAGAAATAATGAAGTTTCTGTTGTTTTCTTTATCAGCATTAGAAGTGACCAATATAAATTATTTTTATATTTAAGTGTCTGATATTTTAAGTTTAACTGTCTGATTTTTAATTAAAAAAAAAATTATTTATTTTTTACATGTTAAAAAATATATATATTTTATGAATTATTGTCCTATTTCTGCATTTTAACACAATAATAAATAGAAACATCAAAAACTAAATTAATTTAGGTTTTAGTTATGCACAGTGTTGGGTAAGACTACCCGGTAAGTTACTCTAAAAAGTAATTAATTACTAGCTATTAATTACATCTTCAACAGTGTAATTAGATTACTGTATATTTACTCTCTCTCTAAAGGCATTACTAATTACTAACAATACAAGGATAGACTTGAAACTGCTCTTTTAATTCTTTTAAATAAATCATATAAAATTGCATAAGTTATTCTTGAACTGGCCACAAAGTATTTAAACGGAGAAGGTTACATTATAAACACACACATTTTAACATTAGATGTTCAGTTTTGATGTTTAATCCACTATTGTTTTATATAGAATTGTTCTATACAGTATTTAATACAGAACATGTAACTACAGAAAAATTAAGAGTAAAAGTAATTAAATTACAATAATTACAATGCAACACAGGTTTTGCAATCATATTTGTATATTACAGTTTAAGCTCAAAATATGATGTATTTCCACTTCAGTACGAACTGCTCTTGCATAGAAAGTTGAATAATTTATGCAAACACTAAAAAAGTTTATTTTCCTGTAAACACTGTTGTTTCCTGTTGAACCGATTTCTTTGGAAATCTGGTTGCAGGTTTTATTTTTTGTTTAGTTTTTTGTGGTTGCAGGTTGCAGTGCTAATCTCTCTAAATCACAATCATCACCGCGACCATTTTAGGGGCCGGCTGTTCCTGAGCATCCGGGGTGTGTGAGTCTCTAGAAATTATCACTGCCTGTCATCACTTACTACTCTCTCTCTCTCTCTCTCTCTCTCTCTCTCTCTCTCTCTCTCTCTCTCTCTCTCTCTCTCTCTCTCTCTCTCTCATACAACACTAAACCAAACTCTGACCACAAAACACTACTGCTGGTTAGCCCAGTTAATAAAGACATTATTCAAATTTAGAAAAAAATTGGGATTTTTCCTGTGTATACGTGTGAATAGTGGTAACATCATATCTCAAATTCCTTTAAAAAGAATGATAAATATAAGATCTTTGGTTTTGGTGGGTTTTGTTGTGGGTCCTCTCTTTTCACTGAGGTCCCACATGTTACAGTACTATAATAGTGATAGTGTCACATGGCAATTTGCCATGGTAGGCTTACTTCGATTTACATAATAGTTTTGAAGTATATCCCTATTTTGGTGTTTAATCCAACCTTTTCAAATAAGTCAATGGTACATGTTGGATTTTTTTTCTATAAAAAATAACACTGTACTGTCCATAAAAATACATATAATAACATGATACGTGTAACAAAAAAACAAAACAAAGAAACATGGTAATACCACGGTAGTTACGTTTTAGCACTTTTGTTAGTGAAAATCAGGTTTAGATTTACCTTCTGGTATACTAGTTTGCAGAGATATTTAAATAAATTAGCTACTGTAAATAAATCCACTGATTACTGTATCTTGAATGGTTCGTACATAAGCAAAAGTATTCATGGGAACTTAAGTTCCGTTAATCGGTCAATGGAGCACAGTCAGTGGCGGTGTAAAACAGTCAGTTTCAGTAACCATATTTAACCATCTATCTTCCTCAAATTTAGGATTCTATGCCTACGTTTACTTCATAAAATAAATGTGTAAAATAAATGTGATGTAAGTATAACTTTCTCTTACCACTTGGCCGATTTTCAGTAATCCTTGAAATGAACGGGCATAAGCAATGTTGCAAAATCCTCCATCCGCGGTGGATGTTGTTGTGGTGGTTGTAGTAATGACAGTGTGAGGCATTCTGTTTTATTTATCTAATTAATGAGGAACTTTACAAATAAAACAAGATTATTTTTATTTAATGCTGCTCACATGAGACCAATGGCTGAGACAAGAGAAGTGTGTAAACTTTAACAGGGTGTGACCACAGACGTTGGTAATACATACTCTCGGAGTCGTTGCTTCTAGCGGTTTCCCATGGTAAACTATCTTCGTCCACGAGGGGGCGCGTGAAGGCCCAAAAGCTGAACCTTCCACTGAGGTGCATTCAAAACTCTCGACGTTTTTCGTCTTCTTGGAAACATTTATATTCAAAAACATAACATTTTAAAATATATGAACTATAATAAGTTATATCTGACCTAGGAACCAAAACACACCATAAAAATATTTATAACAGGATTTTTGTTTATTTTATTATTCTCATAGCGTAATCAAAAACGACTGTGATTGGTCCAGGTTGATCAGCACCTTGAAAAGTAACAGAAACCACGTGATAACACCGTTAACGTGTAGCTTCAGCAGCGATTTCTGGATAATAATTTACACATTAACGTATAATAGTGAGTGAATTGAATATATACTGTACGTAAAGAGTTCAAATAAAAAATATATAGGCCTATTACTCACCTTCGTAGCTGAATAAAAGACAACTTCACTAAGGCACGCCCATTTTAATTCCTTTCTGTAAAGGGATTGACCTTTCTACCCACCTTCTCTATTTCAATGGTTGTAACCATGGTTGTAACACCATAAGAGGAGGGACCAAAATCAGCAACAGTATTATACTATATCTAGTGTTTATTTAGAATGTGTGGCCATGTTTAGTGTTTAGTTTTCTCCTGAATATATATGAGAATTTTCCACCACAAGCAAAGGGGGTGAAAATGAGTCTAGTTATGTCACCCACCCCCTTCACAAATCACTGAACACACAAACTCACGAGCGGATATGTATATAGACTACATTCTTATGGGGATTTTCCCCTCAAACTGTGGTTATTTGGAAGTTTCTATGTTAGATTTTTGTAAGGTTTAGCTCACATGCTGCAATAAAACCTGTAGTTATATTGAACTGCTGCATCACACAAACAAAAAAGGAAAAACAAGACAAATGTCTAATTTTAAACTGCAACTTTATTCACATAAACTATTTAAAGGCCAGATTTTTGTTGTTTGTTGCTGTGTTTAGATACACTTGATATCTTCTTTCAAAATCGGTTTTATTTCTCTTTGAGGTCTGTTGACAAGAAGTTGGTAAAAATCTGTGAAAATATATGGGGCCTACATAAAGGTCAATTTAACTGACCCTTGATTGAGACAATGCTTTTATGATATTACACATAAATAGTCCTTACCTTTCACTTTTCACTGGTGCCTTCCGGGGGTGAGGGAGGAAGTGGGGTGTGTGGTTGGGGGCGGGGGGGGCCGGGGGCGATGTGGGTTTGGATTTTTGTGGTTCTGGGGTCCAGGAATCAGATCCACCTTTCCTCCCTTTAGTGACACCCCTTTTGAGTACACGTCATCTTGTCTAGTTTCACAACCTATAAAGATTAAAGGGTTAGTTCACCCAAAAATAAAAATTCTGTCATCATGTTCTCACCCTTATGTCATTCCAAATTCGTAGGACTTTCGTTCATCTTGGAAACACGAATGAAGATATTTTTAATGAAGTCTGAGAGATGTGAATAAAATCCTAAATTAAATCTGTTCATCGTGTAAAGCGATCGTGTCTCTTCAGAAAATGTGGACTAAACTGCTATATGTATTTATTTTACGATTTCTTTATTAACTTTTTGAAGCATCAAAGTGATATTTGACGCAATGGAGGGACAGAAATCTCTCAGATTTCATCAAAAAGATGATTTATGTTTCAAAGATGAATGAAAGTCTTATATGAGGGTGAGTAATTAAAGGAGAACTCCGGCGCAAAATGAACCTTTGGTCTAATTACACATTGTTACCTAGTCAACCATTATCTGAGATTTGTTTTCATGATTATCGAATGTAAATAGTTTTATCTCTAAAAACAGTTTAGCCTATAAAGCTAGTATAACGCTAGTATATTGGGCATAGTGTAATGACAAATAAAAATCGCTTGTTAATACCACTAACAAGGCTGAAAATAGACCCACACTAACACGGTAGCATAATGAGGGTCCCTACCTTCAAACCGAAGCATTGAGAACTTTGTCAGTGTACAGACAGTTTAATAAGAAGATATTTTAAACACACAGTCAACTTCGCGTATACAGGCAGAAGCCATCTTTGAAATACAGCCTTTACCAGTCGATCTACGAACGCCGATCCAAGCCTGCTGTTCGCGCTCACCTTATCACAACTTATAGCTCGTTCACATCTCACCAGCGCACTTGGATCGGCGTTCGTAGATCGACTGGTAAAGGCTGTATTTCAAATATGGCTTCTGCCTGTATACGCGAAGTTGACTGTATGTTTAAAATATCTTCTTATTAAACTGTCTGTACACTGACAAAGTTCTCAATGCTTCGGTTAAGGTAGGGACCCTCATTATGCTACCGTGTTAGTGTGGGGCTATTTTCAGCCTTGTTAGTGGTATTAACAAGCGATTTTTATTTGTCATTACACTATGCCCAATATACTAGCGTTATACTAGCTTTATTGGCTAAACTGTTTTTAGAGATAAAACTATTTACATTCGATAATCATGAAAACAAATCTCAGATAACGGTTGACTAGGTAACAATGTGTAATTAGACCAAAGGTTCATTTTGCGCCGGAGTTCTCCTTTAATGACAGAATTTTCGTTTTTGGGTGATCTAACCCTTAAATATATGTACACAAATATGTACAATAGCCTATATTAAAGGGTTAGGTCACCCCCCCCACCTCCCCCCACCCCCCTCCCCCACCCAGAAAAAAAAACATATTTAATTGTCCATTCATAGTAGTGTATCACATAGTAATAATACACATATTATGATACTATAATGGACAATTATATTGGTTTTCTTAATGGTTTAATACTCACCAACTGGATAAGTGCTAACATTGGCATAAACTGTCTCATTAGCTTGATATATAGAGGTTTGAGCCCTTTGTACATCTATTTGCCTGAAAATGAAACAATTATGACACATTAAAATACTTTGTACTAAAGATTCCTTATTTCAGAGGCCATTTAATTGAATAACATTCATTCTTACTGTTGCATGACTCCCAGCACACTTCGTCCTTTTTTTTGGAAATAATAACACACACAGTACATCAGAATTTGCACAAACTATTTAAAAATAAAGACAAAAATGCACAAATAATATTTAGAAAAGGGTCATGCTTACTTCTTTTTATCACCTCTATAACAAACGCCACAAGCCCAAGCAACAGCAAACATCCCAGAAAACAAGTCGCCACCAAAAGACCAAAACAGTTTGGATGATCTGGTGGAAATGTTCTCTGATCTCGGCCCAGTGAGTTCACAGCTTGGCAAGTGTACATGTTCTGGTCAGAGAATGGAACTGAGCTGATGACTATGTAGTTGCTGTGGTCTGTTTTAATTCGTCCATTTTCCAGCAGTCCAGATGAGGAGGTCCATTTCACTTCTGGAACCGGATTCCCGTGAGCAACGCATTTCAGCATCATACCGTTAGCTTTGGCATCTAAATCCAGGGACAGGCTGAGGATTTGTGCTGGAGCTACAGTTGACCATCAAAAAAGATATCAGTAATTGAATGTGTACATGTGGTCCCAATAATAATATAAACATTATATGTTTGTATGTATGTATTTCGGAACAGAACAAAGTTAATTACACAAATAAGTACTGAGTTACTGAGGTTAAGGTTTGGTTTAAGTTAAGTTCCTTGTAATTTATGCATAATTTACTGCAATACTGTTAACTTATGGAACTACGTCACTTTAAAATAAAGTGTTACCATTGTTTAAAATCAGTAATGGTTGTTTTAAATAAATACAACACTGTAAAAAAATTCTAACCTCCCCAACTCAAAATTTTCTAGTGACTGGTCACACCTAAATTTTTCAATTGGCCTAAGTGAAATTCTGCAAATTTAATTTGATCAATTTGCAGAATTTCTCTTGGGCCAATTGAAAAATTTAGATGTGACCAGTCACTAGAAAATTTTGAGTTGGGAGGTTAGAAATATTTTACAGTGAATGGTTGTTAAACTTTGTGGAACATGTTTATTTTAAATATAATGAACTACACCAGTGAAAGTACTGAGAAAAGTGTGACTTAAGTGTCCAAAGGTGTCCAAATACTTATATAATATAATATATATTGTGTGTACCACTGTATATTTTGTGTCATCATACAAATGTGTAACACTCACCATTGATATTAAGCTCCGTGGCCGTCGAAGAACATCTTTCATAATCCAGCTCCACCCTACAGTAGTACTTTGTAGCATCGGTAAACTTTAAATGACTGATACGCAAGGAAATGTCTCCTTTCTTGGGGTAACCGTTAAGCGAGAGCCTCTCTGATGATCTTAGATCAGTGCAGTTAATGTTGTCTTGACTATTTGTCGTGTTGTGAAGATTGCAGTGAAAGATGAGTTCTCTGCCCTTCATCCATTTGACAATGATGACGCCTTTGTAATTATTTTGTTTTGGATGTGTGAAGTCGCAGGGGAGAATCACATTCTCTCCCAAAGAGCCGTTGACCTGAGGCTGTACTGACATCCATTGTGAACATGTTAGGCCTGCGGATGAGAACAGAACAATATACAATATAATAACTTCAGATTCTTGAGAAAATCTAAATCTGTTGTATCCAGTTTATATTAATTGCTTTAATTTTAATTATTTCTTACACTATAAAAATGAAAAGATAAGACTGCTAGACCAGAAGACTATAAATCAATAAAAAATACCTTTGAGACTACAAATAAAAGAAAGGAATCCAAACACAAAATCTCGCCTCTTTAGAGCGAACATTCTTGGATCTCACAGAGAGACACTTTAAAAAATGAAGGCATGCTGACTAAACATGAGGGTAAGAACTGACTAAAACAAGGAACTGTCTACTTACATTTCCCAAATAACTTTTTAAGTGAACTGGTAAGTGCAGGTAGTTTTTTTCCGTTAGAGAGAGAGAGAGAGAGAGAGAGAGAGAGAGAGCTAGATAGATAGATAGATAGATAGATAGATAAAAAGAAAGAAATTATTAATGTCATGAAGTCAGTAATGTGTGATGGTGAGTCAGAAATATAGGAACATGTTGCAAGTAGATTTTTTCTTTTTCATAATGAATCATAAATGTCTGCAATGGAAGTGCAACGGTTCAGTAAAACTCTCGGTCTGCTGGTGGTCCTTCATAGTGCAGGTAAGAATATTCAAAACAGAATTAGAATAGAATTACTTAGTAGAATTATTTGCTTTGAACTTCTCAAGCTTTATAGACATTTTTCTAGCTATAGCCAAAGACGATGACGGCTGGTTGATGAAAGCACCAACTGAGGTGCGGGCGATCGAGGGGTACCCGGTAGTGCTACCCTGCTCTTTCACCCACCCGCACCACACCCATCCCTCCTCCATGCATGTGGTATGGACCCTGGGCCACGGACGGGCTGCCACAGTTCTGTTCCGCTGCACGAGCCTGAACAACAGCCAACAGTGCCAATCCAAGATCAACCAGGACCACCGCTACCGTCTGGAGGGCAACCACCGAAACCATGACATCTCACTCAGGATCAACAGCGTGACCTTGAAGGATAGTGACCGCTACTACTGCCGTGTAGAGTTAACGGGGCACCCTCATACAAGCTTTGAAAACACGCTGGGAACCCGTCTACGAGTGGAGGGTAAGAAAAACAACATTTGACTTGACTTGCATGCTTTGAAATGGGAAAGGAAATATATTGTAAAATTGCATCTTTATGTTGACCAAAATATTGCTTCCTGATTCAACATCTTTTGTTGGTGCTGGAACAACATTTCTGTCCAAACAAGCATAGTTCTGACCCCAACCAATTATAACCTAATCAATAGCTATCCCTAAAAGAGAGAAATGTAAATAAAATAAATAAATAAAAAACCTGAATATGTTGGTATGAACTCTAACAGCAAATTGATTGGTTGTTCCAAGACCAATAAAGCATAGACTTGGAATTTATGGACCAAGTTTGATGAGCGCATCGTTTCTCCTAATGCCTGTTGAATTTCTCTTAATAGAGCGCAGCAGTAATGACGCATTTTTGTAGACCAACCCAGAAGTTAGTTTCACCCCCGTTCTCTCTTGGAACCCCAATTGGATTTTTCCTTTGGCTTTTGGATTATTGTAGAACATAAGTTCTGTGGCCTACAAAAGTTTATGACTTTTACAAGTTTTATCAAGATAATCTTCACAAATTAACACAAATTTTGAAGCCTAAATGAAAAAAAAGAAGCTACATTTAGACTATAAACAAACTACAACATGGTTGACCTTCAACGTCACCAGCACTAAGCTTTCGAAAACTCTTTTACTCTTTATTTAAAATATACATGATGGAACGTTTGAGTTAGAATATTTTGCAAAACACAACAAGGCTGTAAAAGCAGACTAGTGAGTAGATAAGTTAACCTGTTTGACATGATGACATTTAATATCCCAGAAAACCTCTGTTGGCCTTTTTAGCTACTGCCTTTTTCAAGACACATAGGCCTGGTTTCACAGACAGGGCTTAGACCAAACCAGGATTAGGCCTTGAGTTCAATTAGGATTTTTCAGTAGCTTTTATAAACGTGCCCTAGAAAAAAACATTACTGGTGTGCATCTTGAGACAAAACAATGACACTGACATATTTTTAAAATATGTCAGTGCAAGTTGCTTTCAGTTAAACCAGCTCAAACATGCAGTTTAGTCTGAGACTAGGCTTAAGCCTTGTCTGTGAAACTGGGGGATAAAAGCTTAAAAGATCTCGAGTAGGGTATTACCGATGTATTTCATGTTGTAGCATAAAATGTGAAAATATTTTCTGACATTTAACCAAAAAAAAAAAAAAAATATTTGACTTCAGGATGATGAATCCAGAAGTGCAAAAATACTTGCTTCGGGCCAATACAATTCAAATTCCAACTCATGCATTAAAAGGAAGTAAAATCTTAAATTCTGACAGGCTTTGTTTGTATTGCTCACTACTAGCTGCACCACGAATCCTGAGTTTGTCAGCTGAGGGGAGTGAAACATCTGGCTTTAAAGCAGTGTGTCACGTTCAGGGTTCCCCTCTCCCAGATGTTCAGTGGATCGCACCAGATGGGGTTCTAGAGGCAGATACTTCATTCTTGCTTTCTCAGGAGGCTACCGGGCAATACCGCACATCAAGCCAACTACTGGACGTCAAACCTGGAGGACAGTACATCTGTGCGGCTTCAAACTCTTTGGGGAAGGATCAAGCCACTCTCTATGTTTTGCCCCCCAGCCCAGAGAGGTCAACCGCAAAGAGCTCCTTCTCTCTCCTTGTGTTGCTTCTTGCTCTGGCGTTGGGGACAAAGCTGCTATTGGCTCTGGGTGTGGGAGCTTGGGTGATCAAGAGGAGGTTTAGCAGCAGCGTGGATAATCATTAAGTCATGCTCAAATAATCAAAACACTCTGGTCTTCAAAACTGTTTCTTGTCCCATGTGCGTTAAAAATACAGTCTTAAAATAAAACTTCCTGTTTTGAGGTGAGCCATATGACTCTGACTTCCGTCTTTGTCTGACCTGTCTGGAAAATCTAATCAAGTGACTTATATAATACTAACTGATCAAATCTACAAACTTCGTTCCTGCAATTAAGTTAAATAAGTGTCAAATAAACATTTTGAAAATGAAATTGAGTTGGAAAAGATAGGGAATTTTACATATTTCTTTGTCTTACACTGCGATATGCTGTACCAATACATAAAAAATATATATTTCTGTCCTCTCGACACTTTCAAGTCAACATTAAACGGCATTCATCACAATTCATAGTTTTTTCCCCACGATTTTTTTCTCACAAATCCTAATAAAAACCAACAGACTGGGACTTTATTTTATCCATCAAAAATTTATTTAATCCTGCAAAATGGTCTATATATGACACGTCCTTGGAGGGTTTGGAAAGTAAGATGAAAAAAAAAAAGATTTAAGACAAACAGTTGTAAGAATTACATGACTGTTACAGTAGGCTATTATGTTTTACCTTTACAATTAATGACTTAACATGAATATCAAATAAAGCCTATGACATTATTTTGTATTTAAAAAAAAGTTCTACGGACTCATTTAGTTTTATTAACATTCTTTAATTAATTTCACTGTTTTAAAGCTTAACCTGAATACACCTAAAAATGCATCTCAACTTGAACACTAACATCTAAAAGGCCAATAATAGTCCCATTCAGCCTAAAAAGAAGAAAAAGTTAACAGAGTAGGCTCTCTCTAATGATATAATGTCATTGCCCACCAGATAACATATAGGCCTATATCTAGTTTAATATAGGGGTATAATTATATAGTCTAGACCAGGGGTAGGCAAGTTCGGTCCTAGAGAGCCGCTGTCCTGCAGAATTTAGTTCCAACCCTAATCAAACACACCTGAACAAGCTAATCAATGTCTTCAGGATTACTAAGGCTATAGGCAGGAGAGGTTTTTTTCAGTGTTGGAGCCAAACTCTGCAGGACAGCGGCTCTCTAGGACCGAACTTGCCTACCCCTGGTCTAGACAGATTAACTTTGAGCATGAAAATTATACTATTTTCTCTATTGACCCCTAAACATACAGTCCTGAAAGGAGTTTACATAAGTATTGTAATTGAGGCATAAGTTGTTTACAGTATCACTGTAAGTGAGATATTTTATGGATAGATAGCACACAGGTTTCTTTTTAGTACAGCAGCCTGCGCTCTTCCACTTGAATTTCTTGCTGGGGTCCAAGGAAATTGAGGCACACAAGCCTTTCTCAGGTTTTTCAGGATGTCCTCTCTCCCAGTAAGTGAATTCCACAGTGGATGGAAAATTGTCCTCGTTTTTCCAGTACCACTCTGTTGTGTACAGGTTGCGCCGCAGACCGATCCAGCCCTCTTTGGATTCTTGGACTGTCGTGTTCAAAACCATTCTATTCACCGAGCTGTTAGCGACGATCCTGGCAAGCTGATCAGCGTTTTCCAAGCAGTACTTACGGGACATGAACCAGCTCATTTCATCTTTACCAAGTACAAACGTCTCCGGAGTCACCAGACAACCATTACCATCTAAACACACACAAACAAATATTTGGTATTCAGTTGGTATTGAACCGTTTTCAAAGTGCTAACCAATTAGCATAGCATGCTGCTAACCGATTAACCTGACTAAAAAGTCACAGTATAGCATGAAAGGTTCAGTATGTATCTATGTGTTAAAAAAAAATTATACAGTATATGTACATCTAATAATCATATTTTTATATATAAAAAAAAAATATATATATATATATAAAGTTAATTAATTCAAAATGACAGTCTTAGTAAATATGTGTAGAATACAATTATGGTTCTTTAAACACAGACTTACCTGGGTCCGTATTTATAGCTATTGCTGGGCTCCCATAAATAATGTTGGACTCCAAGCGTTCTATCATATATACACCGATCTTTGAGGTAGGATGCCAGATAGTGCCTATCTCTTGTGTCTCCACCAGAGCCCAAGAGTACTCTGTGCCTTCCATAATGCTCCATTTGATGCTTGAAGGCAAAGGCTGATCATTTATTCGCACACCATTAGTGCTGGATGTATTAGTAATCACCAAAGCCCCACTGCGTGAAGAATTAAAACCTAACAGATAGCAGCCAGAGAACATGCTTGTCGGAATGAGGTCTAGAATGAGTCCAGGACTGATTAATTGGAGGGAAACATGCACAGTGGTAGAAATAAAATTCCAGGAGAACGGCAAGATGTCTGTAGAATTTTGCACCAAAATACAATTACTAGAAAGACCCTGACAGACTTTGCAGGATTGATTTGTTGTCAGAAGTAGCTGTTTGGCACTGAAGATAGAGGGCACGAGGAATGTGGCTGGAATCTTGTCAAACACTGGGGGTTTGAGCTGGTTCACCACCATGTTGCATGAGCAGTTTATTGCGTCAAAACACGGATGGGTCAGGAGCACAGCCACTTTGTCCACTGCATTTATTTCTCTCACTGTCCCATTAATCTCAATCTGGAAAAGCTCGTAAGGACCGAGTGTTATTCTATCTGCCTGGCTCTGACCTCTTTCGTCAACCTGTTTGATGGTGACACTGTTGTTTCTGTCTACTGCATTGATAATCATCAGCCTAAAAGGAAGAAATCTGTCCGCCGATGTCATTAAAAGGCTAAAGGATGCGGCTACCTTGGTGTAATTCAGAGCAGGGACCTGATATACCGTTCCGAGATGTTGTTCAGGCTGGACAACACGAGACTGGAATCTCCCCTGCCATCCACTCACAGAAAGAACTGTGACGTTTTTATCACTGGTGATTCGAAAAGACTTATTGGAAGAAACAAACCGGTTTTCTTCAACGTTCTTTGTCAAATACACTGTCAGAATGGTCCCGTTTATGATGCATTCAGTGGTGTTGACGGTGCCTTTGGCCAGATAGGTGACATTGACTATAGTGTTTGGGTGGAGGGTGGTGATTTTCAGTAGGTTTATGGTCTTTTTATAATAAACAGCAATATTCTCAGGGAATGCAGTGATGAAACTAGTCCCACGACTGTCCATTGAAAGCCCTGTGAAAGTTCAACAGCCCAATCATAAATCAGTTTGTTTTGCCATTTAATCCAATTTATTTTCAGCCAGTGGTAATCACTACTGATGCACTAATATTGCTCTGTTGATAATGGAGGGTAAATACTTGTACTTGGTCATACAATATCATCATTTGATTATATAAATATAATCATCATATGATAACAATATCATCATTATCATGTCTCTGAGAACACTGAAATGATGACTTGATTCGACAAAATTGGACTACTTTGAAAATGTCAAAGATTTGTGTTTTTTTAAACATGAACAAAAAGAAAGACTGCCAATTGTAATATTTGTAACAGCGATTTCAAGGGTAGGACAATTTGATTAAAAAAATATATTATCTTCTGGAGTTATCTTATTGTATTAGTGCATCCCTAGAAATCCCATTAGATAGTAACTTACCTTGACTAAACATTAAAATGGTCAACAGAACAGTCAACATGACTGCGTATTCTGCCTACGCAGCTCCTCGTTGAGTGACTCGTGAAGTTGGTTTCAGATGGTAAGCCACTGCTGTGTGCTGACCTGCCAAAAAAAAAGAAAGAGTAAAATACTAATTATTTAGGAGATTTGTTAAAAACACTCAGTTGATCCAGTGTGTTCACTGTACAAAATTGACGTGCACTCAAAAAGACGATAATATTTTTCCACTGAGGAGGCTCTTGTTACAGTTAGTCAAACTAGTGCTGAAACAAGACTACTATGTAAAATACCTGCTTTCAATATATTTTGTCTCTCATTTGCAGTTTTTTAACGTTTGGGTTTGGTAAAAATGCAGATACAATTGTTAGATATTATTACAATTAAATATATCCTTTGTATTATATATATATATAAAATTGATTCTTGTGATAGCAATATTCATCAGTCTTCAGTGTCACATAATTCTTCAGTAATCCTTCTAATATGATTTGGTGCTCAAGAAACATTTCTTCTTATAATAATTTTTATTAAAAAAAAAAAGTTGTGCTGCTTAATATTTTTTTTTGTGGAAAGTGACATTATTCCAGGATTTTTTTAAGAAAGTTCGAGAGAGCAGAATTTATTTGAAATAGAAATATTTTGTTACTTTATAAATATTTTTACTGTCACTTTTGACCAATTTATTGCACCATAAAAGTATTCATTATATATACATACACACATACATACTGTACATGCACATCTAGGACTGTCATTACACGTTTTCAGGTGGCAGTGAAATTATTACACTAAACAAGCAAGAAAATTAAAATAATAAACAAACAAATAGACATGTTATAGCTATCAAGAAGAATATATGAAACAATCCTGATGGTTACTATCATTAATGGTAACAACATTAATATTTACTCTTCAGCAAATGTGTTGAGCAGCTTTAGATTGAGTAGTCACATATTAAATTAAGGTTTGAAATGTCATACAAAGTATATTAAATACCATAAACAAAACCATTTGATATCAGTTAATATCTAGGAGGCTGTATTAAAGCTTTTTATTCATCCAAATAAACTTATTTGTCATGTGCTTAAATTGTTGGTATTTCTATAGAATTAACAACTGTTTATAATGACGACATCTAATTATTCTGCATCACCTTGAATTAGATTCCCTTCTGAAGAAAAATAGTATCTACATTTTGTTATAGTGCTAGACCACTTTTGAAAGAAGAACATTCAAAAATATTTAAGCATTTTTATTGACTCAAGAATAATGCAAAAAATATCCTACCTTATATTTTGATCAGCGCTCTTCTTCTATTTGAACAGAGTGAGCCGTGCATTCTCTGTTCATTCAGTAAAAGAACATTTGACATTCAAAAATCGTTCTCTCCTCTCCCCATGTGGTTTTGCATAAGATGCTGGAAAGATTTGAGTCTTAAGATCAACAAGTTTCATATAACAAATGTAGAAATTCACCAACAACTTCAAACTTCAGAATCCACACTTTATTCACTCAAAATAATTCAGTTTCAAAACAGTACATTTTCAATGTTACATTTTATCTGCCACAAAACTGACCATTGTTTGTATCAACACATCACAACTTTCAATTCCACTGTTTGAACTTCTCTTTTCTGCATTTCACTAAATAGAAATTTCCTAAAGAATATATAACATTAAACTCCTTATATCTCTTAAGTGTTCGCTTTCTTTGTAATTTACTCCAACGAACAGTGCTGCTGGGAAAACATGATGAAATTCATTTAGAGTTTTGTCTGAAGTTGGGCTGATATGCCCAAATCTGATCCAATAACATGTTTTCCATTTGAATTTTACAATATATAAAAAAACGACTCCCAATACAACATCTAGATGCCTTCAGTCCTTCTGAGCTGTGACATTAAAAAAACAGTGGCGCTTGGTCAGACCCCTTTAAGCCCAAATTTGTGTATTTTCTGCAGACATATTTGGTATTCAAAATACACAAGTTCCTTTCCTTTGCATAAAATAATTGATATGTTAGTGGCAAAAGATGACGTAGGCTATTTTCATTCTTTTGACATGAAAAACTTTGCCTGGTACTTGATCTGTTAATCAAATCTGCAATAGTATAATTACAAAGATCAAATTAATGGTGTTTGTTTACTTCAATATGGTTTGAATTGCTTCCTGAAGCAGCAACCTAACACCTCCTCTAAATAAAAAAACATTTCCCCATTTAAACATATGATCGCCAATTTGAATTAATCTATACATTTCTAACACTTCTTTAAACAATTTATACCATATATGCTGAAAAAACAGCCAACACAATCATCGCTAAAGAAACCTAAAGAATAATTGTATTTGCAATAAGAGATTTTAACAAAAAAACATGCTGATGTATATAAAAAAGGAAAATACCTCTTTCTAGTCTCTGGCACAATAGTTCAAACTGGAAATTTAGTTTTGGGCCTTTCTGTCTAAAGTATTTTAAAGGAAAAAAAAGAAAAGAAAACATTTGTCAAACCTGAGAAGCTCCAAAATGCATTATAAAAGTGGTCCATTCTGTAATTCAAACCTGTGTGTTATATTCCAAGTCTTCTGAATCCTTTATGTGCAGAAGGGATTCAAATTAAAGTCACTATTAATTGAAAACTTGCATGGCTTTAGAAGACTGGGATAATAGCACACAAGTCATATGAACCACTTCTATGGTGCTTTATGGAGATTGACAAACGTGATCAAAATTTAATATTGTTGTACGGAAAGAGCAGCATAAAAACCCTTCAAAAATTCTCCTTTTGTGTTGATTCTACTGTTTAAATGGCATAAGGGTGAATAAAGTTTTTAATTTGGGTGAACTGTTCAGGGACTGAACATCAATTTTATGACAGACATCCTCAAGAATCTGCTTATTAGATACGGCACTGAATATTCTTCATCAAAATGTGTCCGACAACAGAAACCAAGCTACGGCTGTGGCAGGAAGCTGCGAAATTCATTCATTCCTGCCCACCCCCAGCATGACCTAGAGGTTTACGTGCTCCTCCAGGTCGGCCCGAGTGCTTGTGCGGACCCTTTCCTCGGCCCGCCCCGTCCACCCTTCCTGCCCCTGTTCCTCCCCTCTTCCTTTTCTGTTCATGTCTTGGGGTTGCCGCTTCCTCTTTGAGAGCCTGAGCCCAAAAGGCATCAAAAGAACCGGGCGCTTGGTAACCCGGCTGGTTCCTATCAAGTGGGTCTCTGGAGAGCAGAACCCAAACACTAGGTACATTTCTGCTGACTGTGAGACTGTCCAAGCCGGCCTCAGGCTCCAGGGGCTCCCAGACCTCCTGAACCGTGCGGTAGGCAAGCTTGGTATGCTGGTGTAGGCAGCGAACACGGCGTTTCATGATCTCCACGCACGTGATGGCTTTAGCCACGCTCTGACCCACACCTGTGAACACGATTTGGCGGCATAGATTCTCCCCCGACCCAACGCTCACCTCTGAGCCTTCACAGGTGTCTGGATGATCTGTTGAAGGGGCTTTCTCCTCCATACGGCTTAAAGCAAACCTCATCAGGTTCCGGACTTTGCTGCCATCCTTCACTCGAACTTCGGGAGTGTTGCTGGGCAGGTCGGGGAACGGACACAGGCAGGGCTGGTCAACTGTGCGTGCTTTTCTGTAGTTCTCCATGACATTTAGCCTTCACAAAGGACAAAAGGCAGAATGAGTGACTGCATATCAGTTATGTGAGTATTGAGTAATAATGTATTGTGGTTCAAGAGTACTAGTTTGTTTTGGAAAAAGAAATCTCACAAAAATTCCCCACATATATCTATTAGTATATTAGGAACTCTATGCCCAACTGCAAAAGTGCGTTTTTTGTACCAATGACTTTGGTTTCAAAGATCCCCATATCCACGTAATGTAAATAGAATAAACAAAAAAATTTGGCAGTGTCCTCAGAACAAGGATGATTTCCATAGATGACAGCTCGTGGCAAGTTAGTTGTCACATATGTGTTTATATGTTATCGAAAACAGCATAATTATTCAGAGTGACACGTGAAAAATATTATGACAAACTTACTTTCGTTTCCTTTGCTAAAGTAGCGATCAGGCTAGCAAGTTCAGATGGCTGCAGCTGTTTTTCTAAATAATTGCGGGCTTGCGTCGTTCCATATAACTGAAATATGGACGCTTAGCTTCGAGAACCTTTTTTTTAAATGCAGAGTTATCTGACTACAGCTAAACCGACCCAATTTGCGAAATTCAAACGTTAAGCTACAGATCGCTTATCCACATGTAACGGCGTGTGACGTCAGGTCTGCCGTAAAGTGCCTCAAATGTTCATGGGAAGTGTAGTTTTGATTTAGCAATTTTATAAAATCTTAGAACATTTTAAAATAATAATAAATAATAAATAAACAATAATAAAAATAAACAAACATGACCCCAAAAAAATAATTTACATATAACATAACTTATATTTTTTCCTTTATGTTTTGCTCACATGCATTAATTAAATATTTTGTGAAGGAGTAAAATAAATTTGATATAGCTAAACAAGCAAGCTCATGCAAAGACCACATATGAGGAGAATAATCTCTTCAGGATAATCTCTCGAATTACTGAGAATTCAGTCAGGATAACAGTATATGAACTAAAAAAAGTTTTGCTTTTGTTCTCAATTTTAAAATGATTTAAAATTTAAAATCCATAAATCTTTACGTCTTAATGTATTTGTATTTTTCTGATGGTCCCTTGTAAAAGAGCTGTTGTTACAGCTCAGACCGGCACAGCCCGTGAAGAAGAGTGGTTTATAAGAACTTAGCGCCACCAAGCGTTCAGACTTAAGAACTGGAATTATAAACCAGTCTGAGATTGAATAAGGTTCGAAATCAATTGAAATTGTTGAATCATAATTATTACAATCATAAGTAGCCTACCAAAAGTGTATTCATGTTTTGATACTTTTTATGATACTGATAAAACCGTCTATAGGAGACATTTGCGAGTATTGTTTCTGTAGGTAGATCATGACCTCATTGCTGTTTTTGTTTTCTGTATTATAAAATATCCCGTTACGGTATGTGAGAAATCCCAGCAAACGATTCAGAACTAGCTACAATGCACCTAATTAAATAACATATTTGTACATCTTTAGGTCTACAAAAAAAAACATATCTGTGTGTGTAAATTAATCTACTAAACAAACGTATAGGGCCTACTTAAAAAAACTACAACAATGTACCAGATTAAAGAACATCTTTGCACATCTTTAAGTCTAACAAAAAATAACATGTCAATGTGCGTGTGAGTGTGTGTATATTCTTAATCATAGTCACAGGTCTGACAGATGAATGATGCTGGTAACCCTGGAGTGCAGGCTTGATGGGCCCAGAAACTATAGGGTGCATTTCACCTCTGTCAGTCTTTCTTTTCCATGCCATAAGTTATTCTTTAAAAAGAAAGTTATATTAGTTATATTCTTAGTAAGGGGATGGTTGTAAGACTTTTTAAATAAGTGTTACAAACCACCCCACCCCTATCAACCAATGTTGAGCAAGCTGTATTAGCATAGTGGTTTGAAATTGCAGGGGGAAATGCATCACTTATTGCCTAAGAAACTACTATTCAATCTAATGTATCTGCAATAGTATAGATACTAAACAAAATATAGCATTGGTCAAAATTTCAAAATCAGTTTTTTCTCTATATATTCTGCATGTGCCTGTTTCCAGCCTTTAGATCACCATGCTGGATCAGGGAGGAAGTAAAATACTGAAGTGATCACATGACTCACATCTTATCCCTAACTGGTGGAATTGGCTTTATGCCACAGCTTCACTACTTCCTGAACTTCAGCCAGCCCTTTGTTTCCTGTCTGTCATTATTGGACAAACTGATTAATCCAGGTGTGCCTGGCCTCAGTAACAATAATCAGGCACACCTGGATTAATCAGTTTGTCCAATAATGACAGACAGGAAACAAAGGAGCTGGCTGAAGTTCAGGAAGTAGTGAAGCTGTGGCATAAAGCCTATTGATGGTGTTACAACTCTCCCCATGTTACAACCTTCCCCGGTCTCCCCTACTTATGTTTTATCATTTAATCATTTAGACCTTAAATATCATTTAATCAAATGTAATCAAAATATTTTAAAGAAATCATTATTATCATGTTGATATGTTTCTCATTACTATCGTGTGTTACCATTATTATAATTTGATGTTAAATGCTTTTCTTTTATTAATCTTTATGCCTCAAATTTAGCTGATTGACTTAGCGTGAACTTTTGTATGCTGTTTGATGAGGTCAAGAATCTATACATTTCCAATAGACAGACCACAAACACTCAAATATCTCAGAATAAAGTGATAAACGAATGTTATCTTAGCTAAAGATCTTGCAGAAGAGACATGTTGTGCAGTTGTTCTGTATTGTATTAAGATGAACAACTTTCTGACACCTTTGGGGTACGAGACAATGTGTGTACGGCCCCCCTCGACGGTGTGAAACCACAAAAGAACGATGTGCTTTTGTCGTTAGTGTCTGCTCAATGTGATAGTAGAGGAACTTAGCCTAGCTGTGCTGATAAGCATCTGCATAAGAGGAAGAATATTTTCTGTAATGGTCAATCTCAACTTGGATGAGACCCTGTTCCTTTGGCAACTTGTCTTAAGAGAGCTCTCTCAAACAACTTACTTACCTTTAAGCAAGAATATTATACTCCGAGTTTGAATTATATTTTACTTAGAAATATTAGAAGTGATTTTAACTGTTCATTTATGTTTCTTTATTAAACTTTTAATTCTGATTATGTGAATTAATTTTACTCTTCATTTATTATTTGATTGTCTGCTGTTAAGAAATAAAATTTGCCTTAATCATCTGACTGGATCTCCTCCCTGCACCACAAAGGATATGATTATAGATTTTAGAACTTATGTTTCACATTATGATACTACGATCAGTAAAGACCAGGCTGTGGTTTGTGACATACAGTCGTAGACTACAGATTGACCTTTGAGGAGAGTTGTGAAAAGCGACACCAGCATCTGTTTTACCTCAGAAAACTATCCAGATTTCACACTGATAAATCTATGATGACCCTTTTTTATCAGGATTTCTTTGAATCAATCGTGTCCTCCTCCCCTGGGTCGTGGTTTGGTAATCCGTCTCTGAAAAACAGAAATTCTCAACCAAATTGTCAAATGGGCTATTGAGATTATCCATGAGCTTCAACTCAACCTATCAGGTCTCTATCCACACAGCTGCGACATAAGGCGAGCTCTATAGCCTATTAAAGACTGTTTCCATGTTGGATTCCAGCTCCTTCATTCTTGTTGTCGGTTTGTGGCCCCTAGGTGGAGAACAAAACGATACAGGAATACTTTTTGGGTGAAAATGTTGTCATCATTTACTCACCCTCAAGTTGTTCCAAACCTGTAGCCAATATGGCATAATATGGCAAGCCGTTTTAACTTTTATTCATTTCCAGGATATGAATCCTTGATATCAACAATTACATTTTCACTAGTTAAAATGATAATTATTGATATCAGGAATAATATTTCCACTAGTAACAATGGCAATTTTGGATATCAGGAATTACATTTTCACTAGTAACAATGCTAATTCTTGATATCAACAATTGAATTTCAACTAGTTAAAACTATATTTCTTGATATCTGTAATTGTATTTTCACTAGTGAAATGTCACCATAGGCTGCCATTCAAAATCAATTCTTGATATCAAGAATTGATTTCTTACTAGTTGAAATTCCAATTTCACATATCAGAAATACAATTCTTACTAGTAAAAAAACTTTATTTTTGATATTAAGAATTAAATTGTCACTAGTTGAAATGTCTATTCTTGATATCAACATTTGAATAACAATGTTAATTTTTGATATCAATAATTCAATTTTCACTAGTGACAATGTTAATTTCTGATATCATGAATGTGATTGTTACTAAGAAAGCCATTTTAGATATCTGAAATAATATTGATATCAGAAATACATTTTCAAATATCAAAAATGAAAATTTCTACTAGTAGCAATTCAGTTGTTGATATCAAGAATAGACATTTAGACTAGTGACAATTTAATTGTTGATATCAGGAATTCGCATTTTTACTAGTAACAATGTAATTATTGATATCAAAAATTAGATTTCTACTAGTAAGAAATCAATTCTTGATATCAACAATTGATTTTGAATGGCAGCCTATGGTGACATTTCACTAGTGAAAATACAATTGTTGATATCAAGAATTACATTTTTGATATCAATAATTCAATTGTTGATATCAAGAATTCAATTGTTGATATCAAGAATTCAATTGATATCAAAAATGTAATTGTTGATATCAAAAAATGTAATTCTTGATATCAACAATTCATATCCTGGAAATGAATAAAAGTTAAAACGGCTTGCCATAAGCCTATGCATTTCTTTCTTCTGCTGAACACAAAAGATGATATTTTGAAGAATGTTGGTAACCAGTCTCATTGACTTCCATAGTATCTTTTAAGTCAATGGGGCCCATCAACTGTTTGGTTATTACCCTATGTGGTTATACCCTCGGGTACTAATAAAGACGGTCTAGCGACAATGCTGATCATACCATCCATTCCATTGAACCGTTAATCTGAAGCTGGACAGACTTGATCTTCTCTTGAGTGCTTGTCAATGTTTGCTTCACTATAGCATCTCTGCTGACAATAGCCTGAATGTACAGTAGCTATGACATATAGTTGTTTTACATTCCGACAGGTTATAATAGTTCTGTGGGTAGTAAATACCCTCATCTATCCAGCCTTGGTTAAAGAGAATTTGCACCTACAAAAAGCACTCAACACGCACATTAATTGGCTCTAGAGATAATATTCTACAGAATGTTTGGTATATGCTGTGCTTTATGAAAGCATATTTATTCATTTAATCAAATGATAGAGATTGCTTTAAATCGTATAGTTTTCAGCAATTATACCGGTAGATGATTCAGGCTCAAACATACAGAACAATGCCATAAGGGATGATTACAGTTATTAAAGTCATAAATAGGCTGATTAATGGTTCCTACAAGGTGAGATTAGAGCTATTAAGCTCGCCAAGCGATAAAATTGATTCATGCAGTCCTGCAGAGTCAGATGCAGTTCTCATCAGGCCTGAGACAATGTCTGTTGAGTGGATTCTGTTTGCACAGAGTGATATGCATATTTACAGACTTTCTTTGATACAGCAACTTGCTACCGTACATGAAGTGGATTATATTGGTCACTAAATGTTTTACTAGATATGTACACTATGTAACATTATTTCATCAGCCTCAATACTTCATTTTGAGCATTAAATCAGCAGATGATACTATAGAAAGTGTTGAATTAATATTTAATAAGGCACAAATAAGGACTGCATACATTTTAAAAAAAAAAACATAATGCATAACTCATGACTGATACCAAATATCATGCTTTATAGAATTTTAATTCTATACATTTTATTGTTGATGTGGCATTCGTAACTCCAGGATCTATTTCCTGCTTCCATTTGAGTTGATGTCTAAGCTAAGTTGAAAACATAATTCAGGATCCATCTGTTTGAACGTTTAAAACATTTCCATACATTCATGGTATCAACGCAACTGCTTGACATAATTTCAAAAAGTCATTTAACCTTATTTAATTTTATTAGGCGTCTAAAATAAATCTAATATAAAGACAAATTAAATTTATTTAAAAATACAGCTCAGATATGCAGGTGGTGATTAATGAGCCTAAAGAAGAATAGCATTACTAGTAAGCACTAAACTTAAGGAATAGTGTTTAGAAACCAGTTTTGTGAAGGATTGAGGCATACTGGCCTTTTGTAGCAGACAGGCTTCTTTTTATCACAGCAGCGTGCACTCTGCCATTTGAAATCATTTTTAGGGTCCAGGGACATTGAAGCACATAAGCCCTTCAAAAGGTCCAGTGGTTGCCCATCGTCCCAGTGGACGTAATTGACATTGGGTTCATAGTCCTCCTGCCAGTACCACTCTGTAGTTAGTAGACTGCGGCGGAGACCGATCCAGCCCGTCCCGTCCTTCGTGGTCAGGCTATCAGCCATGTCCTTCAGGACGGCTTTGCTTACAGGACAGGCAAACTGATTTCCATTATTCATGCAGAACTCAAACGACTGCGTCCAACTCAGAGGGTCAGGTCCAACTGCAAATGCTCCAGGAACCAACGCACAGCCATGAAGATCTGAATGCATAAATAAATGAACATTTTTACCTTCACAATTACATGCCTTGTGGCTGGGGATGTGCACCATTCAGAATTAAATTGAGAATGTTTCTCTTTTTTTTTATTCTAATAATTTAGTTCCTGAAATTGAATTGAGGCACCAAACAGGATTCAGAATTGGGTAGCACTTTAGAATACCGTTCCGTCATTAATGATTAAAGAACTATACAGGAACAAATGAGTAACACACTATTAACTTAGTAACTATTAACTCTGATTAATTAATAATTAGTAATAGTGCTTAGTCGAATGTGGTAGTTCACTATTAGCATAATGTATGATTCATTCTAAAGGGAAGATCATGGTGACTCAAGTATTACCAAATCCTTCAGAAGGAAGGACTAATTATTTGAATCAGTATTCTAAAGTGAAAAACATGAAAGCTCTCTAGTAATGACTGAAATCTGTTTTCTGTAAGGTTTTAGATAATGACTCAAGTGTTAAGACATCCTTCTAAAAAACTACTAATAATTTGGATCAGTATTTTAAAGAGAAGACCATTCTGTTACCCAGAATTACTAGTTTTTTTTTATTCGCTTTGGTACTATTTTCGGAAGTAAGGTGTACATTTTTCAAAACAACTTGTTTGCAATTTCCGATATGGATAACCAAATGTAATGAATTCTTTTTACATAAGTGATTTATAGATAATAACCACCACTATGTTCAAAGTGTGTGCACACGCATGTGTGTGTGAGAGAGATACAGAGAAATTTGCCATTTGTGAAAACACTGTAAAGCAGAATAGAGTATAATGGAGAGGAAACGGTCAATGACTGTAAAACAGTAGATTGATCTAGAAGGGAGGGAGACAGATGGCATCAAATACAGCATTTTACATTACTGTTAAAAGTACTAAATTGAAAGAAGATCATACTGTTGTGTTTCTGTGATTAAACCAAACGTTCTCATTACATATTACAATAATCTTGTGTTTGAAACAATGATTATGTGGACTGAAAAATGTATAACTGTAATGAAAGCATGGGATCAGTTTGGATTTTTGTACTAAGAGTTTTGAAAATGTACACCTTACTTGTGAAAATAGTACCAAAGCGAATAAAAAAAAACTGTAATCACAGAAACACAACAGTATCTTCTTTCAATTTAGTACTTTTAACAATCAGTTCATTCAACAGCAAACAATGCAAGATACATGTTTCAAACCACCCTTGTTGCTGAAATAATTACAGTATTACAGGCAGTTGCCACATTAGAAAATACACGTGCATTACCTAACTTATGTAATTGAATCTATAATGTTTGTAATAGTATCTGCAGTGAGTTATCAAAAGCTGTGATGAAGTATGACACAGCCATGAGGTTCTGTGCTAGAACAGAGTTTGCTGCCAATACAGTAAATGTGTTCACTCTATCTGAATCTATACTGTAGTGGACCTTTACAGATGAAGGTTGAGTTACAGTAATGTGGCAGTCTCTACCATGGTAATCTGTTTACAGTATCACATGGCATACATACTGTAATGTAAAATGCTGTATTTGATACCATTCTGTCTCCCTCCCTTCTAGATCAATCTAATGTTTTACAGTCATTGACCGTTTCCTCTCCATTATACTCTATTCTGCTTTACAGTGTTTTCACAAATGGCAAATTTCTCTGTATCTCTCTCACACACACATGCGTGTGCACACACTTTGAACATAGTGGTGGTTATTATCTACAAATCACTTATGTAAAAAGAATTCATTACATTTGGTTATCCATTTCGGAAATTGAAAACAAGTTAATCAATATCTATAGAAATCTATAGGTGTACCAAATGATTCATTGATTAACCATTAAGATCAGTTGGATTAAATAATAGACAAATGTATTAAACTGAACAAAAAGAGATGCAAATCAAAAGTTTGAGAGTAAGAGCTTTATGAAAGGCAGTTACTGTGAATGAAACAGTTATGTAGATGAAACACTTATTTTGTGTTGTGAAAAGGATACTTTGTGATTTTGTGAATTGTACTAACACAATTGAAAACATGATGAAATGTTTGAAAAAAGTGCACTTTTGATGATCTGTTGTGATATTAGCACTAAGAGTTTTGAAAATGTACACCTTACTTCTGAAAATAGTACCAAAGCGAATAAAAAAAAACTGTAAACCAAACGTTCTCATTACATATTACAATAATCTTATGTTTGAAACAACGATTATGTGGACTGAAAAATGTATAACTGTAATGAAAGCATGGGATCATGTTTTGAAAGAATGACTAGCTGTGTTACAAGTGTGATCAGTTTGGATTTTTGTACTAAGAGTTTTGAAAATGTACACCTTACTTGTGAAAATAGTACCAAAGCGAATAAAAAAAAACTGTAATCAAATTTGAATGTAAGGAAGTAGAATTAACATCATACAGTACAAAAGTATTTTTAACTAAAAACGATTAGATAGATAGATAGATAGATAGATAGATAGATAGATAGATAGATAGATAGATAGATAGATAGATAGATAGATAGATAGATAGATAGATAGATAGATAGATAGATAGATAGATAGATAGAAAGATAGATAGATAGATAGATACTTTTTTTACCTGGTTTTTCAGTGATGGGTATAGCTGGGCCTCCAAAAAGTACTTTCGCATGCACATATTCCAACATATAAACAGCAATCTTTGAGGTTGGATGCCAGATTGTGGCACTTCGGTCTTGAATAGTTACTTCAGTCGAAGAGTACTTTGTGCCGGCAATTGCAGTCCATTTAGATGCTGATAGCAAACCATTATGTGTGCGCACATCATCTTTGCTGTCTGTTTCAGCTATCACCACAGCCCTGCCATTTTGTGTAGAAAACTGCAGCAGGTAGCAAGCAAAAAACATGGTGTCTGGGATCAACTCCACAATGAGGCCCAGACTGACAAGTCTGAGGGACACTCTGTCCGAAGCATTTACCAGTTGAGATGTCTCCAGGTTTGAAAACGGCAGAAGATCTGAGGCATTAGCTTCTAACTGGTTACCATCATGAAAGAGCGAAGATGGGTTTTCTGACAGCACAAGTAACTGGGTCTCGGCCACATTGAAGATGGATGGTACGATAAAGCTCCGACCCTGAAACTTTGTGGGAAGAATCTGATTCATTATCATGTTACAGTAACAGTCTGCAGTCTCTACACACGGGTGGGTCAATATCACAGCTACTTCTTTGCTAGATCTGACCCTCAGCACGGAATTGTTGGTCTGAAGCTGGAACAGCTGGTAAGGATCGATATCGAAAGTCTCTTCTTGAGCATCTGTTGATGTTTGCTTGACTACAGTGATGGTGTTTTTACTGTTCACAGCATTGATAATGAGTAACCTGAATGAGCTGTATCTCATGGTTGTACTGACAAGCCTAGGAAGGTCGAAGGATTCAAGATACCCTGGGTAATCCAGCAGAGGGATCAAATAGTCTGTACCGAGATTAACCGTGGGCTGGACGACATTGGTCTGGACGCTTGTTGCCTGCCAACTTTGAGAAACCACTGTGATGTTTTTGTCACTGGTAACTCTGACAGATGCGATCGAAGAGCCAAGCTGATATACTTCAGCAGATTTTGGAATCTGCACATTCATGGTCTGTCCTGACTGCTGGATTTGTAAGGCTTTCTGTGTGTTTTTGTAGAAGACTGTGAATGTAGTCTGGTCATGAAGGGCCGTGACTTTTAAAAGGTTCCAGGGATACCACGGATAGAAGAAACCTAGGTTCTCTGGAAAGGCCGTGATGAAGTTGTCTCCATAGCCCACTTCTGTAAGACCTTAAATGAAAATGTTCATTGTACAGGAGCTGCATTCCAAATAACTTTTTAAAAAACAGCAGCTCATTAAAGATTTTCAGGTAGTATTGAAAAGTACAACAGAAACTGCCCAATCTGGGAGAAACCAGATCAGAAAATCATCAGTAAATTAATATTACATTTATTCACTTAGTAGAAACCTTTATCCAAACCACAGACATAGAAGATAGTAAAAGTGCTTCCCTTACCTTGGCAAAACATTGATGCGATCAGCAGAACAACAAGCATGATCATGGCTTTAACTTGCTGGAAGAAAAGACAAAAACTGCGAAGAACAAAAATTGATTGTAAAATATGTTTTGGCACACATTAATGTATAGAAGGTTTTTAAATACATGCAACACAGAATCCCGTCACAAAGCAACTAATTCGAACAAACTGAATTAAACTGATGACAAAAAATTCTAAAATCCATAGATTGTCAAAAAAGTAAAAAACAATCTATAATTATCATCAAAGTAAAAGACAATGAAACAACAAAAAAGTTGTCTTTTTTGATGTCTTAAGATTAATATGTGAAATGGTATTTCTTTGCAGAAACTCAATTACAGCAAAAACTCTTACCAGATGTCTTGATCAGCACTGTTCTCCTCTCTAAGGATCACCTCTTTGCCCTTATTTTAGTTAAAACACATTTGACTTTCAAAATGCTTTTTTTTCTCTCAGATTTGCATGGGATCCTGGCTACGCAATTGACTTACATGCTTCATTTGACATAATGACTTTCAAAATGCAAAATCATGCTACTAAATTCCTAAAATGCCATACCATACATCCACCAGATTTGCTCAAGAGCATTTAAAAACATGTTTTCAATTGTTATTACAATCGTTTCGCCACGTTTGTTTACTGCATATAGACAGCCAAATGTGGCATTACTGATAGAAACAAGACAGCACGGCACAAATTCACTCACATGATGTTAACATTTCACATCTATGATAAACATACATTAGATAAAAACATTTTAGATTGTAAAGTTGGATTATAGCTACACTGATAAATGACAAATACTTAAAAAAAACACGTCCCATAGGGTATAGAACACCATAAAGAGGAAGACACAAATTATGAATTACATTTTTTTTATTGAAAACAACTGAATTTGTAAATTAGATACACAAAATAACTAATATAACTATATGTACATACATATATATAGACTGTTTATATATATATATATATATATATATATATATATATATATATATATATACATACATACTGTGCATGCATGCATACACACACAAAAAAAACTATACAAAAGCAGGACCAAAAAGGATTTATCAGATCAGATTAACCAATCGCTGTTATGAGGTACAAAAACACTCGCTAGAGTTTCTATTTTCTATTTTATATATGTAGTAACAACATACATTTTGTAACAGATACTTTTAATATTAAATAGGATGCTCTATGCTGGTTTAAAACTATGGTGACATATAGACAAGCAAATTCTTGTAGCAATTAAAGTGAGTTTTTTTTTATTATATAAAGTCTGTGCCCTTTTGGATTTTATAAACCACATTTATGATTCAATAAAATGCTGCCTGTTACCTGATTATGCCTATTTTAGGTGTCTATGTGTTTAAGAACCGTAGATTTGCCTAAATGACATCGCAGCATGGAGGCGATGGTGAGCTGAAAGGCGTCAGCCAACAGAGGATAAACAATGCACCAGAATCAAGCCAAACAGGCTTGAAGGAGTGGCCCTTTTCAAGAGCATTGTGAACGTATGACATATACTTGTATTCAGCTTAACTAATTTCACTTTAGGTGCCTTCACTTTAGATCACCCTACATTACATCTGACATTACAACAGTTTTTACAGTTGTCCAGCTTGAGAGCCTATTCAGTTTGTGCGATAACAGTACGCCATAAAATATTTCATTAACTATCATGGACAATAACATATTTTATTGCGTTTTTTAAAAGATCCACATATTTTAATGTTAAAAAAAAAAAGTGTTAAAATGGCTTTACATTATGCATAATAACAGACATGTAATAGCAAAAGGTTTTATATAATTGAGAAATTAGATTTTGATCTAGTCATTGAATTCAAATAAAAATAAATTACATGGATATAAAGGACAGACCTTTTGGTTAACGATGTAAAAATGATTATCCAGTGAATCAAAGGTCAAATCACTGAAGTATAGGGCCTTTTTGTAGCAGACGGGCCTCATCTTAGAGCAACAGGGCACACTCTTCCAGGAGAAATCCTTGTTGGCGTCCTGCGACACAGAAGCGCACAAAGATTTCCAGGGGGTCTCTCGATGCCCATCGGCCCACTTCGTGTAGTTCACGCTGTATTCGCCATCATTGCCGTTCTTCCAGTACCACTGTAATGTGAGCAGACTGCGCCGCAGCCCGATCCAGAAGTACCTGGGGCCGCCGTCTTTTAGCAGAAAGCTGGTCATCTCCCTTTGGGCCCTTGCGCTGCTTGCTATGCTCAGCTGTAAAGTTGCATTTAAGCAGTAATCATGGGACTCGGGCCACGTCATGACATCAGTAGTGGTCTTATATAGTGCAGGATCTGCCATACAGCCATCACGATCTATGTGCATACAAACATACAGTGACGTTTTCAGTAATCACTGGGAATTTTGATTTCATTCATACTTTAATGTAACTTCAAGTAGGCCTATATATGATATATTGGTCAATGTATGAAACAATAGGAACACATTTTGTTTGTTTGTTTGAAGATTATCTGAGCTATTTTCTAAATGAAAGAAGACAGATTTTTATTTTCAAGCTCTAAAAATTTGAGTTGTGCATTTATTTACATTTATGCATTTGGCAGACGCTTTTATCCAAAGCGACTTACATTGCATTTCAAGGTACACATTTACATTCTTATCAGTTCTTGCTTTCCCATGGGAATCGAACCCATGACCGCCAACGCGCTACTGTTTGAGCTACAGGAAGACCATTTGATTAAATACAGTAAAAAACAACATAAAATTATTGTGAAATATCCTTTGATATAAAATATATTTAAAATAAATGTCTTCTATTTGAATATATATTTAAATGTAATTCACTCCTGTGATGCAAAGCTGAATTTTCAGCATCATTACTCCAGTCTTCACTGTCACATGATCCTTCAGAAATTTGAATATGCTGATTTGCTGCTCAAGAAACATTTATTATTATTATTATCAATGTTGAAAATAGTTGTGCTGCTTCATATTTTTGTGTAAACCATGATACATTTTGTTTTCAGGATTCTTATTTAAATAAAAAGTTTAAAAGAACAACATTCATTTTAAAAAACAAAATCTACTTTTGATCAATTTAATGCATCCTTGCTGAATAAAAGTATTGATTTCTTTCAAAATTAAAAATTTTACTAACCCCAAACTTGTTTTTTGGGGTTGTGTATAGAAGTATATAATTATACCCCGGTACTATGCATTGTAAATAAATAAATATATATATATAAAACATATTGTGTCTGAATCCAGTTTCGTGTCACGTGTCATTCAAACATTTGATAGTAGCCTGATCACTAAAGCTATATCCAATCAATTCCTGATTTGATCAATTAAATTAAATAAAATTCCGCCGTACAATTTTTTCTTCAGAATTACGTAACATTTCAGAAGTCAAATAGGTTGTAAAAAAAACCCATTTCATGTTGACTTTAATCAGTCAAAGTCAGATCACATTCACTCTAGGATAAGAAAGATATCACTTTACCTGGATCTTCATTTAAAATCACAGCTGGGCCTCCGTAAGGAATTCCACTCTCCATTCTCTCAAACATGTACACTCCGATCCTGGAGGCTGGATGCCAGATGATATGCGTGCCTCTAAGCGACACTGATACCGAAGAGTAGTTTGAATTGGCAACAGTTTTCCAGTCAGTGGATGAAAGCAAACCGGCGTCTACATACACATCTCCTCTACTGGCTGTTTCAGCTATGATCAAGGCCTCAGCCGCCGTTGAGTTCATCTGCAGCAGGTAACAGGCAGCAAACATGCTTTCTGGCATGAGTTCTAAGATGAGGCCTGGACTGATAAGCCTGATGGACACATAGTTTGATGCAGTGATGAGCTGAGGTCCACTTTCGAGGTACGGGAAGGAAATTAGACCTGAATTTGAGGCTAGAATCTTTATATTCTGACCTCTGAGCATGAGATTCGTTGTGGATGTCACTTTCAGCCAAGTTGAATTCAGGTTCTTCACCGATGGCACAACAAAAGTCTGACCCCACAGATTTTCGGGGAGAACGTGGTTCGTCACCATGTTGCAAACACACGAGGAAGTTTCAACGCACGGATGGGTCAACAGCACAGCCACGGTGTTACTAGAGTACACTTTAATCTCTGACCCGTTGGTTTGGAACTGGTAAAGTTCGTACGGGCTGAGCGTAAAGTTAAAGGCTTGTTGAGCATTCATGCTAACTGTTTGGATGGAGATGGCGTTCATGATGTTCCCAGCATTGATAATGATGCATCTCCAGTTGTCCAGAGCTATCAGTGCTGCCCTGTTGTACAAGGACGCCAGCATCTGATTGTAATTGATAAAGGGGATTGAATACAGCTTTCCGAGATTCTTTACAGGTTGAACAAAATAAGACTGCACGCTGTCGCCTCGCTGACTGATCCAAAGAACCACGATCAATTTGTTGCTATTGATTCTGACAGAATAAAAGGAGCGTGTGAACTGATATTGCTCGACATACTTGGGAAAATGTACAACTTTAGTCTGGCCAGACTGTAGCTTTTCATTATATACGTTTGTGCGGTTGACGGTGATCGAGACGGTGGTGTCGCCGTAGAAAGCAGTAATTTGGAGCGTGTTGGAGGACTCTTGTGGATGGTAGTTGGCAATGTTCTCCGGGAATGCCGTGATGAAGTCTTTTCCATAGCTCTCCACTGATAGCCCTGTCAAATCGTCAGTTTAAAGTTCATTGTTTTTTATACAGAGTATAGATACTAATATAACATTTCCCCAATTACGATTTCCTTCAATTCTGGATTTCCTACAATCACTCTGCACTCTTTTACACTCTTACGTAATAAAATAATTTCAACTCAAATCAATATTTCATGCCCTTTTCAGATGGTTTAATAGCAAAATAAACTCAAACATGGTGAAGACCTGGCTATGACCATCTAATTACACACTCTTAAAAATAAAGGTTCTATATTGGCATTGATGGTTCTAATATAACTAGCTAATTTCCATATTATCTAATATGGAAACAAGCTTAATCAGTAAGTAATATCAAATTAAGGACTAAGATAGTTCCTTATTAGGTAATCAATAATTGCTGAATGAGATTCGACTCATTAATAACTATTGTGGTGGATTTTTAATAGATAAGATTAATGATGTTACTAACCATAAAAAACTGATTTTAGATGAAGCATCTTATGATAAACTTTTATCACACTTCCCGTTTTTATGTCCGACGGTGACTAACTTTCCATTCTAGATGTAACAATAAACCAAAATAAATCGTACTTCCTTTTATTTAGGATGTAGCCATCAGAAGAACTTGCGACAGACGACTCAATGTAACCTTTGAAAATGGACAAAACGTTCTGTTCTTTGACTGTACTGTGAAATGACTGATTGAAATATTAACCCCTTACAATGTTTTTTGATGATACAGGATATTTTTGCTGATGTCACTAACAAAGGGTTCATATTGATAGAGTTATCTTGTTAGTGATGATTCTATTTTGATGTGTCTGGCTTTATCCTATAAAGCCAGTTGTATTCTTCTTTTTGTTTGAGATTCTCTGAGAACTGGTCAAGAACTCCCGGCCGAAATAAAGAGAATTTAAAGGACAATTACTTAAGTCTGTCTGTCGTTTAAGCTGCGCGGTGAAGAAAACAAGTAAGTTAGAATTATCGACTCAACTGTAGACAGGCAGAGTATTGGATTTAGACGGATGCTGTAGTCGACTGGAGACTCGCTGAAGTGTGAACCTAGCTAACGTCAATGGACGCGCTAGAGTATAAGTTATGGTATAGTTAGGTTTAGGGAAAAAATCTATAACACTAGTCACTGCTAGTAATCTGGATCATTATTTTAAAGTGAAAAAGATCACTAGTAGTTCGTGAAGAGTGACTAGGTAACACTTCAGTATTTAGTGATGCATTTTAAGACCACATTGAGAGTAAAAAAAGACAATTGCTCACATCTCAGACACGTTAATATCGACTAGTAATTAATTAGTAATTCTTTATAATATGTCATAGTTATTAGTTCTTATTGATGCTAATCTCATTCAGTAATTAGTTAGTTCCTCATTAGGTAATATCTCAGTCCTAAATTGAATATTACTTACAGATTAGTTAATCTTGTTTATTACATTTTAGTATGCTGAAGTGTTAATGTACTACTTATTTGTCCTATTTTGAATCTACTTTGAACCAGAGGTGGGTAGAGTATCCAAAAACTGTACTCAAGTAAAAGTACAAGTACTTATAGAAATATTTACTCAAAGTAAAAGTAAAAGTAATAATCTTAAAAGTTACTTGAGTAAGAGTAAAAAAGTATCCAATGAAAAAACTACTCAAGTAGTTAGTTACTAGTTACTTTGGATCACATAGGCCTATATATATATATATATATATATATATATATATATATATATATATATATATATATATATAACATGACATTATTTAGATATTTTTTTATTTTAATGACTAAAATGATCATAATTAGATAAGCCATCTTTGCAACAAAAACAGAAGAGACAAACATTATTTCTGTATATTATATCTATAGCCCGAAAACCATTGCCTGTCCTTTGGTTTGTATAATAGTATAATAACTTATACAACTACATTTGGATTATTAGACAATGTCGGAATAAAGTGACTCTATGGAGTTTTGCATTCATGTAAAGGGGTGGGAACCATTGACACAGATTAGAAAGTGTTAAAACTCTGCACATGTGCCCGCCGTCATGTCATGCCAAACACAACCAACGATCAAATGTACGGATCTTCTTCTGTCTGTTCTCCAAAATGTATTTAAATGTAGGCTATATTTGTGAAAGCATCTTTAAACTGGTTAACTGTGTCTAATAAGGCAGGCAAAGGCATTCGTTTTCAAGTCGAGTTCGCACGTCACTGCGCAATACACACATTGTGTGTGTACACACATTCATAAACTGGACGATAGCTTATTTAATGTATAAATTAATGTAGGCTATATGTCCAAAAAAAGGGAAATGTCATACTTTGTAGTAGTGCTATATGGCGTAATAATCTGTTTGGTTGTAAAATGTATGAATGAAATGAAATCGAATGTATCGTCGTGTGGAATAATTCATTCACAGACAGCTTACGAAGTAACATACGAAGATGTTCAACTAATAAAGATCTTCATCGCTGGCAAAAAAATATGATGCATTTGCAGATTTACTTTCTAGACTGTACTGTAGACTGTGGACTGCCACTTCATACAACGCTCTTGATGTAATCTTGATGTTGATGTAATCTTCCTGTTACGACTCCGAGATGATTCAGTGCGTGCAGGAAACTGAACAGATCATTCGAACTGATTCGCGAACCGATTTAGACAGATCTGCCCAACTTGTTTGATGAAGTCTTTGAGCAGAATCGACTCAAAAGAGTGATTCATTTGTGAATTGAGCATCGCTCATACCCAGAAAAAAAGAGAGAGCGCGCGCTTAGAATAAACTACGCTTTTAACAACATATTGCATTAAAATAAAGTAACGAGAGGAACGTCGCCCAACGTAACGAAGTAAAAGTACCGTTTTTTCATCAGAAATGTACTCGAGTTAAAGTAAAAGTACCCACAATTAAATCTACTCTTAAAAGTAAAATTTTTCCAAAAAAATACTCAAGTAAATGTAACGAAGTAAATGTACTTCGTTACTACCCACCTCTGCTTTGAACATAAATGTGTGAAAATGTGAGAGGCGATTTACCCTGGCTAACCAGTGACATGAAGAGAAGATGAAACAGCATCACTGTTACTCCGTGGTTCTCAGTTGATTTGAGCAGCTACTGGTGTTATATCGGCCACATCTGACAATCAAGAGGAAAAATAATGATGATAGTTAATCACACAAATGTGAAATAACAAAACACACAAGGAATATGATTCAAATAGAAAGATGAGCACTGTAGAAGCTGTGCAGCTTACTTTAAGGAACTATTTCTACCTAACAGGTTGAACCAGTCATATTAAATAACATATCTGACTTATATTGAATTTATACTGAATAAAACTCTGTAATGTAGACGTTACATTGATGAAAAACTTTGAGTGCTATAAAAGTGCACTGTAAAAAAAAAGTTGCTGCCTTAAATGTTAGATGTTTAATTCATTTCAGCAAAAATTACATTAACTTAAAAAAAATGTGTTCAATCTTGTAAAACTTTTGAAACAGTTGAAAATTGCTTAACATATTTTGATGAGTTAAAGCAATGTAAAAACATATGTTGTCATAACTTATTGATCATCATTTTTTTTGTGGATTAAAGTTATAAACATAACCCATAAAAACTTCTTGATTCAAACTGTTCTAAAAATGTATGATTGCAATACAGACAGAAAGTTCATAAGCATGCCTATGTAGTTCTGTATTAATATCTAACATTCTGTTGTCATACATTATCAACAAGACTTACCTGATGCTTCAAGGCCACAGTTCTTCCACTCTCTGAGCAAAATCATCTTCATGTGTGTGTTTATCCAGCAACACAGGCACATTTTGCATTCAAAACACATTTAGTGTCGCGACATTAGTTTGCATAATGAGCTGTTGACATAGAGCTATTTGTCATATAACACATGCTGTATATTTTTACAGCACAGTCATCAGTCAGTTTCTCAATGCCATTAAAGGCTAAATGATGCATGCACTAGGTTTGAGGTCTGAATGCTTGTTTATTGGAATACTACAACTTCCTAGACATGTATACAAATATGACATACAAACATGATGATGCTATGTGGAGATGGTTTTTAAAGTCACCATGAAATTAGTTTACAATTCTTGTTTTTAAATTGAATATTGCCGTATTTATTATATAAATGACTTCCGTGGCGTGCACACATCATTATTTCTTAAAAATTCATGTGCCCCTGTAATCTTTTGTCAAAATAACTTCCCCTCCCTCTTTGCAGTGTCATCTCTTCTCTGATGTTGTTTACTGACGCGAGGGCGGGGCAACCTGTCACTCAAATGACATCACGGCAATAGCAAACCACAACCATCCAATCAATTCCCCATGGACAAAATCAAGCCCCGCCCTACGTTTTTTTCTTATTAGAGAAGCCTTTTCACTCACAATTGGGAACAAAAGACTATCATAACTTATGTTTCATGTCGACTTTGTACCTTGAAATCTGTTTATGAATGGCTTTTTTTTAAGTATACATCTATATACTGGAAATACGAAGTGCCTATTACTACATATAAATTCATGTTCCTAGATAAAGTGTGAACATTGTACATAATATCTACATACAATATTCATGGTTTTAAAGGCAATGGGAACTTCCTGGAGCAAACAACTTAATGTCTACCTATATGTGATCTAGCATCTTTAATCTGTTCTTACTAGCATTACATATAACTATTCTGGAAGTTTAAGTAGGTTTGTAATATTAACAATATGTCATTTAATGCCATGAATTGTAAAATATAAAGAAACAAATATGTTATCCTCAGATGTCACTGATTTGTTCCTTAAACATTTTGTAATTTTTTGTGCTGGCCAGTTTTTACTGTCAATTTCCATTTCCATTTCCTTTAGCATTACCATTAGAATTACTGGCTCTATCATTTGACATGGGTAAATCCAGAGTAAAGTAATGAGTATTTATGAAACAGATAGACTTCAATTGAGCACAGCAGGGCACACTTTGCCAATGGAAACCCGTTCTTGAATTTGGGAATACTGAAGCGCACATGCCCTCCGCAGCAACACGTGGCTCCCCGGTTCCCCACGACGTGTATGTCATAGTGTGGACTTCCTTACCCTTCTGCCGATACCACTCTAATGTGAGCAGACTACGGCGCAGTCCGATCCAGAGCCTCTCATTTAAACCTTCACTATTCAGAAAGTCGACCATCTCCATTTGCTCCGTTTTATTGCTCGGACTGAAAAGCTCGCCCCCTATGAGCTTACAGTATTGATGGGATTCAGGCCAGGTTTGAGGTGTTAAGATGATGTTGAGCTTAGAAGGGACCACTACACAGCCAACAGGGTCTGAATGCAGACAAACACAACACTCATGTTTGTAAGTACGTAAGCAGTACAGGCTTAGCATTGGCTAGTTGTCACTCAGTAACTAAAAGACAAAAATCCAATTTCACAAAGTGTTTTCTTTAGTTAGTGCTTTTGTAAGTTGGTTTCAAATACTTTGTTTAAAACTGTCTCATTTCTGTGATTTTACCTCTCCAGATTCAAATACCATCATATTTTATACTGAATAAAACCACATACGTTCAGGAAAGTGTTACAAAATCCAATTTCCAAGTCAAAAATCCAAAAATCCAAAATCCAAGACAAAAATCCAATTTCACAAAGTGTTTTCTTTAGTTAGTGCTTTTGTAAGTTGGTTTCAAATACTTTGTTCAAAACTGTCTCATTTCTGTGATTTTACCTCTCCAGATTCAAATATCATCATATTTTATACAGAATAAAAACACATACGTTCAGGAAAGTGTTAACTATGGCAGATTTGAACCAAAAGATTTAACTTTGCTCTTAGTTAGGACAAAAGTGTATAAACCGTTTATAAATAGTATTATAAACATTGTTTTATATTTTATGTATTTTATTATTTCAAATTTCTGTTAGAAAAACAATGTTTGATGTTTTGTATGTTACCGTATACATATTTGTTGTTTCACGAATTGTTTAAAATTTTGCTGAAAAATGTATTAATTGTGGGAGGTGTTAAGTTAACACGTGTTAAACTAACTGTATCTTTTTTTCCTGTGCAATAATAGTTAAACAATAACAAGGTGTGTATCTATATAGAAACTGACTTAATAAATAAATAAATAAAATAAATATAAATAAGCCTAATGTTAGACATAGTAGTAGTGTGACAACTAGCCCCATTTCAGGCACAGTTCATCCAAAAATGAAAATTCTGTCATTATTTACTTGCCTTCATTTCATTCCAAACCTATATGATTTTCTTCTGTGGAAGACAACAGAAATATATTTTGAAGAACTGTTTTTGCCCTTACAATGAAAGTCAATGGGGTCCAAAACAACATATACGGACTTTCGACACGAGGGAAAGTAATGACAGAATTTTCATTTTTGGATGAACTATCTCTTTAACCTTTAAAGCATTTCATACTTTGTGTTGATGTTAGAGAAGAATACAATACGCAATACAAAAATAACAATAATGAGCGTACCCATCAATAAATAGGTTTCTTACCTGGGTTTGCGCTTAAAGATATAGCTGGGCCTCCATACAAATGTGGGCTCTCCTCAAACACATACACGGCAATCTTTGTGGACGGATGCCAGATGACACGCGTGGCATCAAGAGACACTAATACAGACGAGTACTCTGAATCGTTTATAGTGTTCCATTTAGTGGATGAAAGCAAACCACCATCTATATACACACTATTCCTGTATTCCGTTTCTGCTATTACGAAGACCTTGGCACCTGTCAAGTTGACAGGCACTAGGTAGCACGCAGAGAACCTGGATAGTGGGATCAGTTCAACGATGAAGCCTAAACTGACAAGCCTGAGGGAAGCAGGATCAGAAGTGTTGATGAACTGAGATCCTAACATTAAAGATGGGAGAGACAGGAGTTTTAAGGAATAGGCTTCAAAAGTAGGCCTACCCGATTCTATATTCCCGCCACTGGCAATGATATTCGTTGAGGACGTCAGATGTAGCCGAACGTTCAGTATTCCGGGTACAGCGAATCTGCTATCCCACTGAGTGTCGGGATAAAGTTGGTTCACCACCATGTTGCATCTGCATCCTGAGATCTCTACACATGGATGGGTCAGCATCACAGCTACTGTATAATCAGATTGAACTGCAATTTCTGTCCCGTCGGTTTGGAGCTGAAGTACGGCGTACGGATCAAGTCTGAAAATAATGTTTTTAGTCTTTTTTACAATTGTGATTAAATTACCCATATCTTCTCCATTGATAATGACCAGCCTGAAGGATCTGCATCTACTGCTGATATTTCTTTCCGACTGAAAGAAAGTATTTATCATGTTCTTGTAATTCAGTGCGGGGATGGAATAAAACGTACCGAGATTTTTCAAAGGCTGAACGACATTAGTTTGTACACTATCTCCTCGCTGACTGATGGACTGCACCACGATGGGCTCCGTGCCTCTGATTTGGACGGTCTGAAGAGTTTGAACGAGACTGTATTTCTCAATACCTAGTGGCAGAGTCACATTTACAGGCTTTCCTGCTGGCAGTGTGTCCTGGTATGTCCAGGTACTGTCTGAGATGGAGACTCTCACCACGGCGTCGACATGGACAGCGGTGATTTTGAGAGTATTCACTGGATTAACTGGATAGTAAAAGGCTATGTTCTCTGGAAATGCTGTGACGAAGTTTAGCCCAAGGCTGTCCCATGACTGGCCTGTCAAATCAAGAGTTATTAATATCAGGAATATGTCAAATGAACATGCCTTTTATTAGGCTTCAAGAGGATAAAATGACACACTGCTTACCTTGGCCAAGCATAGCCGTGATGAGAAGAATAGTCAGCATGACTTCTGTCCTGATTTTAGTCAGTGATCTGAAAAAGAGCATGCGACACAGGTCTCAGTATTATGACTTTGCAATATAATTTACACCATTTCACTGCTTGCTTTGTAACGTCGTCAATCAATGATGTAAGAGTGCAGGTGCACTGGTTTCCACATCAGCATATAACTCTTTGCCGTCCTTGTAAAAAATAAGATGTTCTTAGAAAAAGGACAAATTAAGGCAACATTTTGATTATGTTTTCTGCATTTACTAAACTTAAACTATGAACTTTAAATCTGCCATCACTATGGCAATTAAATGCATAATGTTATTTTAAAGTGTTAACTTAAAAAGGATTTATTCAAATTGCTCTCTTTATTTACATTGTTTTAAATTATGTAATTAATCTAATGGAATGTACAAAGCGCACAGACAGTCGACAGACCAAAAAAACCACACTAACTCGCGCAGTCAACACTTGATTCATAAAGCACTACAGGAGTCACTGATCATTTTAAGCAGACATATAAATTGTTTTAAATGTAAATAATGCAATACTATTGTCGTTAGATTTTCTTTGTAGTTATAGTAGGCTTCGACAATTTTTTTCAAGATTCATGAAGAAGCACGAGAATGAACTAATAAATATCCTACTTCAAAATTCTTCATTATAAAATAGCCAAATAGATTTACAGGGTACAATCATAATATCACAAAAATACTAGGCCTTAAGAATCATGTTGCTGTTTCTACTTCACGGTTATTTTCTGAAATTCTTACCAGTTTTATTAATGTACAACCCCCCAAAAGTACACATTCCACAGGACGTTGTCTTAATAGGCCTTATGACCATTAGACCCCTAAAATCTATCAGTAAGCTTAAGTTCACATAGATATTCTTACCTGATCAGCGTATCACAACCTTCTCACTGAACCGAATCGCATCCGTGTCGTGTTTCATTTATAGCAAAGCATATTTGTCATTCAAAATCGATGCACTTTTAACTGCTTTGCATAAACTGCCTCAAACTGCCTAATAGAAGATAAACATTAGGCTACATGAGGCAGCCATTTTCGTTATCAACATTGATAATGAAAAGCAGAGAACTGCAGCCGTACAATCTGTAGATTTTATATGTTCTTTAAAACATCACAGTGTTGTTCTGATTCTGAAAGTCACAGTTCACAAACTTGACAACTTATCCTAAATGTGGTAACGTTGTTGTATCTTGTAAGAAAATGATGAAATCTGCATGTTCTTGCAAAGTTGGGGGGGGGGGGGGGGGGTAATGGGGGAATTTATCACTTCCCATTTCTCTAAAACAAAACAAGCTACGGCCTATCATATCTCTAAGATCAGGGGTGTAACTGCAACACGCAATGTGTTTTGCACAGCAAGGTGATGATTCATGATAGACAGACAGGATAGAGATTAGAAGAAAGAATATTATGCATTCACACACACACACACATATATATATATATATATATATATATATATATATATATATATATATATATATATATATATATATATATAATGTATAATGTATGTAATCTAATGTAGCCTAATATGTATGTTTGTAGGTACAAAAACACTCAAAAACAAGATTTTTATAAATGATGTGATAATAGGCTAGGCTATAACATAAAATAAAAATAGTAGCCTATTAGAGATAGCCTTCTTTTAATAATAAATAGCATGGTCTATAAATATCGATGTAGCCTATGTATGTTTTATATTACTTTATACATAGGCCTATTTAAAATAGAAAACATTCAGGACTATTAACAAAACGACTCTCGAATGTTTTTTTTTTTTACCACACAACAGAGATTGACTAATCTGATTTGTTTGGTAGAATTATTAGTGTTTTTGTAGGCTAAAGCGTTTGTTTATATGTTAGAAGTGTCCATGACATCCTCGTGATTATGATGCGGCTGCCGCCAAGTTTCGATTTGGGATTCCAAACGTCATTCGGTTAAGTTTCGGTTTCCAGTCTGTTTTATATAAAAAAGATCTGCATTTTGTTCGGATAGGCTCCATGAAGCCAAAGACGCCTCACACACTCTCATTCCTCAACATTCGGTAAGTTCTTTTCAATTACTTTAAGATTATTTCTACTACTTATTTCTATTACTGTCGAATTGTATTCCGACCAAATCAAGAACAATATTTGACATTTGATACAAGAAGAATTATGAAGTTGATTATTTATTTTGGAAAAACGCTCCATGCCTGTAAACATTTTGCATGTCATTATCGTGACGGTTAAAGGAACAGAGATACAATTACGAAATAACATTTTACATAATAAAAATGATGTAGACTATTTCTTTATTTTTTAATACATATGTTGATATTAAATAGGGGTGAATTCAAGTTCATTGGGACACTTTTTCCCAGTTATCTCAATGGCAAAAAAAAGCTAATTTAAAAAAAAAAAAATGTAATTATACATTAATTTATTGTATCTCAATAATTAGAAAATTATTGTTTTCCCAGCTCAAGTAATAAACAAAATATTGCTGAAAGTTGGTGTCGATCATTTATCAACATGGGAGTCCAAGGATTGAAGACATTCATTGAAAGCAGCAACAGAAATGATTTAAGGAGCTGGGCTTTTAGAGACAAACGACTAATAATTGATGGATGTAACTTATATTATATGCTGTACTTTGACTGCAGTCTGGATCAGATGCATGGAGGAGACTATGATGCTTTTGAAAAGCTGGTCATACAGTTCTTTGAGAACCTCGCAGCCTGTGACATTAGCCCTTACGTTGTACTTGATGGCGGGGCCGACCACACAGACAAAAAATTTGACACTGTCATGAAAAAAAACCAGCAGAGAATAAAAGAGGCCTATGCCCTGTCGATGGGGAAGAGAGGGAGACTCCTTCCTACGCTCATTAAAAATGTGTTCAGACAGCTCCTTCATAAGCTCAAGGTACCACTGGTTCAGTGTCTTGAAGAGGCTGATTGGGAAATTGCTGCCTTGGCTAAAGAGTGGAATTGTCCTGTTTTGTCCGACGACAGTGACTTCTATATATTCAACCTCAGAGCGGGAGTCCTGCCAAGCACACATTTCCAGTGGAAAAAAGTGAGAGTGGACAAACGGACAAACAAAAAAATCATCCAAGCCAAACACTTCACATTGGGAAAATTCTGTACATCTTTCAAAATGAATGCTGACCTTCTGCCAATCTTCGCTTCCATCTTAGGCAACGATTATGTGAAGTTGCAAAATATCAAGTACCCGAATTGGGAGAAGTACTCGGTACCCGGCATGAAAAATGCTCGTATTGATGGGATGCTTAACTGGTTATCCAAGTTTCCAGGGCCGGAAGAAGCTGTAAGTGCCTTGCTGAAATTTACAGACAACAAAGAAAAAGCCATCGTCCAAGAAGCACTTTTGATGGGAATCAAAGAGTACAAACTCATCCCTGGCTCTCTTGCCCCGTTCTTCGACTCAAAGGTGATTCCACAGTCAGCTTTGACAGGTCCTCTGCAAGTTCTGCCTAAATGGACCTTGAAGCCTCTACTTGAGGGGAGGATGTGCTCCTCCATTATCGATGTACTGTTACACCAAAGGGTTTCCTTAATGCCCCAGGTTGAAAATTTTCAACTCCCTAGTAGCAGTGAAATCTCTCGTCCCATACGCCAGGTGATTTACGGGTTACTCTTGTTGGGAGGACAACAGACAGCAAATAAACAAGCGTTAGCCGATAAAGCAGGCACTGGCACAAGCAAGCGCTATGTAGAGGAATACGGCAGACAACAGTTAAGACTAAGCAATCAGAAGGTTGAAGCCATACAGACCAAGGTGATGGAAGGACTTCAACTGGAAACATTATACAAGGTAATGAAGATGTCTTAAGCACTGTTTTAAAGTGAAATGAAACTGTTTGTTTTACAGTGTTTGTCTTTCTAATGATTCTAGGAACCACATGACGTGCGACTTCAGGTATTCCTTGACACTTTGGGTGTGTCGCCCGCAATGTTAAGAGGGATCCCACGTGCTCTACAGCTGCAAATGTTTGTGACCCGTTACTGGCTTGTAAACACACAACCTCAGCCGTGCCAAGTGCATCTTTGGGGGCTGCTACTGGGAATGGTCAATGGAACGCTCAGCAGAACGCCTAAAACAGAAAGCGGTATTGATATTATTATACATCATTCTGTTAGTTAGATGTTGTTTTTATAGCATGCAATAAAGTAATAATGCAAACTCAGGCAGATATAGCCTGCACATATTGTCACGCAAATAAAGCTGATATGATGTAATGATTAGCTAAATGTCATTGGCAAAATGGCACAATATTGCAGAGTTAAAAAAAAAAAAAAAAAAAAAAAAAAAAAATTTAAGCCAGTGCATAACATTTTGGAAAAAATAGTGTCGAAACATGTTTATTTATTTATTTTTGGTTTGGGGGTTTAGACATGCTGTTGAGACTTAAAAAACTCCAAATTGGTCAAGGAAAGCTGGAAGATGACTTCTATTTGGAAGATGAAGCAGCTCATCTATACAGCCAGTGGCAGTCGTGCCTGAAGTGGAGTGTCAATCTCAATCGTTTACTGTTGGATCCGCTATTTGAACCAGAGTGTGCACGGTACGACATCCTTTATTACTCCTAAACCATCCTTTTTTGATAATATTTATCCTTTTGATCTCCATTGTTATAAAATCCCTGGCTCCTGATTGCTGTTTCCCGTTCCTCTCTCTACCCCGTGCTTTCCTGTCTGATCTCTACACAATAGACCATAACAAGGCCCAAAATATAACTTAAAGAAATAATACACACGTTCTGTATATAAAGAAATATACACACACATACATACATATATGACTATTTACATCTTAGAAGTGTCCACTAGTGTTGTGGCACATGAATACTGAGTGTGTTCTGGTGTTGTTTAGTTTGTACCGTGGAACACTGGTGCACCAGGCTGTTGGAGAGCTCAGGAGAGGCATCGCTCTGGAGTCTCTGCTGATGAGGGGCTCAGGCGCTGAGCAACTCTTCAAACAGCTGAAGGATGCAATCGTGAGCTTAGTGGGTGAAGACTTCATCAAGAAAATGAAAACTGGGCTCGAGAAGAGAGATGCTGGGAAAACACAGAGTGCCTGCAAAAGCCAGAATCAGCCTATAGATGATCTGAGCAGTTGCTTTGAACATCTGATGGTTGAGGATATTGATGACAATTAATATGATGATCTCAATGGGTGGAATAAGGCCAAGGGTCACAAGACGGAGATCTCTGACCGTCCCTACACTGCCCGTACCAGACACAAGGCTAAAGTCCGATAATGCTGATAATCCCTCCAAGAAATCTGAGAGGATATGCTATAACTGGTAAAAAATAACAAAAAAGCATTAGTTTGCAGTATTGCACTTACAATGGAAAGGGCCAAGGCATTGCACCAGAATGAATGTTAAAATGATATATGTTCACTGTATGATATCAGAATCAAGTCATGCACAATCCTATTTTTGCTATCTTGTATTATTTACTGCATGACTTTGCTTTTCTGATTTAAATTATAATTACTTGATTATAAGATATTTGTAGCTGTTGGACATTGGTATCAAGAAGGATACATTCTATTTACCAGAGTATTTTAAGGAACATATTTAAAAACAAAAGTCATCAACTTCAGATACAGATTTGTTTTAATTTCAAACTTGACAACTTATCCTAAATGTGCTAACATTGTTGTATGTCTTGTAAGAAAATGATGAAACCTGCATGTTCTTGCAAAGCTGGGGAAAAATGAAATAAAACATTTGGAGAGAAATGCATTAATTTGTCACTTCCCATTTCTCTAAAACAAAACAAGCTATGGCTTGTCATATCTCTTAGATCAGGGGTGTAACTGTAATACGCAATGTGTTTTGCACAGGAACAGGGTGATGATTCATGAGATAGATGGACAGACAGACAGGCAGGACAGACAGACAGATATTAGAAGAAAGAATATTATGCATTCACACACACACACACACACACACGTAATGTGTAATAGGGTGAGTTGCCCTAATGTGGGACATTTTTTGCACTTTAGACTTATGTGACATATTGCGATGTGTAACCAAAACATTAAATCCACACCCAATACCATTAAAAAAAAAACAGTATGTGTCCTAATCAAATCAAAAGAGAAAATTCAGATAACCCATTCATAAGAGAAATTATAGAAATATTAGTGCTCTTATTCCAAGTTGTCTGAGACAATCTGCAGCTTCCTTATGTGGGATAGTTGTGCCCCCAATGCGGGACACTGAAAAATCTTATGATAAAATACCAAAAATCACATTGATACATGTAGAATAGTAAATCTTATTTTATTTTAGATTCTCTCTTAAATCTTAGTTAGTAATTTTCTTTGTTGTGAATGAATGAAACATGTAAAATAACAAAATCTTTAGTTATATTATCCATTTCCAGTAAATCAGTCACAATCCATAAACAAGTTATATTATAATGATGCATTTGTAAAACACCTAAAAAATAAACAGATAAACTTTGGACCAAAATAATTTGGTATAATTACAACTAAAAATAAATGTTCAATTGTTTCTGTTTCCTCTTTACCAAAACAGCATAATGGAGAAACCCCTTCTTTAAACTTACTGATAAAATCATTACATGGATAATATCTATTTATTATTTTAAATTGAGTTTCTTTGACTTATTTATTAGGAATGACATATTTGATATCTGTTTCCATTTCATCAATGCCTTAGGTGAAACATTTTTTTCTTTAGTTAAGATTTGTCTAATATAAACATTATTCATATTTTTATTAAAATAAAATAAATGTTTAAAACATGCCCCACCACACATTTTTGACTCATTGAAGTACTGTCCCACATTAGGCTGATCATACTGTCCCGGATTTGGAAACCACATTTCCTAATGTGGGACACTAGGAAATTTGATAAAAATATAAAATATATAGTTTATACACATAAGGTTACACTATTTTTTGATGGACAAACATTTCATAAGCATATTAGGCTAAAAAGTAGCATGATTGCTTTGTTTAAAATCTATTTAACTCCTTAACATCAAATTTGTTAAAACTCTATGTCATTAACCTTCGGATGCTCTTCACACACTGGGTGCTTCTCATTTCTTATTTGTGCATCCTCGTTTCCTTTCCTCGCGTCTCAGCTCCACCCCCTGTAGGACGCGAGGGAAGGCTGCAAGGGAAAAAAACGAGGACGGAGGAATTGAATGAAAGCTTTTTTAATACATTGGAATACTTGATCACTCGAGCGTCACTTCACTGCGTCATCGGCAGTGCTCAAAGGATCTGCCCTTATGTTGTTAAAGTTAGTTTATTTAAGAAATTCATAATAAATAATAATAAAGCAAGATACCTTGTTTAAATATGTGAGTTGTGTGGTTTATGTAAACTACAAAAGTAAAGTATAAATTCAAATGATTGTGACAGATGTGAAGGGGGAGGAGAATTGATACGTGCGTCATGTTTAGTCGATAAAACTCTTCCGCAAAGGGTACACCTGTGTATCCTCGCTCATAGCTCCTCTGGAAGCCTCCTCACTCCTCGATCCTCGCCTCCTCGCGGTGCAATTAGAGAATTGAGATGTCCTTCAAGATGGCTGAGCTCGATTGGTTTCCGGGTCATAGGATGGAGGACGGAGGAGCGAGGAGACGAGGAGGGATATTGAGAAGCACCCAAGGTGTCTCCTGATTGATGATTGCTCCACCCTCAAATATGATTGGACATTTGATAGGTCATGTTATTTTGATCACATGACACCACAGCTTTGTTTACCCATAGTTTCACTGTCATTCATGTATTTATGGGGGACCTACAAACACTAGACCTTAGGTGTCCCACATTAGGCCATGTCCCACATTAGGGCAATTCACCAAAGCTGGGGAAAAATGAAATTTATTAATTTATTCGGGACAGTGCACATTAATGGACAATCTAACATTTCTGTAATGACTGTAAATGAGCCAGGTTATAGCATAAATGCTAATTTTCACCTGTAGTCCCGAGGCAGAAAAACAACGACATATAAAATGATGCAACAGTAGAATATGACAATATACAATATCAAGCAAAAAACACATTAGCACACATTCAGGCAGTATACATTGTATCAATAAAATTATTCAAGATGAGGACATAACTGGGAACTTTTTAGAAGCTGTTTAAGGTGCTTTTTAAATGTGCAGTAAGTGGGACATTCTCTAATGTTTATTGGGATGCTGTTCCAAAAATGACCTCCTCTGACAGATATAGAACAGTTTGTCCAAAGGTAGGTATAATTACAACTAAAATAAAACATTTGGAGAGAAATGCATTAATTTGTCACTTCACATTTCTCTAAAACAAAACCAGCTATGGCTTGTCATATCTCTTAGATCAGGGGTGTAACTGTAATACGCAATGTGTTTTGCACAGGAACAGGGTGATGATTCATGAGATAGATGGACAGACAGACAGATATTAGAAGAAAGAATATTATGCATTCACACACACACACACATCATGTATAATGTATGTAATATAATGTATATAATATAATTTATGTTTTTACCACAAACATTATCTTACATACATTAAAATCTTAGTGAGTGTTTTTGTACCTTAAAACGTTTTAGGTACAAAAACACTCCCTAAGATTTTAATAAATGATTTGTGTATAACATAAAATAAAAATAGTAACAGAGATGGCCTTCTTTTAATAATAAATAAATAGCATGGTCTACAAATATCGATGTATGTATGTTTTATATTACTTTATACATAGGTATATTTCAAATAGAAAACGTTCAGGACTATTAACAAAACGACTCTCGAATGTTTTTTTTTTTTTTACCACACAACAGAGATTGACTAATCTTATTTGTTTGGTAGAATTATTAGTGTTTTTGTAGGCTATATAAAGCCTTTGTTTACATGTTAGAAGTGTCCATGACATCCTCGTGATTATGATGCGGCTGCCGCCAAGTTTCGATTTGCGATTCCAAACGTCATTCGGTTAAGTTTCGGTTTGCCGTCTGTTTTATATAATAAGATCTGCATTTTGTTCGGATAGGCTCCATGAAGCCATAGACGCCTCACACACTCTCATTCCTCAACATTCGGTAAGTTATAAGATTATTTCTACTTATTTCTATTACTGTCGAATTGTATTCCGACCAAATCAAGAACAATATTTGACATTTGATATAAAAATAATTATGAAGTTGATTATTTATTTTGGAAAAACGCTCCATGCCTGTAAACATTTTGCATGTCATTATCGTGACGGTTAAAGGAACAGAGATACAATTACGAAATAACATTTTATATATAATGAAAATTATGTAGACTATTTATTTATTTTTAATACATACGTTGATATTAAATAGGGGTGAATTCAAGTTCATTGGGACACTTTTTCCCAGTTATCTCAATGGCAAAAAAAAAAAAAAAACTTTTATAAATTATAATTATACATTAATTTATTGTATCTCAATAATTAGAAAATTATTGTTTTCCCAGCTCAAGTAATAAACAAAATATTGCTGAAAGTTGGTGTCGATCATTTATCAACATGGGAGTCCAAGGATTGAAGACATTCATTGAAAGCAGCAACAGAAATTATTTAAGGAGCTGGGCTTTTAGAGACAAACGACTAATAATTGATGGATGTAACTTATATTATATGCTGTACTTTGACTGCAACCTGGATCAGATGCATGGAGGAGACTATGATGCTTTTGAGAAGCTGCTCATACAGTTCTTTGAGAACCTCGCAGCCTGTGACATTAGCCCTTACGTTGTACTTGATGGCGGGGCCGACCACACAGACAAAAAATTTGACACTGTCATGAAACGAAAACAGCAGAGAATAAAAGAGGCCTATGCCCTGTCGATGGGGAAGAGAGGGAGACTCCTTCCTACGCTCATTAAAAATGTGTTCAGACAGCTCCTTCATAAGCTCAAGGTACCACTGGTTCAGTGTCTTGAAGAGGCTGATTGGGAAATTGCTGCCTTGGCTAAAGAGTGGAATTGTCCTGTTTTGTCCAACGACAGTGACTTCTATATATTCAACCTCAGAGCGGGAGTCCTGCCAATCACACATTTCCAGTGGAAAAAAGTGAGAGTGAACAAACGGACAAACAAAAAAATCATCCTAGCCAAACACTTCACATTGGGAAAATTCTGTACATCTTTCAAAATGAATGCTGACCTTCTGCCAATCTTCGCTTCCATCTTAGGCAACGATTATGTGAAGTTGCAAAATATCAAGTACCCGAATTGGGAGAAGTACTCGGTAACCGGCATAGAAAATGCTCGTATTGATGGGATGCTTAACTGGTTATCCCAGTTTCCAGGGCCGGAAGAAGCTGTAAGTGCCTTGCTGAAATTTACAGACAACAAAGAAAAAGCCATCGTCCAAGAAGCACTTTTGATGGGAATCAAAGAGTACAAACTCATCCCTGGCTCTCTTGCCCCGTTCTTCGACTCAAAGGTGATTCCACAGTCAGCTTTGACAGGTCCTCTGCAAGTTCTGCCAAAATGGACCTTGAAGCCTCTACTTGAGGGGAGGATGAGCTCCTCCATTATCGATGTACTGGTACACCAAAGGGTTTCCTTAATGCCCCAGGTTGAAAATTTTCAACTCCCTAGTAGCAGTGAAATCTCTCGTCCCATACGCCAGGTGATTTACGGGTTACTGTTGTTGGGAGGACAACAGACAGCAAATAAACAAGCGTTAGCCGATAAAGCAGTCACTGGCACAAGCAAGCGCTATGTAGAGGAATACGGCAGACAACAGTTAAGACTAAGCAATCAGAAGGTTGAAGCCATACAGACCAAAGTGATGGAAGGACTTCAACTGGAAACATTATACAAGGTAATGAAGATGTCTTAAGCACTGTTTTAAAGTGAAATGAAACTGTTTGTTTTACAGTGTTTGTCTTTCTAATGATTCTAGGAACCACATGACGTGCGACTTCAGGTGTTCATTGACACTTTGGGTGTGTCGCCCGCAATGTTAAGAGGGATCCCACGTGCTCTACAGCTGCAAATGTTTGTGACCCGTTACTGGCTTGTAAACACACAACCTCAGCCGTGCCAAGTGCATCTTTGGGGGCTGCTACTGGGAATGGTCAATGGAACGCTCAGCAGAACGCCTAAAACAGAAAGCGGTATTGATATTATTATACATCATTCTGTTAGATGTTAGTTAGATGTTGTTTTTATAGCATGCAATAAAGTAATAATGGAAACTCAGGCAGATATAGCCTGCACATATTGTCACGCAAATAAAGGTGATATGGTGTAATGATTAGCTAAATGTCATTGGCAAAATGGCACAACATTTTTTTTAAGCCAGTGCATAACATTTTGGAAAAAAGAGTGTCGAAACGTTTATTCATTTATTTTTTGTTTGGGGGTTTAGACATGCTGTTGAGACTTAAAAAACTCCAAATTGGTCAAGGAAAGCTGGAAGATGACTTCTATTTGGAAGATGAAGCCGCTCATCTATACAGCCAGTGGCAGTCGTGCCTGAAGTGGAGTGTCAATCTCAATCGTTTACTGTTGGATCCGCTATTTGAACCAGAGTGTGCATGGTACGATATCCTTTATTACTCCTAAACCATCCTTTTTTGATAATATTTATCCTTTTGATCTCCATTGTTATAAAATCCCTGGCTCCTGATTGCTGTTTCCCGTTCCTCTCTCTACCCCGTGCTTTCCTGTCTGATCTCTACACAATACACCATAACAAGGCCCAAAATATAACTTAATAACTTAAAAATAATACACAAGTTCTATATATAAAGAAATATACACACACATACATACATATATGACTATTTACATCTTAGAAGTGTCCACTAGTGTTGTGGCACATGAATACTAAGTGTGTTCTGGTGTTGTTTAGTTTGTACCGTGGAACACTGGTGCACCAGGCTGTTGGAGAGCTCAGGAGAGGCATCGCTCTGGAGTCTCTGCTGATGAGGGGCTCAGGCGCTGAGCAACTCTTCAAACAGCTGAAGGATGCAATCGTGAGCTTAGTGGGTGAAGACTTCATCAAGAAAATGAAAACTGGGCTCGAGAAGAGAGATGCTGGGGAAACACAGAGTGGCTGCAAACGCCAGAATCAGCCTATAGATGATCTGAGCAGTTGCTTTGAACATCTGATGGTTGAGGATATTGATGACAATGAATATGATGATGGGTGGAATAAGGCCAAGGGTCACAACAAGACGGAGATCTCTGACTGTCCCTACACTGCCCGTACCAGACACAAGGCTAAAGTTCGCAATGCTGATAATCCCTCCAAGAAATATGAGAGAATATGCTATAACTTGTAAAAAATAACAAAAAAGCATTAGTTTGCAGTATTGCACTTACAATGGAAAGGGCCAAGGCATTGCACCAGAATGAATGTTAAAATGATACATGTTCACTGTATGACATCAGAATCAAGTCATGCACAATCCTATTTTTGCTATCCTGTATTATTTACTGCATTGCTTTTCTGATTTAAATTATAATTACTTGATTATAAGATATTTGTATATAGCCGTTGGACATTGGTATCAAGGATACATTCTATTTACCAGAGTATTTTAAGGAACATATTTAAAAACATAACATGAAACTTTTTAATTGAAGTATTAAATTATTTTTCCATTTTAATCTTTCTTTTGTGTTATAACTTTTAGATTTATATTTTACCACATGATGTATGAACTTACAGCTTAAATAATCAGATTAGTCATCAACTTCAGATACAGATTTGTTTTAATTTGTAAAAAAATTTATTGTACAATTGTGTTCTGAAATGACCACAACAGATTACTGGTTTCAGCTGTGCAAACCACAATAAAATAAATACAATCTCAAAAAATAAAAATAAAAAAAAGCTTTTTACCTATCACCCTTCATTTAAATTGTTTATACTGTTTATTATCAGTGTATTACATTGTTTCGTTTTCAAAGCAAGAGCGATGCTAGAAAACAGAATGGGCATTAAAGAAATTGAACAATGTGGCCATAAAGAACCACTATCTGCAATACAGAGGAGAGATAAGATCACACACTGTAAAAACTCAAGTGCATCATCTTTACCTGTACCACAGAAACAAGATAGAGTTGGCAGATGGGAATAATTCAATGCTGGTGGGCTGCACTGAGGGTTTTCGGCATGGGGTTAGTGTTAGTCTAACATTTCTGTACATCCAACATGAGCGCCCATTTAACCAACTACATCATTAAACCTTAAAATACTAAGCATTCACCTAACCAAGCTGGTGAGAAAATAAATAACACTATAGATAAAAGCCAAAGTAAGGTGAAAAAGGTCAAATCTATCTTCAGATGGCCCAGATACCAGTGTATTAACATAAGGAAAGTAATAATAATATAGTACTGAAAATATGTAAATACAGAGGAACTGATAAGTAATTGTACAAGCCAGTTGTATTAACCATCAGTCTAATATAAAGATAAAGAACTACTAGTGCATGTACCTTGAAGATCGTCATAAGGTGGGACCCTGTAATCTCGTAATGCCATCATATTGTGGGATCCTGTATCCTTAACAGACTCAAAAACAGGGCCTGTTGCAAGGTGTTCAATTTGTTAACATTTTTCTAAGTAAATGATGTGATGGTTTGGCACATCACTTACACATTAATTCACACCCACAGTCTCATCATGACCCAAAACAAGTGGTCCGTTCCACAAAACACTGGAACACTCGTGGTTTAAGAGGACAAAAGCTTTTTCCAACCCAAAATAAATGATTTTTCAAGCATAATTTTATAATCTGGAATGCAGAAAGGCATTATCCATATTGATCCACAAACCTCTAACCAGAAATGTTTAAACAAAAGTTGATTTAGAAGACACAAAATCCTTTTAATAATAATAATATAGAAAAATCATAATACATCCCTTAAATCATGAAATCAAAACAGCCACTGTATGGACAGATACAGCATCTCATAAATAAAGTTCGCCCAGATGCTATGGGAAGTAGTACAGTCATAAAGCAGCACACCAAAGCATCTCCTCCGGCAAGGGCGCACGTCAGATTGCTCCAAAATCAGCTCCTGGTCTTGACCTTCACAAAGGAACTGCACATAAAGGTCGGGCCTGAATGATCACTCTGGATTGTTTCGTACGGTATGAGACCGGCCCAAGCGACATGCTAAACCACACGCCGCAGCCCCACCCACCATCTCCTGCACGGGACACAATGTGTGTCATACATCATGGAAATCCTCAGTGTCTGCCATTTTTTCTCCACCTCTGAGTCGCTCTAATTTCTTTATGACTTCCGATACCACACAGACAGAGGACGTGAGGCCCAGCAGGAACAGCAGATCTGCACGGAAAGGACAGTGCATATATCAGTGAACACGCTACGTGAAACATCCTAAACACAATAAGTGCCGGTACTCAAATAAATTCAATTATTTTTTAAATAAGTATTAAATTAACAATTAAATACACTGAAAAAATAGTGTTCAAATTAATTATATAATATGCCTGTGGCGAGCCGTCCTGCTCGCCACAATGCCAATACATTTTTTTTTTTGTTAGGATTAAGAATGATTCTTTTATTAGCTGAACATATTGAGTCAAAATTTTAAATATGAAAATTAACATTTCCAGAATTAATATTTGGGGCCAGATTTACTAACAGCTTGCGCCAGGGCAAACCCTCTTTTGGCATTCAAAAACTACTGTCAGGATTTAATAAAGACATGCAGGGAAAGGCGCTGATAGTGCTGAAAAGGCATGGACACTGTTATTTTTGTGGCTGACTTTATTGCATATGCATTTGTAGGGGTTTCCCTTTCAGACGCAGCTGAATCATGCAAGGTGATTAACTAAGGTTTCCGCTAGTCAATTTACTAGTGTTTGAACCATTATTTACTGCCCAGGCTAATTTGCGCTGCTCTTGATAGGTTGCGTTGGTCATTTTCACGGCGTCAGTAGATCACATGCAGAACTTTCCACTCCCATCTTCGCTTTTTTGGAATTGCGCTCTCACGCTAATCCGCCCTGTTTAGTAAATCTGGCCCTTTGTATTAAATTATTGAATGCTGCAATCATTAATGTAAACATGATAATCATGTTCTCCAGGACAGGGCTATTTACCACTAAAACCAAGTTTAAGCTGAAGTAATACGTTTTTTTAAAACTGAAATAAAAATAAAGATAAATTATAGAAATTAACTAATAAAAATAAAAAAACAACTAAAAATGGACAATCACAACAAAATGACTAAAACAAACTAAAATTAACACTGAAAGATAATTCAAAATACTAATAAATACTATAATAGCGTATAAATAATACTAAAAGAACAAAAAGCTCTAGGATGATTCGAGAATGTTCCAATGAGCATCTTGAAATTCAATGGAAGCAAGAACATCTGACAGAGTTTGCATGATTAATGTCACATATTTACTTTGATTTCTTCTGTATTGTACATATTTTTTGGACTCCACTGCGTGTATTAAGAAAAATGTGGTGTACTATGGTTTCCTGTATTTTTTTGTTTGCATACCTAAAATGCTGAGACTCTCTGTTTGAAAGACCTTCTGTAGTGGAGGGAAGTATATGACCAGGAGTTGGCCCATGATGGAGCCCAGCACAGCATAGCAGAACATCCTGTTACTGCATAAGCCCATCTCGTGCACCATCCGTGTCTGCAGGATGACAAAAACAGTGAAGAGAGACCTCTAATGATATACTGGCATACAATCCAGGCCTTAAAGACACCAAAACGCACATTGCCATTTTGAACTTTTTGAACATGACTCATATTCCCTACAGCAGGTGGCAGTGTTTAGGATTCTGCTCACCACACATTCTTAAGACATCCCATGAGAAAGTAAACCGGAAACATGCTTGTGCATTTTATTGATTTTTGATGTTGCTTATACCTGTGATCGAGAACTGAGAGCGTTGAACATATCGAAGAACACAAAACAGGTAAACGTCATGGTGGTGTCCCGTGGGGTGATCTCGTTGTCACGCAGCTAAAAAACAAAACAAAACAAAAAACTATTTATTAGACTGAAGGGAAGTGGTGGGAGAAAAATAAAATAAAAATCAAGGACATGCTTTTGTGGTTCCTTGAAAAGCTTTTAGCATTGTTCCTGTAGCTTTCAGGAGACAATTATTTCATCAGATTTAATGTACCGGTACTTCATTTTCCAAAGCCGTTCCGATGCTACTTACCCAGAGAAAAACAGTACTTAATAATTTTACAGCTCTTGTGTTGCTATTCAATTAAAGGCTAGGAAAGGTAATTGCACTCCTGTACCAAGGCTCCAAATTAATTCTCAAGTAGACAGGCAAAAACACCACAAAGGTAATATAGAAACAGCATTGCATGATGCCTCACAAACACAAGTCACAGTGTTTAATCGTGTTTAAGTCAAATCATTTAGTCATTTGCCTAATGCCCTGTTTTGAATATATATGGAACACAAATGAAACCCAAAGCAGAACACAAATGATGTGCAGGAAGGCCTTCATCAGCTGAATACTACCTACCTCTCTCCAGAACACAAACAGAGTGCCGCAAACGATGATGAAGGACGATACGAGGATTTTCACTATCAGACTGCGTGTGAGGATGCTGTCTCGGACGTTCCGCGGGGGTTTCCTGATCACGTCCCGATCAACAGGCTCCACTCCCAAACTAGAAAAAGATTTAAAGTTCATTCTTATTCAGGCTATCAATATTCTTGCACCAAAAATTTTCCTGATCAATGGCGGTGGTAAATCTGTTTGTAATCAATTTATTACCTCTGGGCTGGCGGCCCGTCCATGATGATGTTGATCCAGAGGATTTGCATGGCATTAAGAGGGTTGGGGAAATTCATAAGAGTTGCCAGGGAGATGAGGGTAAGGGCAGCAATGCTCCTAAAGAAAGTCAGCACAAAGATTCAGAGATTATTTAATCATTATTCATAACCTGGAACGTCTCAAATATTATATATATATATTAGGGGTGTAACGGTTCACAAAATTCACGGTTCGGTTCGATACGATACACTTGTGTCACGGTTCGGTTCGGTACGATTCGGTACGTTTCCGATACAGCAAAAAGAAAGAAATGCCAGAGAAATTTCCTTGATTTAATCTTTTTAATTATATTTTTATTAAAACTAACATCATAAAGTATGATATTTTTTAACTTTGAGCAATGATGGAGCTATACTTGACTTTTCTTAGGAGCTTATAAAACAAAACAGCTCCTTGGACAAAATTAAATGTAATATTGTAGTAGTTATAAACAAAGGTTTATTTTAGTTCAGATTAACATTTGAGGGCAGCAATTGTATTCATAATGTCAAAATAAAACCGACGTGATGTTACTTGAAAGCATTATAGCCTACTATTCCTGCCAAACTTCCATGGTTACAGTTAGTAGTGTTACTACAGTAAACCCATGGTGAATGTTGCTGATCTGTGGACACTGGATAGTTCATTCATGGCACAATGTTTCTTCCTGGTTTCCACGTCAGCGCTGTTTGATCCGTTAATAACGGAGAAATGCGAATGTTTCTCACTAGATCTTGCAGCGATGTTATTACTTCAGTGGCGAATTCAAATGCTTTCTTTACTGGATTTGGCTGTGTAGTAACAGTGCTGATGATTAAGATCGGCTCGCGCTGTATTTGTCCAAACTGATAAACGGTCCTTCAACCACACAATAACGAGTGGTTTCGTTCCGCTTACATTACATTTGCCATTTGATGTTGGGCAATGTTGTGGTCACGCACATTATGAGCGCGCTTGCCACGCGTGACGCGCCTTCATTTGAAATAACGAAATTTTGGTCGGCAGGAAAAATGGTCCAACGAACCGTTCGGTTCAAAAATGCGTACCGAAAACCGAACCGAAAGCCTCGTACCGAACGGTTCAATACGAATACGTGTATCGTTACACCCCTAATATATATATATATATATATATATATACTATACAATATTTTTTTCTTGTATGTATGTATGTATAAGTAAAACTAAAAAAAATATAAAGAATAGATAATATATAATACATTTAAATGTTTATATAAATCACATAAAAAAATAATACAAAAAATAAATGAATAATTCTGTTCATCAAGGATGCATTTATCTTACAAAAAATGTATATTTAAAATAAATTCTGTTCTTTTCTTTTTTCAACATTATTAAATTGCAGTCGGCAAATCTGGCAGATTGAGTGGACTTAGGCAAAAATTTTAATGTTTACAACTCTCATGCACCTCCCCCACTATCAACGAATACCTTCCCACCGAGTTCGTGCTAGTCAGTGCGTGTGCACCAGATTTTCTGTGAACACCATGGAGTATTTGGAGGTATGCTGCCCTGGCTAATCTACCGATAGATTGCAATTGCTAATGTAATTTATACTCTAAATGAGCTTACTTGATTTGTTAGTGTTTTGAAAGCGAGATACAAGTGTCGGATGAAGACTATGTCCCCGCCATCACTCTTCGTTACTGCGCGAACTTCAGGCGTGTGCATGTGATTGTAACGTGCGCGAGGGGTGGCGTGTGCTCGACCTGTGATTGACAGTCAGATCTCACACCCCCCTGCGCTGATTGGAGCCGATGATCCGGGAGCGGTGGATTTTTGCAAAACAAATAACACGCTCCAGGTGGAGTTAGAAGTTCGGGTTTTTTTCTAAAACCACTTTATTTATGTTGTTCTGTCGGATTATAGTGTCGATTTCACTGAATAAGATAAAAAAAAATTGCGCCTAATTTGCAGTTGTTGTTTTTCTTTTTGCAAATTTTGAAAAGATTTGCTTCACGTTTGGATGGAGACCTAGCTTCATAAAACTGGAGTAATGATGCTGAAAATTCAGCTTTTTCCATTACAGAAATAAATTACATTAAAAATTGTTTTATTTATATTATATAAATATGCCAACTTACGTGCTCAGCTGAAAGCGCACAAAGTTCTTAATGTTGTTGTAAATCCCTTTCCCTTCTTCAATGGCAGACCTAGAGTGAGAAACAAAGGCTTGAGGATATGTGTAAACACATCAGATGTCACATCAACAGTCCGCAAAATTCTGATAAAGCCAAAAAATAAATAAAAAAGAAACCGAATGCTCACAAGATAGTTTGAAAGTCGTCGTCTACGAGGATCATGTCTGCTGCCTCTTTGCAGACATCAGTGCCGGTCTGACCCATGGCCACACCGATGTCTGCTGCCTTCAGAGCCACCGCATCATTAACACCATCTCCCGTCATAGCCACAACTGCACCGATGTTCTGTAAGGACTGAAGCCAGAAACACAGGTTAATAAACATGGCCATATGCGGAGTACAATCACAAACAATCTGTTTGGTGCACTCACCTTAACTATCTTTAACTTGTGTCTAGGGCTGGCTCTGTAGAATACCGCTATCTGTGGAGACAGGTAACATATTCATTTCATGCCGCTTCTTAGGGCCGTTTTTACTGTTAAAAACGTGAGACAGCATGTCAGTGTTAAAAAAGTTTAACTTTTAACTTGAGCGGCACATTTTTAAATCGCTGTGTCATCCGTCTAGCACGTGTTTACATTGGAAAAAAAAAATAGAAAAGTAGCACAGTGGAATGGAAAAGACCAAAAGGCTGCTCTTATTTGTATCAGCTAATGTACAATTCTCAAGACTGTTTAACACTTGTGGATTTGAAACCCGGCCAAAACTCAGCTGTGGATCTTTTGGATCGTAGTGCTGAGAGGAAGCTTGGAGTGTGTAAAGGCATGTTCTTACCCTGGACACTATCTGAGAGAGATGCTGGATGTCCATCTGGTCGACTTCCTCTCCAGACAGAGATTGAGAACCTTTGGTATAGAGACCCAGTCGACTTGCTGTGGTGGAGAAAGGCAATAGAATAAATGTATGCGAGTAGTTGTGTCATATTGAATATTCATGATATATTCACAATGGCTTTGCTGATGCTGCAAAATGTATTATTTGAAAGGCTTTCTACTTGGCCATTAAATCTACTTAAATTAGTTATTCCTGGTCTTGCTACTCATAAGAATGAGAATATATGTGTGTGTGTGTTTATAATAACAAAAATGCATATTGTGCATATATTTATTTAAAAATAAGCATATTCAGAATGTTTAATGTCAGAACTAAATCTATAAAGGCATATTTTATTTTTACACTTGATTCAAACTTGTGACTCAAGTTTGACTCAACTTGTGACTTCACACTCAAAAACAATGGCATTAGAGTTAGTAAGTACAAAATCTATTTCCAAGAATCACTTCATGAATTGATGCAAAACTGTGATTCGACAACTTTGTAATCTATTCAAATGGTTTAGTAAACATATTGTTTATACTAATATTAACGTTTCAATTTAATTGTTTGTCACTACATTGCTGTGTCTCTAAAATTATTAAATATTCTTCCTTGTGTTCATTTACAGCAAAAGAGTGTAATTTTTTTTTACTTTTTAGTTCTGACATTAAAGGGTTAATTCACCCAAAAATATGTCATTAATTACTCACCCTCATGTCATTCTAAACCCGTAAGACTTTCGTTTATCTTCGGAACACAAATAAAGATATTTTTTATGAAATCTGAGAGCTTTCTGTTCCTCCATTGATAGAATAAAAGCCTAAACATTAATCTGTTCATCATATAAAGCGATTGAGACTTCAGAAAATTTGAAGAGTCAAAGTGGTAGTTGCATAGGTTGTCAATCTAGGTACAGATAGCGCTCAGATTTCATTAAAGAGATCTACATTTGTGTTCCAAAGTTGAATGAAAGTCTTAATGGGGTTGGAACGACATGAGGGTTTAGTAATTAAAGGGACACTTCACCCATTTGCATTAAGCTTTGCATTGTTAGAAACCCAGTCATATTTTTGAATGGTCGTGCATTATTCCCTCATTTTTCCCTGAGACGGGAGAAATAAGGATTTCAGTGTTGGAGTTCCTGCTTATAATAATGTAAAAATCGCCATTTTCCGTCATTCTAAGCAGGAAGTCCCATATCTTGGTAGAGGGGTTGAGACTACAAACACTCGTTACTTATTTTACTAGGGGGTGGGATCCACTCACGCTACAGACCTATTACAGATCAGTGGGTGGAACTTCACTTTCTAAAACTAAAAGCAATATCCTCCATCTTGTTTGGAAGCTAAGCTAACAGGCGCTGTGGAGCCAGATGTAAAGTTACGACAATGGCGAAATGTACTCAATATGATATGGAAGAAGAGGATTTCGAAAGTCTGATGCTCGAATCAGATGTTCGTGGCTACTTTTACGAGCCGCAATATAGCGAAGAGCAACTGAGGCTGATGGAGGAACAGGAGGCGGCTGCCTGTCGCGGACCGGCTCGAGCTGGGGTGGACTGGTGGTGCCTGTGCTCTCACTGTGCGCCTACGGACACAGAGATAGAGTCCGTCTGCTGCAAAGAATTTCAACGATGCCAATTTCTCCTGGACGAAATCTCTGAATCAGACGAGGACACGGACGTTTGTGTTGTGAACCATCCTAGTTTCACACCGCACATGTTCTGACTGAACATCCCGGTACCATGCAATAATTCAACATTTCGAAAGAAACACAAATGAGGAGTAATTCACTAATGAGTTCGCCATCTAACTGGAAATTTTGTGTGAAATGAATTTCAAGCTCTGGTGGTAGCTAGCCTTGTAGACGGAAGAGTGATTTCTCTGATAGGCGGATACCTCATAGGCGCTGTTCTGGATTAGTGGGAGTGGCGTGTGGAGCTGTGCAATGTGGTGCATTGTGGGAGGAGTTGTCTTTCATACAAATGCGCCCTAAAGTTACTTTCTGTCTTTCCTCGGTCAAGAAGGCACCAAATTCGAAATTTATTTTACATTTCGACTACATAAATGGCCCACTTTCAATAAAGATTAATGTTCCCACGGGTGAAATGCTCCTTTAATGAAACAATTTAAATTTTTGGGTGAACTGAACTATCCCTTCAAACATTCTAAGTCTACTCATAAATATATTCTATATATAGAATATTGTCAAAAGGCAAAAAAAAATCTAATTTGGTAGCTATATTTTGTTTTTATAATTATTGAAGATGTAGAGAGACACACCGCTGAGACAGAATAGGAATAATATGGTTGAATGTCATACCAATTGACACTGCGGTCTCTTTAGAATCCCCTGTGATCATCTTCACTGCCACTCCAGAGTTGATGAGAGTCACCACAGCCTCTTTCACTCCAGCTCTGGGAGGGTCGATGATGCCCACTAGCCCCAGGAAGGTAAGAGCGCCCATCTCAGAACCAGAAGCAAATGCCAGCACTGCCAGAGGACAGATGAAGAGCATCAGCTTCTGCCAAAACCTGCTTGATCTCAATATTATTACTGTGTCCTCCATGAAATGTCTTTAATTAAAAGAAGCTAATAGAGAGGAAAGTCAAAATGTGAAAGCACTTCTTCTGTGTCCTCAGAGACTCAATCTTATCAAAACAAGCCAAATGATAAGCAGGCCAGCTGAAAGATAGAAAAGCCTTGCCAGGGAGCAACTAAGGAGACACCATAAGAGTTGATACAAATAGCATGCATGTCATTTCAAAGGTATGTGGCAGGTAAGCTGTTTGACATTAAGCCACAGTTCGGAAAACCAAAGGAGCTGAACCCTTCAGGAATGCTCTTAAGAATAAGCTGTGACTGAAGTTTAAAGCATCCTTAAAGAATAAATGTATTAATTTCTTTTTTTTTTAAACTAGAAAACAATCTTAGTAATCCCAAACTTTTAAACGGTACTAGTGTAACAAGTGCTGTACCTCTGAGACCCGCAGTGCCCATATAGCTCTTCTGCTGCTGGTAGAGTTCTCTCTGCTGGTGAGTCAGAGGCAGAGTGACGCCTTTACTGTTGTAGGAAGTACAGAAGCGGATGATCTGCTCATAGGCGCCCTTCACAAAGAACATGGCAGGCTTATCCTGTTATTTAAACCGATGTAAGGAAAGATATAATTAGTTTCGTATAACCAGGCTTTTGACTACAGAATAACTTTGTAGCTTATTCTGACAAAGGGCTGTGTAATTAGTGACCACCTTTTTAACATTTAACATTTAAGGCCCCGACATACTTCAAGCTAAAACGAAGAATGAATTGATGTGACATCAATTCGAACAAAATCAGGCCAAAATGAACTTTGTTTGAAGTTCGTTTTAGGAGTTCGAAACAGCTTGCCAAAGCGAACTTTCTGGAAAAGTTTGTTGCGGCTGGTAAAAATGTACATATTCATCTAACCGTTGCACTCAGCAGCGTGGGTGGCGTCAGATGCTTAGTGCTTACTAACAGTATATTGCTGCTCAAGTATTTCAAACATCAGTTTACCCTTTTACACTTGACGAATAATGAAAAAGAACTTAGCCCTGAGTATATCAGGGCCTTGAATGGGTCAACACATTAACAGATCAACATGCAATAAAATGGTAGCTCATTTAAATGATTATTGAGTCTTTGAGAATGGTCATACACACAAACCAGATGAAACGATTGATTGAAGACTATGATCAGAATTGACGTCTAACAATTCTGACAAATTCCCTTTAAGGCAAGTAATTTCACTCGGTGGCCATCTTTGAAACACTTTCGGGCAGCTATTTCAGTCATGCAAGTACAGCCTCATCGGTTTTAAATGAGGAAAGATCAAATTCTCCAAAGCTGTTCACCAAGCTTACGATTAAAATTCATATTTTAAATCACCAATGAAATCTGACAACTGTCTCATAAATGGTTTCTTATGCTCAAATTAGTTAAAACAAGTTAATTTTTCAGGCTAGACCAGCCATGCACATGTGCGCTCTTAAAGGGATATTCCACCGTTTTTTCATATTAAACTATGTTATTCCCTAAACTAAGACGAGTTGATACATACCTCTCTCGTCTCAGTGCGTGCACTAAATCGCTCTGTCTTGCGGCGAAACTCTGATATCACTTAGCTAAGCCCAGTTCATTCATTTGGAGACAAGCAGAGAAGCGAGCAAACACCTTCACGTTTTCCCTATTTAAATACAGTTACACGAGTAGTGTAACTCGACCAAGAATGGTGACAAAATAAAACGTTGCGCTTTTCTAAGCGTGTAAAGTGGATAACTATAATGTATAGCGGAATACCATAGCAAGTGCTTGGGAGCACTTTGACTCAGCGCAGTAATATCATCACTCGTGAAAAATCCTCTCCCCCTCTCCGGAGTGATGATATTACTGCGCCGAGTCCATAGATATATATGCGCAGAGGTATGTATCAACTCGTCTTAGTTAAAGGGATAGTTCGGCCAAAAATGATATTTAACACATGCATTACTCACCCTCAAGCCGTTCGAGATGCATATGTCAATCTTGTTTCAGACGAACACATTTTCAGTTATTTTAGAAAATTTCTTAGACCCTTCAGTGGATATAATGTGAAGCAATGGGGTCCACCTCCTTCAAGTCCCAAAATGTGCATACTACCTTCACAAAAGTAATCCATCCGGCTCCAGGGGGATAAACGAAGGCCTTCTGAGGGTAATCCGTGCGGTTTTGTCGTAAAAATATACATATTTAAAACTTTATAAATGAAAATATCTGACTTCCGGCAACGATCGACGCGCGTTCACGGGTGATGGAAGTCGGCGTACGAGGTAGGACGTAGCGTAGGAACCGTCGTGACGTAGACGTTGTTTTGCTCTGCTCTCTGGCTGCGCAGGCGCGTTCGTTCTACGTCACGACGGTTCCTACGCTACGTCCTACCTCGTACGCCAACTTCCATCACCCGTGAACGCGTGTCGATCGTTGCCGGAAGTCAGATATTTTCATTTATAAAGTTTTAAATATGTATATTTCTACGACAAAACCGCACGGATTACCCTCAGAAGGCCTTCGTTTATCCCCCTGGAGCCGGATGGATTACTTTTTTGAAGGATGTATGCACATTTTGGGACTTGAAGGAGGTGGACCCCATTGCTTCACATTATATCCACTGAAGGGTCTAAGACATTTTCTAAAATAACTGAAAATGTGTTCGTCTGAAACAAGATTGACATATGCATCTCGAACGGCTTGAGGGTGAGTAATGCATGTGTTAAATATCATTTTTGGCCGAACTATCCCTTTAAGGGAATAACATAGTTTAATATGAAAAAACGGTGGAGTATTCCTCTAAGCAAGCATCTCAGAATAGCAACCGGAGCTTCTAACAGCAGCTGAGGTGATGTGATGACTTTACCAATCGTCAATTGGCTCTTTTATATAGAAGGGGGGACTTATTCCTTATGGTGGGAAAATTTAATGTGAGCGCACAGTCTTTGTGTACATAAAGTCTTTGTTACAGATTATTTCCAAGGCATAACACAGAAAACAAAGCAGTGAATCTAGCAAATAGTTGTTCTTATGCAGCAGCCTGGTACCTAAACGCACTTGTTTCCCGGTGGACTGATAAACAGTTGTGCATCCTGACTTCCATAAACTGCATGAAGCTGGCCACACAGATTGGATCTTAAGATTTCCAGAGAGTACTTTAAGAGCGCTCAGTCTCAGCGTGAGAATAATAATAAATAGCCAGCCAAGTGGAAAAACATTTGGGCACTGTCCATCCATTTCAAGACATGTTTGTTTAATGCAAGTAAATCAATAGGATCGGCAAAGTGAATGTAAATTTCAACGTGCACTATTGTGATATTGCCAAGGAATTTTCAGCTCCAATTACCTTCCACTATCTACTCCAAGTTTACAAAGTTCTTTATGCCATGTGGCACAGCTTACTTGCTGAGTGCGATGGACGACGCGGACTGCCATCCACTTCTGCTCTGAGGAGAAGGGAATCTCTTCCAACCGCACAAACTCCTGCTGCAGTCCCTCCAAACCCATCTATAAACAACAGAAAATAAATAGACATGTGGTTACATACTCAGCTCACTTGAATCCTTAAAGAAAGATATAGAAAATCCAATCTAATCTCAAAGAGACAGATCAGTTCCGGTTCCATGAAAAACTCTGATAAAACAGAGTGGCTAGATACAAAATCAGAATATAAAAGAAAGGCAAGGTCAGATAATACGAGACAAGGTCTTTGCCGCTAATGTGGAAAATTGAAGCAAAGATGCCTCAACAAAAAGACTGTTCAAACATAAAAAAAATAAGCATTGTAGTGCCCAATACAGCAAGTGAAAAGTCTGAAACTCTTTCACACTGGCCCCTGTGCAATTCTTATAGTTAAGGGCCTGATCAAGAACACCCTAAAATTGTGGCTTTGAGTTTTGCGCAGACAAGAAAACCGTAAAAATCTAGTTCTTTTTATCCTTGTATTTGAATCACAATTCTCTCAGTTTAAACCCCAAGTAAATGTCCCTGTGGTGAAAACAATATTATTAATGTACCAGACGTTAACACAACTGGGACCCTCAAGGGAGATGCTGTTGCCACAGCAACCTGTTCTATGGGGTGTGAAAGCATGTCTGCTCATCTTAATTAGCATGAGTGAGAAGAACAGATTCAAACACTCTCTGTTTGCCAAAATAAGGTGACACGAGGTGACAGACAGTATCAGGCAGGCATTATTGCCACAGGCTGTTGCCTCATGTTTGAACAGGTGGGAAGAGCCAACACAGGCACGTCCAACCATACTGTTTGGGTTTAGTTATGATATAGTTGCATGTGATATCCAGTGCTTTAAGTGGGCCGGTACGCACCGGTACTCAGTACCGCCACTTCCAAATATAGCTCTTGAGCGTACCGCCACCTCTCCGTGCGCCCAGAACGTGCTTTTAGCGTACCGGTACGCTCATTTGCACATCTGTTTTAATCCTTTGGCTGCGCTGCCGCTTTTCAGAGCTCCCTTCACAATGCATGCCTCCTAATTCGTCCCACCGAGACCAGAGACTACATTACCCATACACCCTTGAGTTTTACAAGTGAAAAGCGCATGCGTCGCTTTTGCCGCTGTCAGTGTTAGCTGCTCGGTTAAAATACAAATAGAGCATCACAGTGCGTAACTGTTTGGTTAAACCCCGCGAAGGTCCGTGAAGACTGAAGATCGTGTAATGACGTAGGGCTAGCTCATTGGTCGCACGCGCCATTGGATGTGCAGTTGCCGCAGTACAGCCTATGAGCGAGCCAGATGCTCAATGTGTTTTACATATAAGCTTCATTAAATCAGAAAAGGAGTTTCCCTGCACATTCACTATATGAAATTCACTGGAGGAAAAAGTTTGCGTGGCCGTCGTCAGATTTGGAAGTCGCTCAAAATCTTTCGCGGTTGTGGCTTCAGTCGACTTCAGTGAGGCGCGGTGGTTTATGGGATGAGTAGTTCCTTCGCTCGGAAATGAAAATATGTAAACAGTCTTGTACCTTTGATTTTATTTGGATTTTCTCTTAGTTTTTTCACTCGAAATTATATGTTGTATGCTTATGAGTTCAGCCGTAGCTGGTTATCCTCAGACATGCTCTAAAACTCTTTAGATACGGTTTTTCCAAAACGTCAATGGGAGAAATGAATGGGAAATTTACTTCCGGCACCGAAGCTCTCTCGGGCTGTGGGCGGGACTGTGATGCTCTATTATACCCCAGACAATAACATTTAATTTTGTAACAGAATATAAGTTTTTTTTTTTTTTTTTTTACAAATGTAATTTTACTCTGTTTATTAATGTTTTTACTCAACATGTGTGCCGTTTTTGGAGGATTTATGATATCTTTTAAATTTCTATAAATAAATAAATAAATAAATATTTATTTAAATAGGCTTTTTACAACAAAAAAAACAGCATTTTATGTCAAATTCACTTTATAAAAGACACAGATTTTTAACTTTCATTCATGGAGAGAACATGGATAATTTTACATGGTTTTAATGTAAAATTTTTGGCCATTTTTTGGAAAATGCAGTTTTAAAATAAAATAAAAATCACTTTAACCACTAGATGGCTAAAGAGCTGCACTATATGCTATTTGCTATTTGACTAATCAAAATATATCTTTTCACAAGTTTTTCCAGTTGGATTCATATCCACATTTTGTACATTTTTTTTATGTTCAGTAGCTCTTTCTACTGTAGCTCTTTCTAAGGGTATTTTTTCAATACCATTTTGCACATTTTATTTATGTTCAGTAGCTCTTTCTAGCTAAAGCAAATCCACAAACTAATAAAAGGATTTATTATTTTGTATAAGGTCGTCTGTTGACTGCTGTTTATATAAAACCCCTTCAATATAGTTGTTGTTACCTCAGGGGAGGAGGGGAGTCAGCAAAAAATAAATAAATAAGAGTACCGCCACCTCTTTTGGGCCACTTAAAGCCCTGGTGATATCACAAAAGAACAATAATTATTAGAATATCATGCAGGACGCAACATACTGTACCTTCATAGCCAGGGCGATGAGGGCGCCTTCGGTAGGGCGGCCCATTAGGGTGTTGCTCCTAATCAAGGCATCATTGCACACACAGCCAGCCTACAGGATTTCAGACACCAAACGAAATGTGTCACATTATAGTATCCAAAAAGCTCTGCTTTTCATAATATTTACCTCTTAACCTCACCTCCACAATCTTGCTAATGGAGGTGTTGGAGAAACCATGCACCACCTCTCCATCCAGCAATACCTCGCCAGAATTGTTGTACCCGACGCCAGTGACCTGTAAAAGAAATCAGTTAAGAAACATCTTAACACCTTAAAGTCAACATGAAACCATGTTCACAACCTATAGTAAGGCATTTATAAGTGAAACAAGAAAAAAAAAAAGTAGGATGGGACTATGTCGAATTGAGATTTATAGAGATATGAGACTTTATTTTTAGAAGAAACTGAAGGAATCATGAAACATTCTTTCCAAGGAAGTTATTACATTTTGAGGAAAGACTTGAAACTTTAACATACACGCAAATGCACTGTCACACAAAGCTCGAACAGAGACGATAGATGACTTTTAGCAGTCTTTTGACAGTGCTCTGTTTGAAGCCCAGAGGGATGTGGAATAAAAAAGCATGATGTAATAGACCTGGGAGAAGCGACCTAGTAAGTTTAAAAAGTGAGAGACTCAATCTACTCCTCAGCCGACTGCTTTGAAGATTTATTAGAGCACGCCGATAGCACAGCAATGAATTCAGGACTATACACTGATGCCATCAGGCATCTGACACACTGTTTCTGTTCCTGGGAGAGAAAACCAGAGGCTTCTCTTCAGATCCATAGGGCTGATGAAACACTGCAGCATTAACACTTCAGATTGCATATTTCTAATGTGGTAATGGCTTTAGGAAAAACAAGACCTAACAGAGCAAGGCACAACAATACAATTTATTGTCCCGTTCAAAGTTTGGAATTTTTGTAAACTTTTTGAAAGAAGTCTCTTATGCTCACCAAGGCTACAATTATTTGATCAAAAATACAGCAAAAGCAGTAACATTGTGAATTATTATCACAACTTTAAAAAGCTGTTTTCTGTTAATATATTTTAGATTGTAATTTATTGTAATTAAATCATTTTCAGCACCCATTACTGAGGTCTTCAAAGTCACATGATTCTTCAGAGATCATTCTGATTAAATGATTTAATGCTTTCCAATTATAAATTTTGAAAACACTAGTGCTGCTTAATTTTGTGGACACTGATAAATTTCATTAATTGAAAGTTCAAAAGAAAAACATTGCAGAAACATAAATGTTTAGTAATATTACAAACGTATTTACTGTCACTTTTGATCAATTTAAGTGTTTGCTGATTAAAAGTATTAATTTAATAAAAAAAAAACTGACCCCAAACTTTTGAACTGTAGTGTAAATATATATTAAATACTCATTCTAACTGATGTTCCTAAGACTTGCACTAGTTATTCTTTCAAATTGAACCAATCCTTGTGTGGCCAGCCAGCCACTTTGGTAACAGACATCATCAGTTTTGAGAGCAAATCGCTGCATTTATTTTCCAATGTGGGGTGGAAAATCTTCCTAAATGGGAGCTATAAGGACGGACTAACTACCAATTAAAATTACATATGGCTTTAGTGTTTGGTGTCCACATTCTTTGGTCATGTAGTGTAATTTTACCCTCCTGAAAGTTTCAAGGCTCTTACCTCAGCATGCTGTCCATCAGAGCTGAACAGGTGAGTAACTGTCATCTCATTTTTAGTGAGAGTGCCTGTCTTATCTGAGCAGATCACATTACAGCAGCCTGGAGAGGAGAGGGAGGTTTCTCAGTTTAATACAGACAATAAAGATATTCTGATTTCCATGAAATCAGTGCAAGAGAAAATGCAAATGAGACCAAGTATTAAAACGATTGAAAAATACTGTCCAAGACACCTACACAATGATATTTTCACATATTAACACAAACAACATTTGTGTGGAGTGACAACACCCCTATAGTAAAATATGAATGTATGGCCTTAAGTGGTAACAGCTTTACAAATGGGAAATGGCTCATGTAATAAAATTTGAGTTGAAAATTGTATAACTTTTATTTATATAAATAAATTCAATATTTTTGTTTTATTAAAAAAGAAATAATAATGTCAAATAATTCAATATTGGTCGATCCAATAACTTTTCTATACTCCTAGACACTAAGTATTCCTGTTTTACCATCTGCAATTAGTTCAGCCCAAACTTACAATCAAATATAGTTTTGGAGATAAACTACTCTGCACGCTGCACCAAACAATCCTGGTCCTGACTATGTCCACAATATAGCACATCTTTAAGTGCTACTTGACAAAAGCGTTGTTTCATTATTAGTAAAAAGCCATTATGTTCATCACATGATTGAAAATGGTTCTAAGCAAAGCAATAAACATTTCTTGAAAATGTTACTGACACCCACAAGAGCAATTTGCAATAATGTGTTTACTCCGCTTTATATTAGTGCATGTTCAGTGTGAGTGTGGCTGGTCGTCTGACTCTGGTGGTTTCTCCCCTCTGTGGCCTTACATAATCATCAGTCATGAGAATCAGTCAGCCCACAAAGTGACTTTTTGTTCTTCTGTGAGCTGGCCAACAGGAAGGAACTTCCTGACACAAGGACTTTGTCAGAACATTAGATGAGAGTTCCATTGACAATAGAGTACAGATCATTTACAGCGTGTCCTTTAATTCAATTGATCAGTGTTTTGTGAACATTCCCAACCCTTTGCAGATAGCAGGAAAATAAATTCAATGGTATTTTGCTAAAAATTCATTGTGACTTAATTAATTCTAGCCAGATACCAACATAGGTAGGTTTGCGTGTCATGCCCTCATACTTGGAATGACTACTGCCCACTACAATGTGCTTTGAGAGAGAAACCAATAAAACTTTTTGCATGATAAACAATTTTTGTAATCTATTGGGTCACCACATGATGTCCAAAGCAAAATCTGGGTCATGAACCAAAACCACTGGTTTACGTCACAATGTAGAACATACCCAGAGTCTCCACTATGGGCAATTTTTTAATGATCGCTCGTTTCTTCACCATCCTCATCACTCCCAGTGCCAAAGTCACCGTCACCACGATGGGGAGGCCTTCTGGGATAGCTGCCACGGCCAGGCTGAAGAGAAGAGCAATGATGCAACACTTAAAAGACTGAAACCTGCACTACACATCAAGTCACATGCCTCTTGGGAACATCCGTCTCTGTGCTAGGCTAATTAGGACATACCTGACGCCTATGGTGAACATGTCTAGAATATTCTTCCCCTGAAGCCATCCGACCATCATGATCACCCCTGAAAATGGAAATATATTAGTGCCATCACAGAGAGCGGAGGCAGGTATGACAGAACAGAAATTAGGGTTTGCATATTTAATGAGATGTTATGTATCACTAGCTCATGAAAGTGCAATGAATGTTAATTGGACAATCTTAACAAGATGTCTACCGATTATCCCAAAGGAATAAAGGGAGAGCTGTTTTCCCAGCAAATCCATGCTTTTCTGTAATGGGGTTTTAGGAGCCTGTTTAAAAAGCAAAAAGAAAGAAAGAAAACATTTAAATATGAAGCAAATGTGTTTTTTAGAGCATCAATCTCTCTGGTTTATGCTTGATTACCTCCTCTGCTTGCATCATCTTAAAAACTTCACCAAATTCAGAATTTTCTCCAGTGCCTATGACAATGCCCTATAATTTAAAAGCAAAATTATTAAAAATGTGTGCAAATGATACATCTTATTCAATGAAAAAAAGAAAAACGTCTAGTCTCACATAGAATCTTTATACTTTTTTCACATTTTCTAATTATGTGGGGAAATCTGAAGAATGGATAAATAACCAAATAAATAAATAAACAAACACTATTTAATACAATAAAATAAACAATGATTCAATATTTATTTTTATTCCACTAAAAAAAATACAAAACAATAATTAAGTGAATATCTGAGTACTTGGACATCAACAATTAACGTTCAGGAGAACAATAACTGTGTGACTTGACTGAACTTCAAAACTTTTCACACACTATAAACTATAAACAAACATGTTTAAAAGGGGCATTTTTTTTACATTTTGCAAACAGTTATGGTGTTATTATTGGTGGTGCAGTACTTGTCAAAAGTTTGGAAACATTATAATTTTTAATGTTTTTGAAAGAAGTCTCTTATGTTCACCAAGGCTGCATTTATTTAATCAAAAATACAGTAAAAACAGTAATATTGTAAAATATCATTACAATTTAAAGTAATTGTTTTCTATTTTAATACATTTAAAAATGCAATTTATTCCTGAGATGACAAAGCTGAATTGTCAGCATCATTACTCCAGTCTTCAGTGTCAATCATTCTAATATGCTGATTTGCTGCTCAAGAAACATTTATTATTATTATTATTAATGTTTTTTGCTGCTTAAAAATTATAATGTATTCAAACTTTTGACAGGTACCTTGTGGTCCGATGCATCGAAAAGCAATTACAAAGATGTAACAGTACCTTAACCATCCCACAGTGCACCAGCAAAATTTCACCTTATTAAAACATTTACTCTTTCAAAATGCAATTATACTGAAGAAAAACAAAAACATGCAAGCAGTGGGGGATATGTATAATTTTATTAATGAAGGCAGCTTGAATTATGAGTTCTCTGAGGACTTCTGTGGAGGGGTAGATTCAGTTCAGGTCTAGATGTAACTGTACCTTGGCCTTCCCACAGCGCACCAGCGTACCCATGAAGGCAATGTTACTGCGGGACGTGATATCGCCATTGGCGGCAGACGGCTGAGGGGCAGAGGTCTTCGTGCAGGGGGTGGTCTCTCCTGTCAAACTGGACTCATCAACTGTCAGATCCAATGCCTGCAGGGAAGGTTCAGCTTCACTAACAGGCCATTAGAATATTGCTGCCATTTCAAGCACAAGAATTTCCACCACTAACTGCCATTTGAATGTGCAATTCAGAAAGCCGCAAAGCACATATTTGTCTGGCATGTTTTTGACTGCAACAGTGTAACAGTAATAGTTTACATGTGCATCACTTTCCAATTAAGTCCAATTCTGGATAAGCCATCATTTATTATAACACAAAATTAACTTTGTTTGGACATTCTGTTACAGTGAATATTCTGAATTAAGTGTCTCTAGAAACTGTAGTATTGGCTTAATCCGTTTATGGCAATAATAAATAATTGGAGTTTATATAATCAGAATATGACCAAATTATAATTCATAATAGAATATTGTGCATAAAAGAGACACATGGAAGAGGAGAAAGAGACAAGTATATATATATATATATATATATTCATTTCACACCTCGAAAAGACGCAGGTCAGCCGGGACTCTCTCGCCGACTGATAGACAGACGGTGTCTCCGGGTACAAGCTCTCGAGCCAGAAGATGCTCCAGACGTCCTTCTCGAACACTGGAGTACAAGGAGAGAGGAGATGAGTTGGAAAGAGAAATAGAGAGGGCGTCAGAGGGATTGAGCGTTAAACGGTTTGAAATTAGGCCAGTGAAGTCGTGTGGACAGACCTTGAGATTTGTGCCCTACGGACTAGATGGAGGTCATATACTTTTGTGAATGTAGTTCCAACAGTCTTGGCAATGAAAAAATGCTTGTTGCCAGAATCATGTAAGAGTGGCAGATAAAAGGAGGATAACACATTGTGGTGCGCAACAAGGCTTAAGACTGTGGCACGGCCCAGTTTTGAAGTGCAAATAGGAGACTTTGTGTGTTTGAAGTGGAAATTACACCTCCAGTTCTCACTCTCTCCATATGTTGTCTGAAAGGCTGTCTTTTATGCATTTGGTGGGTGTAAAGCTCTGGAAAATACACCTAAGACATCAAGACCTCACCCACAGATAACCCTCACATATTAAATAGTAAAAAAAAGAAGCTTATTTTTTAAGTCTATTTTTAAGGTCAAATCCAGGTTAACATAATATATAAAACAACTAAAAACCTACATAAGATGTTTAAGATTTATTTTTTTAAAAAGAACTGAGGATTTCAGTAGAATAAAAAACTGTTTTCTCAGAGGATCACAGTCCAATAAAATATGTTTCACAGACAGTGACCCTGGACTGAGGCACATTTGGTGGGATCGTCATCTGATAGTAAAAATGTGTGACTAATGTGTGCGTTTCCTAATCATCATCAAAAGTAAAAGACTTTTGTTCCAGAAATTATTCAAATGAAACAAACTACCGTTCAAAAGTTAGAGATAATGCATACTCAGTGAGGATGCATTAAATTGATCAAAATGGACAATAACGATTTAACAAAGGTAAAAGATCTCTACTTTAACCTTTTTATTTGGAGCCTGAAAAAAGCATACCACTGCTTCCTCAAAAATATTAAGAAGCACAATTGTTTTCAACAATGATAATAATAAGAAATCTTTCTTGAGCACCAAATCAGCATATTAGAATGATTTCTGAAGGATCATGTGACATTGATGACTGAAATAATAGCTGATGAATATTCAGCTTTGCCATCACAAATTTTAAATTGAAATACTATTTCACAATATTACAGTTCTACTGTATTTTCGAGCAAATCAATGCAGCTTTGGTGAGCATAAGAGACTTACTTCAAAACAATTGAACAGTAGTGTAAATACTTTCCCAAAAGCAGGATTGATTTTGTGTCATTTATTTATTAAACCTGAGCCAATTCTAATAGCCACTTATTTTTGACATATAATCTATTAAAGCTGTGGAAGATAAAGCACTTTTTGAATTCTGTAGATAATGCTCACCAATGGCATTCTGGAGGCACAAGTTTCCCTAGTTCCTCCAGTGATTTTTCTGAGCGGTATTCCTGAAATGAAGCAGAACAGAGCTGACAGTAAATGTCCACCACACTTACACTCTCACTACACCTCATTAAATAGACTTTTTCCAAAGTATCTCAAAAGTATTCTGACATTTGCATACGCTCTGAGGTCTATAGCTTCAGATGAGTGAAGGCATGTCAAGTGAGGTAATGTCATAAGTGTATGTTGGATTTACCTGTACAAAGGCAACTGTAACAACGATAATAATGGCCTGCAAAAAGAATGACACAAGAGTGTTGATAAACTGATCAAGTACTTCAAGGAAATCAAAAGTCTGACAGAGGGGAGTGAGCAGGAACTTACCACGGTGATACTGACGGCATCGTCAAACTGACGCATCAACACGCTGATGACAGCGGACGCCAGCAGCAACAGGATAAGTGGGTCTTTAAACTGGAGACCAAAAGAAAGAGAAAAATTCAGAAAAATAGACTGCATGGGGGCGCAATGCTTCTCAGAATTCATTGTATCCCACATCTCAAGTTGAAGGTCTGAGTTTATCCGCCTCAGGGGTTGAACGTAGAATAATCAATGTTAGCTATACATGACAGCAACAATTATCGACCTCTGTGTTATATAGTCTGCTTTTTCAGATACCACAGGTACATACGCATCTTTACAGACAGCAAGAGACCACAGCCCGAAACGATTTGCAGTATTGGTCTACAGAAAACATTTTCTATGCTGTAAAATAGTTCAGTTTAGTTGGAAAAAATCCCAAAAGAGTTGGGTATTTCTATTGGTTGACGTAAATTACTTATTTTGAAATAAACATTTTAGTGAAAATGTTACGGATTTAATTACCACTAAAAAAATATTTAAAAATGTTTTAGTGTTTAAAAAAGTGAAAATTCATCATTTGCTAATTTAAATGTGAAATCGCTTTAAATTAATATATTTTGAATCCCAGATTTGCAATAGTGGTAGGTAGTGGTAAATTTAAATCTCCACCCTTATTCAAATATTATAAATGGACTGTATTTATATAGCGCTTTCACAGACCCAATGGCCACCAAAGCGCTTTACATTTTGCCTCACATTCACCCATTCACTCACTCATTCATACACCGACGGCGGTGTCAGCCATGCAAGGCGCCATCCAGCTCGTCGGGAGCAGCTGGGGTTAGGTGTCTTGCTCATGGACACCTCGACACTTGGTCAGGTGGAACCAGGGATTGAACCACCAACCTTCTGGTTTGTGGTTTAAAAATAAACATTCTGACATTAGAGAGGGTTTATCTCATAGGCTATTCAGCAACTCAAACATACCAAACCAACAATTACTAAAAACAGATTTTGCACGGGCATTGTACTAGTCTATCTATAAATTACAGAAATGTCTGTATGTCTGTGTGTCTGTCTGTTAATCGCATATCTCTCGAACTGTTAGTCCGATGGATTTCAAACTTGACAGGTGTCTTGCTACGGGCACGAGTAAGTGCAGTGCCGAGTTTGAAGTTGTTTGGATTAGAAATGCAAAAGATATCGTTAATATATCGGTAAAAGAAGCACACATTGAAGTTGTGGTTTAAAAATAAACATTCTGACATTAGAGAGGGTTGTGGTTTAAAAATAAACATTCTGACATGAACACTCTGTCAGTTACACTGTTTACTTCTGAATATTGTAGTTATTCAGGAATAGTTAGTTGTCAGTCGTTATATATGTAGTTCAATTTTCCATATTTATTGTATGTCATTATGTCAGTATCAGTATTTGCTTTCAACCATGTACAAATAAAAATGTCACTGAACTTTTGCTGTGTAATTGTAACAATGAGCACTCAGACACACCAAACCAACAATTACTAAAAACACACAAAAACTGATTTTGCACATACATACTGTCAAATCGATTATTCGCGATTAAAAAAAATATACACTACACACACACGTATAATATACAGTATATATAAATATAATATATACACAGACACACATACATCTATCTATAAATTACAGAAACATCTGTCTGCGTGTCTGTTATTCGCATATCTCAGTAAAAGCAGCACACGTTGAAGATGTTTAGAAAGTTGTGGTATAAAAAACATTCTGACATTAGAGGGTTGTGGTTTAAAAATATCTGAATATTATATTTTATTCATGGCCATCATTTGTAGTACCCTTTTCACAAACTGTTTGCTCAAGCGTAGCGTTTTCTCAGAGTTCACTGTGTACCCTGCTCCCTGAATCGTCGCGCTTATTCATTTGTGGATGTTAACTGAATCTGTAAGTCAGCTACACCGTTTAATTCTGAATATTATATTTTATTCTGGTGCGGTTAACGTTATTGTTTTCTCAGAGTTTAGGCTCCTGTGTAATAGTAGCCTAGGCTATTCAGCAACTCAAACATACCAAACCAACAATTACTAAAAACACACAAAAACTGATTTTGCACAGGGATTGCACTAGTTTATACTCAATTTACTGAGCAAATACATATTAAGATGTACTGAATATCATCAGAAACCTGAATAATATTTGTATATTTTTTATCTGCATCACCCAGCCCTAGGAGAGACATGTGTCATGCAAAAAAAACCATAAATGATAGACAGGGTATAGAAATATATTAGTTCTCGTTCTACAAACACCAGTTTTATAGTCTACAGAAGAAGGCTAAAAAAAAGGCCTGGTTTCAGAGACAGGGCTTAGACTAAGCCAGGATTAGGCCTTAGTTTAATTAGGACATTTAAGTAGCTTTTATAAACATGCCTTAGAAAAAAACATTACTGGTGTGCATCTTGAGAGTTGAGACAAAACAATGGCACTGACATGTTTTAAAGTCCCCGTAGTCAATAATTTTATCTCTTAAGACTCATCTTTGCTCACCAAAATGACATATTTAAACATGGTTTCCTCTTCATGCCTTAAAATAGCTTTTATTTTAGTATATGCAGTTTAGTATATGCCCCGCCTCCACTCATTCACAGCAGCTCAGAGATCCACTCGTTGACGATCACACGTTGTCATGTGATTGGTTACAAGGTAGTTTGTGACGTCAGAAACACCAGCGTTTTCAAAGCGCGTTTTTGAGACTTTTTTAACTGCCGTTTTAAAGAGAAAATACTCAGCAATAGTGTTGACTAGGGGTGTCCCCGACTAAGGATTTTCATAGTCGAATCAAGATTCGTCAAGTCCTGCCTATAGTTGACTAATAGTCGAACCATGTGTGTGGTGTTGGGGAGGGGGCGGGGCTTTAACATTTTAAAGCCGCGATGTACAGAACATCACACAAAGATATAGAAGAAAATGTATAAAAACATTTTGGATTAATAAAACTAAGAAATAACATAAATAACTGCAGAAAGGCCACACTGCAGATAGGATTTGCATTTCACATGCAAATCAAATTAAATCGGCTGAATTGCCTGTACGAGCATGAAGTAGGCCTACAGCGCAACATCGATGCACTGAAAAACAATCAACAATTAAGAACACAATATACATTTATAATAAATAAAAATACAAAACGAAATAAGTCAGAATCAAGTCACAAGAAGCAGAACAAATGTGTGCAAAATGCCTAAAGTGCAGGGGAACAAATATTCAAAACACAAGTCACAAATAGTTCAATTAGATCACCCTGAGTGATCAATTAATAAAATAAAAATAAAGAAATTATTAAAATAACGAAAGTATGGCCAGGATTGTCAACTTTGTCTTTTTAACTGCAGAAACAACAATAAACGCTAAACTGGAGCGGCAGTCTTTTTAGCTAAACGTGTTCACAGTATCCAAAAATCAAATTGGAACCGGCTGAAATGTTTTGAATCACTTGTACCCATACCTGATCGAAAAAACAAAATCCAGTCTTTCACTCGGCCTGTTCCGTTTGAGTCTTTTCAAATTGTGTACGCGGATAAAATACATTCTAAAACGCTTAACGTGAAAAACGCTTAACGGCTTTGTCCTAAAACTGTTATATTAAAAGATCAAATTCTGTACACACCTTATTAATAAAGCATATTATATAGCCTACAGAAAAGCAGATGAGCCCAGAATATGAACGCAACGCATTTTATTATAGGCTACGTTAAGCATTTTCCTCCCATAGAAAACCGTTAAAGAAAAAGCTTTACGTGACTTTCTATAGGAGAAACGCGTTGCGTTCATATTCTGGGTTCATCTGCTTATCTGCACATAGAATGGTTTCTTAAGGTGTGTAGCCTACTGTGTAGGCCTACATACATTAAGCACGTAAAAGTGCCATTTAAGCGTTTTAAAACGTCCCGAGGAAAACCAACCTGTTAATGTTGGCCGGCAGAAGTGCGATCATGGTTTTCCTGATGCTAAATCCAGCCTTGGAGAATATCCTTTCTGATGGTGTGCATCTTTAGATTTTCTTATCCCAGACATTTTTAAAAGATTTAAATCCCTGCCGACAAGACGCTCCTCTGTCGGTCACGGATCGAAAGTGAAACTTAAATCGGTCACGGGGTGTTTGGATTTATTCACGCTGCACGCACGTTAAAAAATATTTATTAAAAGCTTCTTTCTTTGCACATTTTTATTGACAGCATTATCATAATAGGCTGTATATTAAGGTATTGACAGAAAACCAGTAGTTCTATGTGAAATCAGACATTGAGCACACTCATATAGCCAAAATGACATAATCCTCGTTTAATAACACATCTGCGAAGATTCGGCCGTGAGATTGGTAGTCGAATCAGGCTCCTGCTATCGAAGCATCGAATCTTCGACTATTCGAGGTCACCCCTAGTGTTGACTTATGATTTTGTACATTGTTTGTCTTAAAAACCACATAGACGTTTTCGCCACAGGGGGACTTTAAGATATGTCAGTGCAAAATTGAATTTCAGTTAAAACAGCTAACTAAAACGTGCATTTTAGTCTAATGCAATGCTTGCTGTGGACTGACACTGCTTAGACAGGAAATGTATGTTATTTGGTTTATTTCAAAACCCCCAGGGTCACCTGATAACCAACGGCACCAGAAATTACTAATGACATGCTGGAAAGCTCTAGAAAGTGAAGATTAAAACGATGGGAGTGTAGGTTGCTTTCTTTGATTGGCCACATACAGAGAATGCAGCTTTAATCTACGGCAGGATCTGACACCCGCAGATCGCCGCATCTGCATAACCGGCAATTAACAGCATCACACAAGATGAGCTCATCATTTCTTTTGAACAAGCAATACGGCAGACTTTTTAAAACCAAACCACAGCCACAGTAACAGGCAGGTTACACATAGGAAAGCAAAACAAACTGGGTTTGACTTTGCTGTCTGTTGAAAGTCCTTTGACGTCTACTGTGACACATCAGGATTTACGGCGTGGTTTTATGCTTAGGGCTGGTGGCGCTGTGATAAAAATGCCGTTGAGAATTTGAATAAATCGGGGGGGAAAAGAAAGAAGTATGGGAGATTGTTTTAAAGCAGTGGTGGTGGTCGCGCCTGAAAAATGAAAAACCCTGTCTGATACGTTCTGGTCTGTGAAGCATGGTGCAGTAAACGAGGATGGTGCCTAGAAGAGAGAGAGAAGGCAGGGGGGGGAAACAAAACAGAAAAGAGAGAGACCGAGGGAGGTCGGCACATCCCAAAGCAAACAGCAAATGTGAAGTGACAGATTAAAGGGATGACAGCTTGTTGCTCTTAAAACGACTCTCTGAGACGCAGTGATACCTCAGACAGCCTTGTTCACAGACTCAGCCTTTTCTACTGTGAAAAGCAGAGGTAAGACAAAGGTGAAACTGGGAACTGAGCTTTGGCGTCTTCAGAAAATTAGTGTAATCACAGGTGTTAAATAAGACAAGAAGCCGCTATTGTAATTAAGAAGTAAAGAAATTAGCGCTAATGAGAAATAAAGGCCAATACATTTTCACGCAACAATTACCAGCAAGAACCACGTCGCACTTGACAGTCGTGACATGACATATTTGTCCTACAAGTTTTCCAGTTAGAAATGTACACATGCTTTGCCATTTTAAAGAAATGGGAGTGTAAAATATCGCACTGCAGGGGAAGCCAAAAAGGATGAAGGCGACAAAGTGTGCCAGCTCTGAAGAAGGCCCGGGTGACTGTGGGAAAAAATACAATTCCTCCCCCAGTTATAATGCTATATTTAGCATATCAGCACAAACCTCCTGAACAGGGTGGACTGAAATCTTTTTACAGAGGACAGCAACCTGTCATCTCTTTATTTGAAGAAAGAACTGGATGAACCGGTCGTTTTACAGCTTTAAAGCATTCACACAATAGTGTTATTTTTTGTTGCAAGACTTCAAATAGAAACAATGCTTATGGAGCCCTTCAAACAGGGTGCAAAAATTCACAGTGACATTTTTTTTTTTACATAGTGTGGGCCAATAATTTTTCTTTGACGTCTAAAGAAAACTCACGACCAATAGGGCTGGGAAAAAATAAAAATTTTATGATTCTGTGTCTCAACCCCACAGCAAAGGAAGTCATATTCTACAGTCTGAACTCAACATGTGTTGTCTGATTCACAAGCAAATGATTCTTATCTTGCTTTTGAGCCATTTATTAATTCGTTCATAATTGTTTTTATTTTATTGCAATTAATTGATTTATTTTTTCGTAATTTTAATATTGACTCTGTACTTATTACTTAATTATTCAAGTAAAGAGTTTATAAATAATTGTTTTAAATTAATTAGATAATATTTATATTGAAATTTAACTTAAAGGACTATGTTATTGTGTTAGTTGTGGTATCTAAATAAAATAAATTCTGGTATCAGCAAGTTAAGGTTTTTTTTTTTTTTTTTTTTTTTTTGCCACCCAACCTGAGATATATATTTTTTCCAGAGTGGTTCATCTTCGCTGATGTCAAACTCGTTCCATCCATGGTAGACTCGACGTCGTGAAACCTCCTCCTGGGTGAGACCGAACTGTAGGTCAGCCTAACAGAGGGAGAGAGAGGGAGGGAATTAAGTCAGAAAAATGCAGCCTTCCCAAAATAACACATATCAGATGTGTAACCATGACAACTGACATTAACCACTAACAAATAAGAATGCTGGAGCCATGGAAACAACTAATAAAGCCAGTGTCCTGGAACTTGAGCTTTAGTAAGTCTCTTGTTAGACAGCAGTCGCCCACAATGCATCTCTGCTCCCTGTGTGGAGAAAGATCTTGAGACCAGAGCACTGCATTGTGAACATGAGAGAGCATAAAAGCTAGATCCCTGCACCTAAAGACCTGCTGTCTGGGCAATATTAGGAATGGGGGTCAAAATATTGCTGAGATCAACCAAATCTGATCGCTTTGTATTATTTTAAAACAAACTTCTGATGGCACACAAATGAAAAATATGTCCTGTTTTATTTTCTATTGAAATAGTAACAACCAAGGCGTACTATTCATGGCTTAAGTGCTTCCTAGAGACTGACTGAATGTTGATGACAGTGGATGAATAAATGTCTTCTGAGAGCAGATGGTCATGTCAGTGTGGTGATGGACAAGGCACTACAAGCTCTTTCATAAACGCTGAGACTGCAAGAGCATCCCAGCACTCTCTAATCTTCCTGGCGTGATTCATTAAGGGACACTGTGTGATATCCGCAGGGATGGGCTTTGAATTCCTCAGTGTCAAGGCATGCAGTCTGTGCTTTTGGTGCATGTTTGACTGCATAACGAAATTCAATTGGGCTTCCGCCGCTGCTGTTTCTATAGGTTGTTGCTCTACACTCAAAGTTTAAAGATTTAAACAAGTAGAACATGATCCAGGATCAAGATCCTGTCTTGTTCCTGAAACATAATTCCTATCAAACAATCATAGTCCTATCCCTTACCCTGGTATTAAAATCAGATAGCAGTGCTGAATCTGATCCAAAAACAACAAAGGATATTGACTCATTTAAAGTCATCATTCAATTTTGTTCCCAGAAGTCCTTCCTAGAAGTTCCTAGAAACTGCTTTCTGAAATGCCTGATTCTAATTGGTCAATTGTGGCATTCTGCAGTCAAATATTTATTTATTAGTATAATAACTACTTCACATTGTTAATCCTGATTTTCCTGCCTGAGTAATTTTGCAAAAATTATGGACTATCCCATATCCCACTGGTCACATTAACATTTGTGACCAAAATTTACTTGGGGTCTAGAAAGAATTGTAGATTTATTTTACTAGGGCTGGGTATTGGCAAAGATTTCACGATTAAATTCACAAGCTTACACTTTGATTCAATTCTGATTCTCCATTAAATTCAATTGAATATTGATTTATTGAAGTAAATATCAGGTACAGTACATGACAAATTTTATATAAAAAAAATATTTAAAAATTATTATCTCTTAAAATGATCTGATTTGTACAGGCTACATACATTTAAATAACACAAAATGTAATATACATTTTTTTTATTATAATAACTTTAATGACAATTATGTTTCTACTTGTTTTTTGAAATATAAACATTTAAATGGTGGCTGTCATAAAACATGACAGATTTATTCAAACACATTAAATATTGAAGAACAGGTTAAGTATAAAATACAATGAATGAATGTGAATACAGTGTATATAATATTAGCAAAATGCTACTCTCTAGAGTTCATTATCTAGCTGACTAACGAGTATATGGCTATTAAATAACTTTTCTGAGGTAAATGTAACATTACGTGACATTGTTTACAAGCTGTTTTATTGACGTCTTTCACAAGTTGAAACACTCACTGAACGTGATTACACGAGACATTGATATAGGTTTTGGTAAGTTGCACTGTATCTTTTAACATACAGCTGATGTTCATAACATACAGCTCCGCACTGACGCTTCGCTTGATCAACAGCGACCTGTCGCCACATTAAAGAGCACCAAAGCGGTATTTATTGCTTGAATTTCTGAATAAAATTAACAGAATTTAAAGGCTGAGACTTTTTTTCATATCGAAAGTAACAAAGAACAAAGCTTATTGCAATTTATTGGATGGGAGATGCGCTACAAAGTTCTGTCATTAACTAAACTGACCAGACTAAAATATCGATTCTTGGGATTTTACAAGCGATATCGGTTCACCAAAATAAGAATCAATTAAAAAAATCTATATTTTACTCAGTTGTCAACTATAAATGAAATTTCAGACTGAATGGTCTTGGTTTCATGTGAACCCTTTTACATGGCTCAAATAAATCAAGATGAAAAATACATGTAAACATGCTATGTAAACATGTCATTAATCACATTTGTGACTAGTGGGGAAACACAGAACCCATTTTGAATAAGTAATTGATTAACATTATAAAACACCACATTAAAAAAAGTTTAATAAAAAAAAAAACGTCAAATCCCCCACAAATACCAGTTAATAAAAAAAGACCAATGGAGCATTTTTTTGTTTTGTTTCTCACAGGTTTCAACTGTGATCAAGAATGAAGCATGCTGGGAAAAATTTGGGATGAAATGGCCAAAATGTTCAAATTTAGTCAATTATTCAGTTTATACAACAGTTACCACATGTACAAGTCTTTCCGGCATAGGGCTGTGCGATATAGCAAAAAAAATTATCACGATATAATGTTTCATATCGTTTGGTATCGATAATTATTGACATTTTTTATGACCTTTTTTTTTTTAAGACAAGTAGAAAAGTTTGAAATTAAACCACTGTTGTTGTTTTTTATCCACATTATTAAGGGAAACAACAAATTATATATTAGCTTTAGCAGTCAAAAACAAAATAAAATGTAAACAAAAATATCTTCTTTATGTCTTATATTAAGATAAAAAAGTAAGTGTTAAAGAAACTCTTGAACTTAAATAAAATGTTACAAAATGTGTGCAATGTAAAAGTGTAAACGTAGAACAATCAAGGCAAACTTTGAGGTAGATCAACATCTGTAATAAGTAGGGGTGTAATGGTTCAAAAAATTCTAGGCTCGGTTTGATAGGACACAGTGGTGTCACGGTTCGGTACGTTTTCGATACAGCAAAAATTAAGAAATGCCAGAGAAATTTCCTTGATTTAAAAAAATTATAATTTGTATTTAAAAGAAAAATAATTTTTAAATAAGTGTGTTTTCCTACATCTTGAAACTTTTAGTTTTATAAATGGGGGTAATCTTTGAAGGATAAACAAATAATGTTTTGGTCATCACATTAAAAATAACATTTAAATATGATAATATTTGAGTTTTGAAGTGCTGGAAAAAGATGTGTGACTAACTTGAAAGCATTTTACTATTCCTGCCAAACTTTCATGGTTACAGTTAGTGTTACTACATTAAATCCATGATGAATGTTGCTGATCTGTGGACTTAAAGCTTATAACTAGTTCAATTATGGCACAATGTATGACTAGAAAATCAAATTCCAAATCACAGTCTTTGCTGTGCCAATTTAATTGATATAAGTAGTGTAGAACATTATATAGAAACTGTGTCTATTCCTCGTTTAAGTGAGGCCAAATAATAAATCCACTGTAGGATCTAGGAAAAATCTTATTGTAATTAAACCTGAAAATCTAAATATCAGTGAACAAAAACAATTTCTAAAACTAGGTCTTCTAAACATTAGATCGCTCACACCTAAGGCGGTTATTGTAAATGAAATGGTCACAGATAATAGCTTCGATGTACTTTGCCTTACTGAAACCTGGCTTAAACCAAACGAGTATTTCGGTCTAAATGAGTCTACCCCGCCAGGATACTGTTATAAACATGAGCCCCGTCTGATCGGTCGTGGCGGCGGTGTTGCAACAATCTATAGAGATATTATTAATGTTACTCAGAAAACAGGTCACAGGTTTAATTCGTTTGAAGTACTGGTGCTAAACGTTACGCTCTTAGATGTAAGATATAAATCCATATTATCTCTAGCCTTGGCTACTGTATATAGACCTCCAGGACCATATGCTGATTTCCTAAAAGAGTTTGCAGACTTTCTCTCAGATCTATTGGTCAATGCCGATAAAGCAATAATTGTTGGAGATTTTAACATACACGTAGATAACACAAACGATGCGTTAGGGACTGCGTTTACAGATTTATTAAACTCCTTTGGGGTCAAGCAGAATGTCAGTGGTCCCACTCATCGTCTAAATCATACACTAGATTTAATTATATCATATGGAACCAATCTAACCGATATAGATATTATACCGCAAAGTGACGATCTCACCGATCATCACATGGTAACTTGTATAATACGCACTGCTGAAATTTGTCATGTTGCGCCACGTTATAGACCAGGCAGAACAATCCTTCCGACCACTATAGATAGATTCTCAAATAGCTTACCTGATCTATCTCAGCTGCTCAAAGAACCCAAACAAACAGATGAACTAGAGGAAATGACTAGCAGTTTGAGCACCATTTTCTCTAGTACATTAGATATTGTTGCAATGCAAGATACTGTCGCTTGGGTTTCTCCCAAGGTTTTTTTCTCCATTCTGTCACCTGATGGAGTTTTGGTTCCTTGCCACTGTTGCCTTGGCTTTTGGCTTGCTTAGTTGGGGACATTTAACATTTAATATTCAATAATATTATTGATCTGCCTTACTTAAGGTGGACGTTGACGCAATTTCTTTTAGAAACAAACTTTGTTATATTGTTTTCATGTTATCACTGTGAAGCGCTTTGATACAATCTGTATTGTAAAAAGCGCTATATAAATAAAGGTGACTTGACTTGACTTGACAATGTTTCTCCTGGTTTCCATGCCAGCGCTGTTTGATTTAGTAGAGATCTACGGTTAACGGCGATGTTATTACTTCTGTGGCGAATTCAAATGCTTTCTTTACTGGATCTCATAGCGCTGTGTAGTAACAGTGCTGCTTGATCAAGATCGGCTCGCGCTGCACAGACATTGGTCCAAACTGAGCGTGAAGCACAAAATAATGAGTAGTGCAGTTTTTGTTCCGCTTTCATTACGTTTGCCATTTGATGTTGGGCAACATTGTGGTGGTCGTGCCATCTTTAACTTCGCAGTCCACTTACGAATCACGTTCGAATGGAACGGACCTTCATTCAACATGATGTGGAGACAAGAGGCAACATTCTTATCTGAAAAATTAAGCCTACCCGGAAGTGCGAAAAACTCTAATACATCGAAAATCCGCTAGGGGCAGATCCCAAAAGGGAGCAAATGTCCATGGACCCCATGTTAAAATGTCCGTTTTCACAGCATAAATTCATGTTTTTACAGGTTGGTCCCATAGACTTTTATTGTATTTTTCGATATGACAAATAAAGGCGTGGTTAACTTTGATTGACAGCTTGATTGACAGCTGAAATTCCTGAAATTTGACGTCTCGGCCATGATCTGACACATCACATCATACCACCTCTGTATCCTTTCTGAACATTTGTATTGAAATCTCGTACATAAAATGGATTGCTCTGCTATAAACTGCACTAACTGACACTGTAGGAGTAAGTTACTTCGCTTCATTTTTTCCTGGTAAGTGACATTCCACTACTATTTCACGTAGTTAGCACTATTTAGCATCAATGTTTGTGGGCAGTGGCACTGCAACAGTTAGCATTAAATCGCCTCAGCTAAGTTAGCGTCCGAGGTACTTTACCTATGGTTATTATAACCGGTTATAACTGACGTTTGAAACACTGTAAATGCGTCTGCCAAATGAATAAATGTAACATAAGAATAGACTGATATGTCCCACATTGGAGTGTTAATATATTTTGATGGGTTGAACTCTTCAGCAGGTTTGCAGTGAATGTAGTAGACATAGACTGTAAAAAGTAGCCTAGTCTGCCAATCGATCTTGTAACGTTACAGATAGCTGAGGCTGCTTGGCTGAAGAGGCGCGTCCACCGGCCAGCTCAGTCTCACACAAAGCCCGCCCTTTTACCCATATATGGATTGCCAGAAGGTGGGCGGGGTTAGGATTTCCCAAGATTTTCAAACGATGGCGCCGCCTATACCCCCCATAAACGGCCTCAAAACCGTTATTCAGAAACTCTATGGGTGACGTCACAGATGCTTTGTCCATTTTTTTAGTCTATCTGTGGAGAGTGCAGTTCATGGTTGCATAGCAATGACAGACGCCATGGGAGCGCAAGCCTTTGGAAATGAGGAGCAAGCGGCACAGCCGCGCTATGTTAGACGCGATATGTAAACGGCCCCTAAGATCTACGCATTTTAATGAAAAGATCTACACATTTTAATGAAAAGATCTACACATTTTAATGAAAAGATCTACACATTTTAATGAAAAGATCTACACATTTTAATGAAATATCGAGCGCTCGCTATATCAAACATTTTTTATATCGTTACCGACAATGGTGTACCGCCAATAAATGCCGATACCGTTTTATCGCCCAGCCCTACTTGGGGATTTGATTAAATTGCATAGAAACAGTCCAAACCACACTTAATAGTTCAAAATATGGCATGGAAGAGATATGCAACTGTAATATGGTCAACGAACCTTTTTTATAGTCTCTTTCGTAATCAACAACCTTGTAATCAACAACCTTGAATGTCAAGTCAAAACAAAGAATTCAACAATTCTGTAGCAAAATTACATTTTCTCTGATAATTATATCATTAAATAATGTTGTATGAAAAGCAGAATTGCAGGGAGTTGCTCTTTGTTAACTTGTGCAGCTATTAGAGCTTTCAATTAATTCAATATTGCATATAATTAAAAACAAATTAACAGTTTAATACATTTAATCCCTTTTTAAGAAAATATCAAATAATGTGTGACATACCTGCAGTGTACAGGCAGCCTCGTTCACAGGTAGTTCACTGGCTTTTTTTGAAGTCAGTACTGGAACCATGGTCTCATTTTCACAGTGGGGTTGATACTCGGCAAGCTGAAAAAGCGAAACAAAAATAAATGTATTTTAAACAGATTAAAACACAACATCAACAGAGGAGGATGTTAACATCTAAAACTGATAAGCCATGTGATCTCACAGAGAAAATGTCATCATAAACTAATCTCTCAAAAAAAATGTGAGTGCAATGTACAGAAGGATTACAGGACCAGACACTTTGACCCCTTCAGTGCTGCACATGGAAACAATAAAAAAAATCATGGACTATTTTGACCAGACCGACCAGGCATAGGACGGAAGTAAAAATCATCTGAAACTTTCTCAAATTGCATAGACTTTCAGCTACAAAAAGCACCATTAGAGCAAGCCACAGCTGTGCATCAGTCTGACTGGAGAAAGATCGTCCGACAGCAATAATGGAGCCCAACAGATGGACTGGAGCGCATTATGGAAGAGAATGACATTAAAATCTAGATAGCCATGAACATCAGGTTTAGCCTCACAAAGAGCATTATGAACACCCTTGCAATATCCTATCCTATTTGCTTTGCTGCATATTGATCTGGTCAACTAACCAGAAATCTTTTTTCAACACCATCTGCCACTCAAACTCACAAACAAACATACAAAGAGTGATTCAGTAAACAACAAACAGACAGGCTAAATATAATAGATTTTCAAATATTCTGACGTACACACGAGCAACACTTGCCTATGCAAAACTTGTGGTTGCTAACGTGCTCTGGCTGGTTACTGACGTCAAAAGACAGCACCATCATTCCTTGATCAATATTAGTTTATAAGATTGGGATCAGTATGTTTGTTCTTTTTATATTATATTACACTTTTAAATATTCAAATATATGCCCCCTTGGTGAACTACTTTCAAAAACAAAGAAATCTTACCAACCCTAAAATTTGAACGGTAGTATAAGTCTATGGCATTTGTGGATTGCTTGAAAAACAACACGCTTTGACTGTCAAGTATGAGCAATTGTAATTTTAATATTGGCCAGGGTCAAACTACATTCTCTGCCAGTTTGTTTTTTCTAATTTCAGGAAGTTTCAGCTTCCCTTTGACCAATTATTTACATTTACTATAACTTGTGATAGGTAGATGAAAAGAAGTTAATGAAATGTGGATATATTCTTGGGTCATTCGGAACTACCCAAGGTTAAAATGTTCAGAGACTTTATTTTAGAGTGCTATGTTTTAAACAAACTAGGTTACAATGGAAAGAACAAAACATCCCAGATGGTTGTTTACATTTTTAGGCGCAACATGCAAATCGAAACAAAATCCTGTTGTGACTAGACTTCATGACACGGCTGCAAAACAGACCAGACAGACAATACGCTCAGAGCCCAATTATAAACACTGGACATTGTGAATGTACTTTTAAGAGAGCTCCCCTCAGGAAGGATGTCATCGTTAGTCGCTTTGGATAAAAGCACCCCCCAAATGAATAAATGTAAATGTCATTGTAGGTATCATTCAGAGTGATGCCCTTCTAAATGACAACAGAGAGAAGACGACAGAGAAGAGATCTTAAAAGAAATTGAAAATCAGGGCTACCTTTTACAGTCCGTATCATGTTAAGCATCAAATCCAGCATGAATCTTGAAGTGTTACACATCATTCTTCCTACACTTTCACTCTGCAGTTCCAGCGTAAAGCTAAAAGTATCTTACTGAAGATCTAGTGAGTCTGAGCCTGAGCGGATTCCCATAATTAAGAGTGGCAACAGCTTAAACCTGGATGAACCAATCCTTTGTTCTCACCTCTCTCTGAACAGACTCTTTAAACTAATGAATAAATGCTATATGAGCTATCCGGGTCAATTTGCAAAATGATGGTCCTAGGGATGTCATGATTCCTCGATTTAATTCGAGTAAAAAAATTTTTTAAATCCTTGATTGCAATGTGTCGATTATCCGGCAAAATACCGCAAATGGTCCATTCCACAGATGAGAATCCATGAACCGCATTATTAGACCATTTTCAAAGGCTGCATGATATATTAAAACCATTTAAAAATCATAATATAGCATAGTGGTCACTGGTACTGAGTTGTCCAGTTAAATAAATCTATGCGCTGCAGGTTTCTGGGGAAAGTGCGGTACTCCATTTCTGCATATACTGCAAGTTAGTGTTGCTTATAACGTTCATCTGGGAGTGCAACGTGTGCCATTTCACCGGATTTGTAACATTAATCATTTATACACCTACGCCAACACAGGAGAATACATCAATATGTTTCTAAATATGCTATATTGTATGTTTTGATGTCCACATGTTCAAGAAATTACAGTGGCTGCAGCATCGTAAAGTGGCCAAATATTAAAGATTAAGTGGACATTTGAATTAAATGATTGTTGCCCAATATTAAACAACCATTTGATCATGCTGCATGTGTAACAACAACAATCACCAGCCCGTTGGCGCCCTCTGCAGGCATTTGTTATAATACGTAATGTACATAAATTGACTGTGTTTATATTATGTATATTACATTGTGGATTTTAAGAGTGTTGGCCAATAAACCCATATGATTACTTGCTTTTTAAACTTTTTTTGAAACAATTATTATTGCCTCATTGCAATTCTACCCATGTATTTTAAGTCATTTTATGGTTATTATTGTTCACTTAGGTCTATTTTTAGTAACACAAAAATATGCATCCGATTATTCGTCAAAATAACTGACCGATTACTTAAATAATCCTTAGTGACAGCTCTAGATGGTACTGTACCGTGGTAAATTTTTATACCATGCAAGATTTTAATGTTTTTAAAATAAGTCTCTTATGCTCACAGAGGCTGCCTTTATTTGATTAAAAAAAACAGTAAAAACTTATATTGTGAAATATTATCCCAGTTTAAAAGAACTGTTTGCTTCTTAAATACATTTTAAAGTGTAATTTATTTTTGTGATGGCAAAGCTGAATTTTCAGCATCATTACTCCAGTCTTCAGTGTCACAGAAATCATTCTAATATGTTGATTTGCTGTTCAAGAAACATTTCTGTGAAACACTTGTGTGGCTTAATAATGTTGTGGTTAATACATAAAAATAACAACATTTATTTGACATTTATTATACTAGTTTGTCAATTTTGATTTAATGTGTCCCTTGCTGAATAGAAGTATTAATTTCTTTCAAAAAAAAAGAAAAAAAGAAAACTAGATTATCAATTAACTGATGAGCTATGGTAGAGTTCTTAAATTATATTCACGCTTGTGTTCAATAAAAAAAGACAATTAAGAAGTATCATGCCAGGTTTGACGTCATTAAACACCATTGATTCTTGCATCTTTTGTAATTTGTATTTTGAAAGCTAATGCAAATAAGATGTTTCCTTGCGCACAGCAAATGCATAGTTTCAGAAGACTAGAAATACCTGCTTGTTGTATGGACTACTTTTCTGGTACATTTTGTCCATCCACTTTCTTTGAATGGAAAAAGAAGCTCTGACATTCTACTGGAAAAACTCCTCTTGTGTTTCGAAAAAAGAATAAAGAAAATAACACAGGTTTGGAATAACCTTTAACATGTTTAGAGATCTAATAATAGCTCAACATATCTCTAACTGTATTAAAAATATGATGTTGCTCTATCTATTATAACTAAGATGTGCTATTTGATTGACAGTTTTTCTCTATATTTACATCATGTTTTAATAGTAAAACTCTAAATTAGTTACTAACAATTATGATATCGAAAGCAAGATCAGCCATTTATCTAGGGATGCACGATGATATCGGGACAACATCGGTATCGGCCGATAAAAGCTTAAAATGACCATCATCGGCATCGGCCGATATGAATATTTCTGCCGATGAGTCTTGCCGATAGGGTGCCGTGTTTCCTATGCGCACGTGACGACCGTGAACGAAGCATGAGCGCCAGCAACTTAAACTTCCAACTAGGGGTGTGCCGTGCGTCTCACGGTTTTTGATCATGGACGATTAAAATGTCTCCACTATCTGCTTTTGAAGAAAAATCATAGTATCGTGCATTCTATCAGTTCAATTCTGGCGCCTTCATCTCAACATACTGTACAACGCGACGTACATTCACATCACATCACATGTAAACGCAGAGGTACAGTTACACTCACGGGACACCGCAATTCACAAAAGTTCATTGTTTGCATGTGCGTCAAAGTCTTGCTGGTTAAACATGTCATTCACGTGCTGATGCGCTGTTCTAACATCCGCTTTTCTGAGCGCGTTCGACGCGACGCTCACAGGAACTAAAGCCGTCACAGCGCCTGCATACTGGACTAATCTTTCGAGTCTTATTGCGCTGATACTGTCAAATACACACAAGGTTTACATAAACAAAGTTGGTTATGTCTAAAGTGAAAGCAAACAGAGAAAATCTGCTTGTCAAATGCGTGTATATTAGACGCGTCGCGTTACTCGCGTGCAGTTCTTAAAGAGACAGTAATAATATTCTGCCGCTTGTCTTTAAAGAGATACTGCACCCAGAAATAAAAATTCTGTCTATATGTTGTTTCAAACCTGGATTCATTTCTTTCTTGTGCTTAAATATACTATGGAAGTCACTGGAGTACAGCAACTGTTTGGTTAGCCACATTCTTCCAAATAACTTTTATAATTTCAACAGAAGAAAGAAACTTGAGAGAGTAAATGATGACAATTTAAATTTTTGGGAGAACTATCCCGTTAATGTTAATAAAACAACAAAACACAGAGGAAATCACTCACTGCTCTTGACTGAGAACATTAATAGAAGCTTTAATAAGCTTTTTTTGCACTTAAAAAAAATACAAATATATCGGTATCGGGCAAAATTAGTTTGAAAATATCGGCATATCGAATATCGGCCAAAATCCTATATCGTGCATCCCTACATTTATCTTCTCACTCAGCTGGCGACACAGATCTAAAATGAATAAATAACTCAAGCTTTAATTGTTTTTGCATCTCCCGGGCCCCCGATCTGGGTCTCAATTACAAACTGTGCCTGGTTCTCCCTCTGACAGAATTGGGCCAAGCGCAGGTTCAAG